CCTTGGTGAAAGGTGTTAAGACAAGAAAAAGAGCGGGTTGAATGTTGAAATGTCATTCATGGTGAAGGTGTTAAGGGTGGCAACTCAGCCCAACTGTGGCATTTGGAAGTAGGGTTTTGGGGAGACAAGAAGGTAAAATGAGGCCAATAGTTACTAATCCAGTGTGTGTGTGTGTTTACATTGCAACCAGGGCCTGCAGCTTACAAGGCAAGCTCTTTACTACTGAGTGAAGTCCCCAGCCTGATAACTGTGGTTTTTCTAAGAACAGGAAGAAAGAGCCAACCTAGGCCATTGCTGTCTTTCCTGATGCTCTGAGCTTGGTGGAATTCTCCACAGTCCTTCTACCAGCAAGAAAGACCTCACTAGGGGCAACTGTTTGACTTCAGATTTCCTAGCCTTCATATCCTTTTTTTTTTTTTGGTCAGTCATGGGGCTTGAACTCTGGGCTTGAGCACTGTCCCTCAGTTCTTCAGCTCAAGGCTAGCGCTATACCACTTGAGCCACAGAGCCACTTCCGGTTTTCTGGTGGTTAATTGGAGATGAGTCTTATGGACTTACCTGTCTGGGATGGCTTTAAACCACGATCCTCAAGACCTCAGCCTCCTGAGTAGGGAGGATTACAGGCGCTCGGCTTCAAGCTCCATTCTTTATATGTAACTCAGTCTATGGAAATCAGCCATAGAAACTGGGCAATTATGTATTGAAACCACTGGTGAAAATTCCTGCTCTCGTTTCTGGAGAAACAATGGAAGTTTTATGATTTCTTATAATAAGTAACACAGCGCAGTGTGCAGCAGTAAGCAGGTGGTTGGAACTCGGAGTAAGCCTCACTGGAGGCTCTCGTTTAGTTTTTCTGCTCTAGTCTGGCACTCTACCATGTGTGCCATAGCACCGCTTCCAGCTTTGTGCTGGTTAATTCGAGTTGAGTCTCCTGGACTTTTCTGCCTTGGCTGGGGGGGTTCTTCATAGTCAGCTTCCTGAGTAGCTAGGATTACAAGCGTAAGCCACCCACACCCCAGCTAAGAGGTACATTTTCAATCCTTATCAGATTTGTGATCAAAAGATGTAGGAAACAGTGGCACAGCTGAGTATGAATATTTAGAAATCTGAATAACTATCAGAATCTGTTCCAGAGTGCCATTGTGGATGAGTGTACCTTTTAATGCACTCACCCCTCTCAGCCTCTTTCTACCCTTCCTCCTCTACTGCCAAGCCCAAATCACAGATCTGGTGATGTTAGGGGAATTTTCCCCAACAGTGTTTTATTTTATTCTTCATTTATTTAGTCTGTCATGGACTTGAACTCAGGGTCTAGGCGCTGTCTCTCAGCTTTTGTGTTCAAGGCTAGTGCTCTATTACTTTTAAACACAGCACAGCATCACTTCCAGTTTTCTGGTAGTTAATTGGAGATAAGAGACTCATGAACTTTCTTTCCCGGGCTGGCTTCAAACCATGTCTCCCCAGATGTCAGCCTCCTGAGTAGCTAGGATGACAGGTGTGAGCCACCAGCGCCTGAGCCAATAGCGTTTTAAATGCCAGTGAGCTGACTGATCAATGCTCACTCAAACAAGCCTTCCAGGGGAAACTATAATTACCGCCCACTGCTAGAACTGGAGTTACAAATGTGGTTGTTTATGTACGACCATTTTACACTTGATCTCATGCATTTGACTCCTGGTGATGAGAATTCCCCATGACATTTCTTGGGAACATTTACTCAAAGAAAAATCCTTACATGAATGCCACTGTAAGTAACTACTGGCATTAAAAAGAGGCTTGTTAACCACAGATTGCCACAAGGGGAAAAGTGTTTATCACTTATACAAAATATATATATATATTTCTGTTTTCAAAAATGCTTTCAGTTAATTCATGTGCAAGGCTGGGAATCAAGTTTTAAGTGTTAAGACAAGGGATTTGATTTCTAAAAATAATATGAAGTAATTTGGTTACACTTTAGAGGTAATTGTAACAGGATTTTATTTATCCAAAAGCTCCCAAATCTGACTCTAGTATCTTAACAAAATCTTATCTTGTCCAGAACTGGGTGCTCAGGTCTGTAATCATAGCTACTCAGAAGGCTGAGATCTGGGAATCATGGTTCAAAGATAGTCCAGGCAGAAAAGTCTGTTATCTCCAGTTAACTACCACAAAGCTGGAAGTGGAGCTGTGGCTTGAGTTGTAGTAACACCAGTCTTGAGCAAAAAGCTAAAGGACAGTGCCCAGGCCCTAGTACCATACTAATGTCAATGAAATGTTTTGATTCTGTACTGATGCTGTTCTCATGCATTGTTGTTCTCATGCATTGCTGTTCTCATGCATTGTTGTTCTCATGCATTGCTGTTCTCATGCATTGTTGTTCTCATGCATTGGGTCTAGAAGTCCCTAGACAGGTGTTCCACGTTATTCTGATTTAGCCTAGGGAGTCCTGCTGGGGAAAATCTCATGTTCACTTCCTGGTCCTTAAAAGGAAGGCAATGACTGAATTGATGCTTTTAACAAAAAGCTAATAGGCTGGTGGTGTAGAGCTAGGTGAATAGCTCCAGCCTTACTCTAGCTATGAAATGAATGTGGAGGAGTGGGGAGGTACTGAGCGTAGAGCAGAGGTACTTAACTTTGACATCATATTAGAATTTTCTGGGAATGTTTTAAAAGGCTTAAGGCCCAGGACCACACCTGAGACCAATTAAATTAGAATTTGTGAAGTTAAATCACATCAATCATTTTTAAATCTTCCCAGGTGATTACACTACACCACCAAGATTAAAACTGCGAGGACCATTCAACTAAAAACTTCAATGACTTTAAATATTTGGTAGTATTTTTCAAAAAGGACATGTTCATGTTATTGTAGTCACTAGTCTACAAAATTCCAATCCAAGGATTACAGTATTTCCCAAAGGAAGAGAATGTTAGAGATGGACACAGAGGGTTATGAAATGGTCATATTCTTCAAAGTCTCCAAATCTACTTGAACTACTGATCATCTGAGTTATAAACAAGTCTATGATAAAGTCTGCAGGTACCACGGTGTGGCTGCGGGCAGTCAATCTCTTCTTACCCCTGATATGCTCTGTCACATGGGGTATTATTATGTAACTTAATTGGTCTGTTCTTGTTTTATCCTGCAGGGATTTTAGTGCAGTGTTTTTGCTTATGTTAGGGGATTAAATGTTTGTGGCACTAACGGTTTTATCTATCACTATTATTATCAATGTGGCAGAGTCTTGCCATGTAGCCAAGGCTGGTGTAGAACTCCTAGTCCTCTGGCCTCATTTTCTGGCAAGTCTAGGCTTTTAAGAATGTAGCACCATAGTTCTCCTAGAAAGGAGTTCCAACAAGAAATTTTATTTTGTACATTTAGAGAGGGATATTTATTATTTTAGTCAAAGTAGCCAGCTGCCTTAGAGATAGTTATTGTATATATGGCTTTTACACTTTAAAAAGTTATTGTCTACACCAATTAGCCCTAGTTTTATGTTGCATTTTCAGCGCAGCACAGTTGTAGAGTGGCCTGGGTTCAAGCTCAAGCACCACAAAGGCACAAAAGAAATACAAATAAGTGAGTCAGGAGGCTGAGATCTGAGGATTGAGGTTCAAAGCCAGCCTTGGCAGGCAAGTCCTGTGAGACTCATTTCCAATTAACTACCACAAAACTGGAAGTGGTGCTGTGATTCTAAGTGGTAGAGTGTAAGCCTCCAGGCCCTAAGTTCAAGCCCCTCGACCGACAAAACAAAATGAAAAACAAAAAATAAAAACCAAATACGTGAATAAGGAAGGGAAGGAAGGAGGGGAAGGAGGATAGAGGAGAATGAAGGAGAGGGAGGAGGGAAAGGAAGGAAAAGGTGAGACAAGGAAGGGGGAATGGGGAAAAAAAGTTGAAAAACACAAGCTCTCTTGAGGATGTGAGAAGATCCGTTAGCAAGCCAGGGTCAGGGTGAAGGTTCTGACTAGTCAGGAAAAAACAGCCAAAGATTTGAGTAGCCAAGGTGAGAAAACAGAGTCTACTCTTAGGAAAAGAGACACTGTAGCATGTGGAAGAACAGGAGAGCCAGTGCTCTGAGACACAGAATTTTTCCATGTCTAATCTGGAGAAAAAGCCAAAGTATTTATTCTATCTAAGCATGTTTGTTTTCTTGAGTTTTTGAATTTCTACAGGTCACTTTTAATCAGCTATGTTCCATAATTGTCCAAAGTCTAAGAAGCATTTTTATGCCATCAAGAAAAAAAAAAGGCATGTTGATTGGATCACCCTATAGAGCTCAAAGTTTGGAAGCAATCATGGTGACCAACTTAGGTGGCTAATTAGCTGTCGACCCCTGTCCAGTGACGTCAGCAAGGGCAGAGCCAGAGTCTGGAATCCACATTTGCTTGTGCAAGGAGCCGTAACTGCCAAAAGGTTCTTTTGTTGAAGCGTGAAACGAAACCAGGGTGAGATAAAAGGAGCTCAGCTTTTATTTAAAAAATAGTATTGTTTTTCATTAATGAGCTCTTTTTAATCAAGCTCTCTCAATCAAGGAACTGTTTCTAAGCTAAAGTTTTAAATTTCAGTTTCAGGTGAGAACCTTTCTTTGCCAAATGGAAGTTATCTAAGGAGGCTCAATATCTTTTACTTGAATGCCAAAGGGAGCTTGCCATTTTAATTGCTTTTGTCTAATTAATAAAAAAATACAAATTTTATGCCAAAGATTAAATTTCATTTTTTTCAAAATTTCCAAAGGCTAGATGATTTATCTAGTGAAAAAACATTTATTACCTACCATGATCCCAGGCATTGTGCCTGACATGAGATATTAAAACAGCAAGACAACCTTTATGAAGCCTTTAGGGAAGGAGTACCATAGAAAAATATTTATGCAATGTAAGAAGTACAAAAACTTTGAGTTTGCATAGGAGGAATTAGTACTGTCTGAGCACATTCCAAACAATCATCAGGTACAAAGCCAAACAATTATATATAATTGTATAAAAGAAACCAATGGAGGATAATGGTAATAAACAACAATCAGTAGTATACCAGGTAGATAATAGAAATTTAATAATACAAAATAAACATATAAAAATCAAATGTTTAGGATATTAGAAATAATATACATAATAAATCCAACATAGTACCCATAGTGCTGCAAGATTAGATTTTATTTTTAAATTATTTGCCAATCAGGCTGCTTTTGTAGAGATTCAAAATTTTTCTTTTTATTCTAAAAACATCTGTACTGTAGACATCTCCAATGAAACCGTGTAATAGTTGGCATACTGTAAGTGGAGCTATGTGACCATCATCTTAATGACCTAACAACATCCTCTTGTAATGGAAGTAAAAGAGGCAAATATTCTTCCATAGTAGTTAACCTGACATTGCTACTGAAGCACATACATACAATGAAGTGAAAAATCAAAGGGCAATTTTATGATCTAGACTAGGTCATTGTTAAAATTCACAGCATACTTTTTAGATATAATATTCCCAGTTCCAGTACTTAAGGAGAAACAGAAGAAATTTACCAACTTCTTAAATACTGAGAAATACAACTTTGCTATTCTTCCTAACCAACTCTCTGGGTGATTTCTAAGATTGTCCACAGCCTGTTTCCTCTGAGCTACTTCAGAGACACACTGGTTGAAAAATGACTTGAGAATATAAATTTCAAAGCTAAAAATTCCACTTCAGATGTAAAGAGAGCCCTTGACAAGAATTACTTAATGCAGAACTGCAGTTTAGAATGAAAACACTAGACAGAATAAAAGGTCATGCTTAAATACTTCAATGAAAAACCATAGGCAAGTCTTTCATGACAGAGGTAGTTCCTTCAATCTAAAAACATTTGTTGAAAGTCAAAGTACCTGACTGCATGGTAAATCTTCAAACCCATTAAGACTAGTTCTGTGTTAATCAATGCCTCTTATACTTTGTTAGGACAAAGTATATATTCTATAGGACTGAACTACAGAATTCAATAAAATAGGTAATATGCTAGAGTCTTAACTGAAAAAAACCCTCTATGTTTCTCCATCTTTTTCATGTAAAAAGCATGCCTAGCTTATTCTCTATATTCTCCAATGAAGCTTGTTATTCTTGATTAAGCCAAATTCAAATTCTTCATACAATAAATAAACATCTTGAAGATTATTCATCATTATCTGTAGAAGAAAGAAAAACAATTAATTCACTTCATGTCTAATAAAAAATCTTTTTCATATTAAAGGAAAGTGCTTTGATATAGTTTAAACAGTTATTTTTTTTACTGCGAAATATAACAGTAAAGTTGGAAGCAAAAAAATCATCAGAGAAAGACAACCAATGTTACTGTAATATGCATGTATAGCCTCTCATTTCTAGCAAAAGTATCATTATAAAAACTATACTTCCAGGAACCACTGGCTCATGTCTGTAGTCCTAGTTATTCAGCAAGCTGAGATCTGAGGGCTACAGTTCAAAGCCAGCCCAGGCAGGAAAGTCCGTTAAGACTCTTATCTCCAATAAACCAGCAGAAAACTGGAAGTGGCGCTGTGGCTCAAGTGGTAGAGCACTTGCTTTGAGATGAAGAGCTGAGGGACAGTGCTCAGGCACAAAGTTCAAGTACCACCACTGACAAAAAAAGAAACAAACAAAAAAACTATACTAAATGCAGTACCAAACAAGGTTTTCACTTTAAAACATAAAAAAAAAAAATGAGGGTATTGCTCAGAGTGGTAGAATTTTTGCCTAACAAGTATGAGGCCCTGAGTTCAAACCGCAGTACTGACAGAGAAAAATCTTCAACAAATAAGTGGAAAGATGATACATGAATGCAAGTAAGATGATAAATATAAGATATAAAATGCTGATAGTAAAAATCATGTGTTGGGTATACATATACACATGATCACTGTAAAGTTCTTTCAAACTTTTCTACATGATAAAAATTTCACAATAAATGTGGTAACAAAAAATAAAACAGTCAAAAACCATGTGCTCGTGGCTCACACCTGTAATCCTAGCTAACTCAGGATGTTGAGATCTGAGAATCACAGTTTAAAACTAGCCCAGGCAGAAAGGTCCATGAGGCTCTTATCTCCAATTAACCACACAAAAAATCCACTACCCTCCCAAACAAACAAACATATAAAAAAGCTGGAAGTAGAGCTAGCTCAAGTGTTTAGACCTCTAACCTTGAGCAAGAAAGCTCAGGGATAGCACCCAGGGCCTGAGTTCAAGCCCTAGAACTGACACAAAACAAAAACAGAAAAAAAAACCCAGCAAGTTATTTAGCACATATTTTACAATAAGTCTATTTAAGGACTCTCTTATTAGTTAAAATATTTATTAAAAACAATTTTATACTCTTTAAAAAATTTGTAAAAGGATTGTCGGACTTCCTTTTTTGTTTTTGTTGTTGTTGTTATTATTATTATTGTCGGTTATGGGGCTTGAACTCTGGGCCTGGGCACTGTCCCTCAGCTCTTCAGCTCAAGGCTAGTACACATTACTACTCGAGCCACAGTGCCACTTCTGGTTTTCTGGTGGTTAATTGGAGGTAAGAGTCTCATGGACTTTTCCTGTCTGGGCTGGCTTTGAACTGTGATCCTCAGATCTCAGCCTCCTGAGTAGCTAGGATTACAGGCGTGAGCTACCAACACCCGACTGTTTTTATTTTTAAAGGTAGTCAGTTATTGGCTTTAGTTGCTACACTTATTTTCCTATTAAAGAAATCACAGGGGCTGGGAAGGTGGCTCAGTGGTAGAGCGCTTGCCCTGCATGCCTGAGGCCCTGGGTTCAATTCCTCAGCACCACATAAGCAAAAAAAAAAAACCCGAAAGGGGGCTGTGGCTCAAGTGGTAGAGTGCTAGCCTTGAGCTGAAGAGCTGAGGGACAGCGCCCAGGCCCAGAGTTCAGGCCCCACGACTGGACCAAAAAAAAGAAATCACAGACTCTAAAAACAGAGCTTTGGGGTCCTTGTCTCTTTTTTTCATCTGCATGCAGAGAAAATCTGACGTTGCTGCTTGAGAGATGCACTAGCCTGATCATGGCCAGCAGCACAGGGAAGGACCTCGTTTGTACGTGTAGATACTTGGGAAGCCACTCGGCTCTCTGAAGAGGGTGTCAGTTTTACCTTGTGGCTCCTCTGATTGTTATGGTTCTTCACTGAAGGGGCAAAGCAAAACGAAAGCTTTCCATATACTTGTCCAGCAAAACTGAAGCCTAAGCACACTGCTACCAATTACTGTGAAAAGCTCTATTGAAACAATACTGAGGAGAACAGCCTGAAGAATCAACAACTTGAATATGAATAGAATTACTCTGATTCCCTCCATGGATTTACTTGAATGGAGTCCTTCTCTGGCCTCATGCCATTAGCTTACAATATAACTGTATTATTAGAAACAGTCACATGAAAAATCCAAATATTGTAAATATAACCAAGGATATTTTCATTTTATCATTATATTGTGTTATAAGATCAAATCTAAGACCTCAAAAAAAATCAGGATTCTACCAGCTTCAGATAATGTTTAAATCTTAAGATTTTCATTTTGATGATAAAGTCATTGTTTACTACTTAGAAAAAGAAAACATCTATTTTACATTAATAATGTATAATGACATTTCACAGTATGTACTGGGGTCTAGGGGCCTTTAGCTTCTTGTGCATGCAAAAAAACAAACCCAAAATGCCATTTTCCTATAAAGGAACTTCTATGTTACTAAATTTTAAGGAACACCATAGGAGAGTTCCTTTTTAAAAAAAAGTATGAGCTCTGAGTAGGTTGTTCACTACCACAATCCTATCTGCTTATGAAGCTGAGACCCGAGATTGTGGTTTAAAGCTACCCAGGGCAGAAAACTATATGAAACTCAGAGTCAATGAACCAGCAAAAAATCAGTAGAGGTGTGGCTCAAGTGATTAGAGTGCTAGACTTGAGCATGAGGCCTGAAATTCAAGCTCTAATACCCACACTGAAAACAAAAACAATGTACAAAGGGTCTAAAGGCATGGCTTAAGTGGTAAGAGCACCTGCTTATTGAGTTAGGTGCCCTAAGGTAACTGAGCTAAAACTTTTGGTTCTGCCAAAAGAGAGATAGAGAGACAGAGAGAGAGAGACAGAGAGAGAAAGAAAGAGAAAGAGAGAGACAGAGAGACACAGAGAGAGACAGAGACAGAGAGCACAGAAACTTCTGAAGATGAATTTTGTATTCTTCATTTCTTGCTTAATATTGTATTATTTGTACTCATTTGCCCAGTGTGCTGAATTTCCCAACTACTTAAAACACACTTATTTTTAATCTTACACTTAAATATATTTTAAAATTTAGCTTTAAAAAGTTTTGGTAAGAAGATGGAATACAAATAAACTTGATAAAAATTTCTATTACTAAAATTAACATTTAAAACTCTCAATCTTAGACTGTGAATTAAGCATTTAATTCATGAATTAAGCCTTAATTTTTGGGCAAACATTCTAGAAATTCTTTTTCAGAATTTTACATATTTCTTTTCTTTCGTCAGGCATAGGTCTTGAACTCTGGGCCTGGGTGCTGTCCCTCAACTCTTCAGCTCAAGGTAAGTGCTCTACCACTTGAGCCACAATGCCACTTCTGGTTTTCTGGTGGTTAACTGAAGATAAGAATCACATGAACATTCCTGCCCAGGATGGCTTTGAACTTTGATCCTCTGATCTCAGCCTACTGAGTAGCTAGGATTACAGGTGTGAGCCACCGGCACCTGGCATTACATATTTTTTTATGGGTGTGAAAGTGTAATATCAGATTCTTGATAACCGTTCTCATTTCTAGAAATATACAATAGGAAGCTTAAAATACTCAAAAAATCTAAATCAATTACAGTACATGACAGCTAATTTTATAATTGTTTAAAAGTAGTAGACATGAGCTGGGAAGTTGGCTCAGTGGTAGAGTGCTTGCCTCACATGCATGAGGCCCTGGGTTCGATTCCTCAGTACTACATAAGCAGAAAAAAGCTGGAAGTGGTGCTGTGGCTCAAGTGGTAGAGTGCTAGCCTTGAGCTGAGGCCCAGAGTTCAGCTCCCACAATCGATTAGAAAAAAAAAAGTAGACATAACTAAAATATAAACTTTACCAAAAGAGTTATAATGTATCTTATCACTTCACATTGTCATCTTGTTCTTCTCACTGTTATTTAAATTAAAATTGTACCTTCTTCATAGGCTCCATCTCCCATGACTAGATGAAGAATCTTGGCATAAAGGTGCTGATGCTCATGTCCCAAAATATTCTGAACCATTGTTGAACAAATCTCAATATTTTCATCTTCATCTCCATGAATAGCCTATACAGAATTTCCACATGTAAATTAATATTTGAATAGTAAATTTCTGCTAAATGAAGACTTCAATTATTACATATTTGTAATAAATCTAGTGACTAGTAAAGATAATCAACATCGCCCAGTATTCAAACAGAGCTTACCTTTACTTTCTCATAAACCTCAAAGAACTTTTCAAAGCCCATTTCCTGCTCCAGTTGAAGTCTTAGTTCTTCTAAGTGGTTAAAGAGACTATCATAATCACATCCACTAGTATTCTCACCATCACTGTTATCTAAAAGAAATAAGTAAACAGATAAATATTTTATGATCCAATAATAATAATTCTTATACTAACAGACTAAAATCCTCTTAAAAGTGAATCCTAACAACGAAATGGTGAGACAAAGGACAAAGGGGGAACCCAATGCAACAGCGATACTCACAAGACACTGTGTTGGAAATGATCTGTATAACTTGGGGGAGGGGCTTGGGGGGAGGGAAAGAGGGAGAAAAATGAGGGAGGGGTAACAAGTTAGACAAGAAATGTATTCACTACCTTACTTATGTAACTGTAACCCCTCTGTATATCACCTTGACAATAAAATTTTAAAAAGTGAATCCTGTCACTAAAAATAGACTACTTCTATTTCAGTATAATCAATTGTTACTATAATATTTGTCAGTTATATAGGTAACCAAAGCATATATCAACTGTTTTAACTAGAATGTCACTTTGGGAATCTTTGCTTTTATGGAAATCACAGAAATCTTATCACGGTGCATAACACAACAGGGTGTGGAGAAGGCAAATGACTTAAGACAGAAATTTATCACAATAATTATTTTTAACACTAGAAAAGTAAATTAAGAAATAATGAACAAAGAAGTATTGGGATGGGGGGGAGGGGGGAGGCTGGGAAGGGATGGGAAGGGTAAACAAAGGAGGAGGCTGCAATGCTTGGTAAGAAATGTACGCATTATCCTGCCCATGCAATTGTAACCCCTCTGTACAGTATATTCACAAATAAAATAAAATTAAAAAAAAAAAAAGAAATAATGAACAAGCTGGGTGCTGGTGCTTGTAATCCTAACCACTCAGGAGGCTGAGATCTAAGGATTGTGACTGGAAGCCAGCCTGGGCAGGAAAGTCCATGAGATTCTTCTTTCTAGCAAGCAAAAAGCTGGAAGTGCAGCTATGGCTCAAATTGTAGAGTGCCAGCCTTGAGTGGAGAAGCTAAATGAGGAGAGACCCTGAAAGGACTGAGAACCGTGCCCAGTCACTCACCGGAGTGCCATTCTTCGTTCAGAGCACTTTCGCTGCTGGGATTGTCTTCTTCTTCTTGGGGATCTGCCCCGTTGGTGGTCTTCTCTGCATCACTGTTCTTTAAGACTGACTCTTCCTCCTCACTGTATTCCTCACCAGGCTGCTCCCTAAGTAGCTGCTCCATCGAGGCCTGGAGCTCTTGTAAATCCGTGTCCGTTTCTTCAAACACACTGAAATTAAAAAAAAAAATTAAACATTACTAAAATTTTATCTTATTTTGAAATGCTACTTCAATAAGTACATATGTACTCCCTTCAACATGGAAGTACTGATTTTAGATAAAATAAGGTATAAGCTGGGCACTGTGGCTCCTATCTGTAATCCTAGCTACTCAAGAGGCTAAGATCTGAGGATTGCAGTTCGAAGCCAGCCCAGGCAGGAAAGTCTGGGAAACTTTTTTTTTTTGAGTATTTTTTATTGTAAAAATATTGTACAGAGGCATTACAGTTACATGAGCAGGTAAATGAATCCATTTCCTGTCGCGCATTGTTACCCCCTCCTTTGTTTTTCCCCTACTACCCCTTTCTTCCCCACCTCACCACCCCCTGCAAAGCTGGGAGACTCATCTCCAATTAATCACCAGAAAACAGGTAGTGGAGAGCTGTGTCTCAAATTGGTAGAGTTTTATCCTTGATCACAAATCTCAAGGACAGCGCTAAAGCTCTGAGTTCAAGCCCGAGGACTGGCATGCGCACACACATATACACGTGCACACACACACACACACACACACACACACACACACAAGGTCTAAATAAGCTTATTTAGGTTTTAGCTATGGAAATAAGGATGCAAATCATTGATAAATGTAACACAACACAAATTTTGCAATTCATAAGGTAGAAGATGATTTAGTTGAAATGTTCCTGATTTGCCAAATAGAATCATATAGCTGTATGCATTATTTATTTTAATTTTTTTATTGTTACTATTTTTTTTCAGTCATGGGGCTTGATCTCAGGGTCTGGGTGCTTCCCCGAGCTCATTTGCTCAGGGCTAGTCCTCTACCACTTTGAGCCATGGTTCCAATTCCATTTTTTTTGGTGGTTAATTGGAGACAGGTCTCCCAAGGGCTTTTCTGCCTGGGCTGGCTTTAAACCTCAGTCCTCAGATTTCAACCGCCTGAATAGCTAGGATTATAGGCATGAACCACCAGCACCCAACTATAGTACTAGTTAGGCTTAAATTCTTAAAACTATTGTGTGTGTGTGTGTGTGTGTGTGTGCGTGTGTGTGTGTGTGTGTGTGCGTGCGGGTGGTGTGTGTGTGCGTGCGGGTGGTGTGTGTGTGCGTGTGTGTGTGCGTGTGCGTGCGTGCGTGCGTGTGTATGTGTTGTGTGGTGCTAGGAATTGAGCCCAGGCAGGGCTCTGCACATGTTATACCATACTCTACCACTGAGGGCATGCTAATAATGCTTTTCACTTGCTTCATAAACTCATTACTTAATATTCAAGTATTTTTATGTAATTCTGAGATTTCATCAAAACCTTTGTGTGGATGTACAGTATATGAAGGTAAATAAAATGGTTACTGGAAATTTTATCTTTAGGTACATATTCTTGAAGAATATTTCAAAAATATGTAAGTAGTCTTTCCTATGTAATTAGGAAACTACCATAATCTTCACTGGACAATCATGATATAAATTCCATTTCCATTGGACTATAAATGCTGAAATGAAATAATTTTTATTTAAATTTGATCAATATCAAACTCATATTAGACCTGGAAACTATGGATCAAAGTATTTAAATGACTTGTTTAAGGTAATACCATCAAAATGGTAAAAACAGGATTAAACCTAGGTCTTTGACACTTCTACAATACACAAGATATACAGGCTTGTACAACTTACTTCTTTCTTCTAAAGTGGCATACATGTAGAAATTTGTGTAGACTTAGAGGATAGGGTTAAATGAAATTTTAGTCATGGAGACATCTGAGAGGACAAATCAAGAATTTCATCTACTAATAAAGCGATGGCCCAGGGACTAATAATGGGCATTTCTGGAAGTTTAAACTCAAATATTTAAACTAAAACATACACAGTATTATGTAAGACCCTGAGTGTAATTTACATTTACAGAAAAAGAAAACAATCTTTTATTTAGAGATAACTGTATTTTGTACTTATGTACACAAACTCCTACAATTTGACTTTGTGGCAACTATCAGAAAAGCCAAGCGCCTAATCAGAATGAGGGAGTCTAATTTTGGGATCAACCCACCGGAAGCATTTAACTTAATATTCAATTACAGGCTTCACTCACCATGCACACCTGCTATGAATCATTACCATGATGACTCAACACTGCCCTGTGGACAGCATCTGCTGGTACCTAGTCTAGAAAGATTGATGCCCAAGGCACATTGGAGTCAAGGAGCATTACTGATAAGTCTGCCATTGTAGGAAAAGTATGAGAAGACTACATCATTTTATGAAATGAACACTCAAAACAAAAAGCCTCTTTAAGATCGTTTTCCCCCTTTCCTCCTCTTCCCTCTCCTTTCTTCCCTTCTCTTCCTTCCTTCATACCAGCAGTAGAGTTTGAACTCAGAGCCTCATGATCTCACTTAGCTTTTTCTGCTCAAGGCTGGGCTCTAACACTTGAGCCATAGCTCCATAGCTGGCTTTTTGCTAGCTAATTAGTAATAATAATGTTTTATATTGACCAGTGGAGTTATTAAAAGCCAAAGTGAAAGTAGCCAGGCACTGGTGACTTATGCCAGTAATCCTAGCTACTTAGGAGGCTGAGATCTGAGGATCACAGTTCAAAGCCAGCCTGGGCAGGAAAAGTCCGTGAGACTCTTATTTCCAATAAACCACTCTGAAAACTGGAAGGGGTGCTGTGGCTCAAGTGGTAGAGAGCTAGCCTTGAGCTGAAGAGCTCTGAGAGACAGCACCCAGGCCCACAGTTCAGGGCCCATGACCACCACCAACAAAAAAAAGTGAAAGTACGAATGATCACGATCAAGTAGAAGATCAAAGATAACAAGGTAATTTTTTCTCCAAATTATGAGATCAAAATTTGTGAGATAAAAATTCACAGAACAGGGACTGGGAATGTGGCTTAGTGGTCCTTGCCTAGCATGCATGAAGTCCTGTGTTCGATTCCTCAATACCACATAAACAGAAAAACACTGGAAGTGGCATTATGGCTCAAGTGATAGAGTACTAGCCTTGAGCAAAGGAAGCTCAGGGCCTTGAGTTCAAGCCCCAGACTGGCCAAAAAAAAAAAAATTATCAGAACATTCAGGGGCTAGGGTATGGCACAGTGGTAGTGTGCCCACCAAGTAAGTGTAAGACTGAGTTAAAACCCCACATTGCCCAAAAGACAAAACACCATGACAGCAAACAAACAAGTAAAAAAAAAACTAGTGGGAAGCTTGAGAAACAAGCAGAAAATTAAATGTGTCTAACAGTGACCCTGGCTCATGCATTATAGCTTAAGAAATTATTAAACTGATTAAATGAAGTTAATCAGATAAATATATAAGTTCCAGGTTTTTCTATTTAAAGGAAGAGGTAAAAAAGAAACAAGTTAGAAAACAATCATGAAATAAATCATAAAAATTCCACTGTATTTTTGCAACTACTCATTTCCAGGGTATTCTACTTTTGTTTTATTAAAAAGTTTGTAACAGCCCAGGAGCTAGAGAATAGAGATTAAAGAGAGTCTTATCTTAGAGGCCATTCTTCACCACAACTTTCAGAAATGTTGTTCATTTAATTTACCACTGAATTCTGAATTCCTCAGTACTCATGTAGAAAGGAGTCTTGTGAAAGCAATCAAACTGCATATGAGACAGGGACAGACAGACACACGCATATACACATGTTCTGCATATAGTACATCCCTCTCTCCCACTTTATACAAATAAACAAAATTCTGCCTCCCTATGGTCATGGCCCCCAAATCAAACATGGCAGATGACAGATGTGGATTTTCTGGTTATTTTCCTGGTGAAGTGAAGGTTCTATCTAATTCACAATTCCTGATTACAATCCTAGTGTCATGTGGTATTCCAGTATTAAATGGTCATTAGCTTACTAAAATTCATTCGGAACTAATACTACTAGGCATTTCTTACAAGCAAACCAGTGTGTATGGTATTCAATGGTACTAAGCCAATGAATAAAAGTCAAGACTTTTTAAACTATTTAGAGGTAGATTTACACACCAAAATTTGCATGAGTATAGCTAAGTTGTAAGAAGTCCTTAGAAGTAGTGAAAAGTTAGTTACAGGTCATTTTTTTTTATAACTGTCTAGATAAATCACCCTTTCTGGAACTTTCAGAATATATCATGTCACAGAGGTTAACAGTATTTGTTAATGACAGGATGCTTACATGTCTTCGGAATCAGAAGGCTCTTCTTTAATGTGCTCATCTTCAATTTCATCTACTTCAAGATTGTCCTGATGGACATCTCCTACAGTGGGAACATCCATCAGAGTTCTGAACAGCTTTGATAGATCTGGAAGTGAACATGTCCTCAACATCTAAGAAAAAATGTTGACAGGTTACCTATTAGGAGCAAGAGAATTAAACATGAAAATGTGGGAGAAGATAAGAGCTGATAATCATTATTAGGTGACATGTCCAAAATTAGGACATAATTCCCTTAATCTCATTTCAACATTTTTTTACCCCCCGAGGAAACTACGTTTGTGAGCTATGACTGGGTTTAAACATATTGAAGGTGACTCGACTTAAAAGGCAGAGAGAGCTATGTATTTATGTATACAGGTGATTTGGGATTAGAAATCTGTCAATGCTAAAATCTGCCCATTCTTTCCTTCTCACTCACCTCTAGCAATCCTAGGCGATCCTCTATTCCTGTGAATACTACCCTTCCCATACAATCTAGCTGATATACTGTGGTAAATGCTTTCGGCTTGTGAAGCACAGTCCTACGTAATGTGGAATCCTTTTTATCACTGAATCACTCATAGGAGCTGCTGCTAGCTCACCTGGGTTGAACAAGAGGCCTGAAATCACTGTGAAGAGAAGCCTAACATTGCTTTCTGTGGCCTGAGACTGTGAGTAGAACCTTCCCACCCCAATCAAATTCTGGAAGGATATCAAACCGCAGGCTAATATGTTGTGAAAAGAACCAGTGGTTCATGCATGTAATACCATCTACTCAGGAGGCTGAGATCTGAAGAATATGGATCAAAGCCAGCTGGGGCAGTAAAGTCCCTGAGACTTTTATCTCCAATTAACCATCAGAAAACCAGCAATGGCCCTGCCCAGAGTTCAAGCCCCTGACAGGAAAAAAAAAAAAAAAACACCAACCTCAAAAACCAAAGAAACAAAAAAACAAAGAACCAAAAACCAACCAACAAACCACAGTCAAGGTGTTGACAATTTAAATTTGTGTTGGATAATACCAGGGATAATGCGGATTAATTTCTATTTGCCAACCTTTCACTGTTGTAAGTTCGTTAAATCTCTATGTCAATTCAATCCCCATGTTGCTGTGATTACAAATGAGAACCACCAGTCCCACTGTATTGGTTGAGAAGGGGATCCTGCTAATGTTTTGGCTGGGCTGGTCTCAAACAGCCTTCCTCGTCATCTTTACCTCCTCAGTAGTTGTGCCCAACAAGAATACTCTTTAAAGTCACTGAAGGAATGAAGTTGAAAAGCTGATAATTGCTCTACTAGTGTCTTTTGCTTATATGAAAGTAGCATGTCCTGACTTAGTAATTTTCCAGCCAGGTGACCATGATGATCACATCTAACACTCACTGAACACAAACTTAATGCTAAGTATGATCTGCTTCATTTGTATTATCTCATTGATTTTTTCATTAATTCTATGGAAAAGAGACAGACAATACCCTTACACCTTAGTATGAAACATTAAGTTGCTTAAAAGTTATGACTTAAAATCTTTAATTAGAATATGGACTCAGCAGTCTACCTCCTTACTCTTTAAATTATGTACATATTTAATACTCAATTCTTTCATTAATTACTCAACAAGTATTTATTGACAACCTACTCCTCTCTAGGCAGGGGCTATACATACACATATTCATAGTTCTAAGTTCTTAACCTGAAGTAGATCATATTCTAGTAGAGAAGGGCAGACAATAAACAAATGAATAACGAAAATAAACCATCTCCTTTAAAATAGCCATGAAATGAATAAATAAGGAAATTACTGGGGATGGAAATAGAGCTGAGACTTCGCTGAGAAAGATACATTTGAAAGGTGATAGTTGAAGGGCAAGAGTGAGTCAGAATTGAAAAGAACAAAGAGAAGCTTATTCCAGGCCACGGTAGCAGTGCTGCAAAGGGCTAATGCAGGAAAGGAGAAAAAAGGAGAAGGGAATGAGAGAAGCTTTGAAATGAGATTGAGGTGATCCATGCCAGAGCAAGCCATTTAGATTTTGCTAAAGAAGCTGAATGTAATTCTAAGAGCAGCGGAAAACCTCTAACGTCTTAAGCCAGTCAGTGATTAGATAGAATGTTTAATATTTGGACAATGAATTTCACACCAGCAAGGGCTGAGGGAGTTACAGAACTGAAAAGATTAGTGTATGGAATAGACAAGTGATCTTCCAGAAAGAACTACTGAAATAGCATTATTTGAATTTAAATGATGTTTACAATCTCAGATTACTTAGGAAGCAAAGGTAAATAGAGAAGCTCAGGACAGAGCTCTGAAACACCATGGACACTTAGCTACTAAGGATTCCCTGGTTGGCCATGATGGAGTAACAAGGGCCAGGCTCACCTCCTACCCAAATTGGAAAACTGGACAAAATACACAAAACTGAGTTGAGACACTGAACAATAGGCAGCCAGGACTGATCCCTGAGTAAACCCTGTCACTCAACCCTCTGTCCAGAAGAAAACATCTGAATTCTGTGTTGGCCTTTGCTACATTAATATCAGGGATAAAGATTTCAGAGAGACAGCAGCAGAAAGGAGATCATTTCCTTTCATTTTTTAAAAAAAGAAGCTGCAGAAAACCACAAGTAAGTTTGTTCAGTTGCTTATTTGTATTAGGCCATGTGTTCTTTCTAACTCAGAAAGAATAAAGACTATCATAAAAACAACAATATTTCTGAGTCTCTACCTTTCTGAGACACGACTCCTATTTCTTGCAAGGAAGAGTAGGAAATGTTTCTCTTTCCATTTTTCTCTCTCCTTTTCTCTCTCTCTGTCTCTCTCTCCATTTTTCCCTTATCTATTCTTGCTAAACTTAAAAAGGGCAAGTGAGCTGGGCGCCAGTGGCTCACGCCTGTAATCTTAGCCACTCCGGAGGCTGAGATCTGAGGATGGCGGCTCAAAGCCAGCCTGGGGAAGAATGTCCATGAGACTCTTATCTCCAATAAACCACTAGAAAACTAGAAGTGGTGCTGTGGCTCAAGTGGTAGAGTACAAGCCTTGAGCTGAAGAGCTGAGGGACAGCACCCAGGCCCAGAGTTCAAGCCTCATGACCAACCAAAAAAAAAAAAAAAAAGCAAGTGAGAAAAGGTTAGCTGTCTGTAAAACCTTTACAAGATGAATATGAATGCCAATTAATCTTTCTAACAACAAATTAGACAATATGGTACTTCTACCTATTTAAGATTCATTGCTTAAACTTGGTTCCATATAAAAAAGGAAGTCAGGTTGGGCAGTAAGAAAGAGAGATGTTATCAGAGGTATGATGTTATCAGAGGTCTCGTCTCCTCAAATTAAAAGTAGAGCTTATAAAAATAATGTGACCTAATGAAACAGTCTTTTTTTAATATAATAATGAAACAGTCTTTAACCCAGTTTGCTCTCAATATCAATTTCTCTTTGGTATCACAGAATAAAGAATTGAGACTTTATTTTGATATATATACTTACGTGTTTTTGTATATCTATGTTTTTAAGAGATTAAAACTCAATGTTATGTTTTTTCAAAGAAGAGTAATCACAAGAAATGCTATCAAATGGGTAATATTTTCCATTTAAGTACGGTACTTGCCTTTGGATTGTTTGCATCAAATAGACCAGTTGAAAGTCCAATCAGCAAAGAATTCTTGTTTTTACTTTTTGGCGGTGAATCAGAATGAGATCGAGGTGGAATGGATTCTTCTGTTAAACACTGAATTGATTGAATCTGAGAGAGTAAATTCAAGTGCTCAGAATGAATCACTTTATGGAACAATGGCTCTGGTTGCACTGATTTGTCTACATCATCTTTACAGGGCTGACAATCATCTATTCCAGGTTCTGTGGTTAGTACAAAAGAAAGTTCATATGGTAAGTCTATATAGTACTTGAAAACTCTAAGCAATATTTACAAGTCATGATATCTAATATAAGTTCTATCAAAAAACCCTTACACTTATCAGGAACACAAAATCAAAATATGTGTGTAAATATACTACTGTAAAAATAATCTTTAAGAGTATATTGTTTTATTTTCAGAAGTATTTAATTTAATGTAAACTTCCATTACATTAGAATTTGAAAATGGACAAATCCAAGGCAATGTGAAAAAATCTCACTGTCCTGATATTCATTTTTTCCAGCTAACATCTGTATTATAGAGTCGAAAAACTTATTTCTTATGTACTAATTGTACTATTAAAAGAGGACTATTTAGTGTCTTTACAACATTAGGTAAGTAATTCTCACTCTAAACACTCAATAAAATAAATGATAAAAAATTTTACTATCTTAATCTAGTCATAGACAGGTATTTCATTTTGAAAGGATTATGATGACTGACAAATAATGTTCTATCTATATGTTGCCCAAATAAAATAAATAGATGTTAATAAACCTTCCAAAAAGAAATTAGACTTATTCAGTGATGCTTACCCATATGTACTTCACTAAATTGGTCCACATTCTGTGGGATTCCATCTTGAGAAATTTCATTTTGCTCACTGGCAGCCCTATCCTCCAATCTGCATATAGATATGTCATTAAAAAAACATTCCAACGTAAGGAAAGACAGACATGTTCACTAGCATCATCTAAGTATTTTTCTCGCTTTTATATACTTTATAAGCACACTGCATTTTTTTACTTTGACCAAAAAGAAACTCTCACCAATCATTAATTATAAATCACATCTTTCACATGTTCTTTTCTCAGAGTTTAAATTTTACAAACCCTTGGAAGAAAAACAAATGCAACAGACTCAGCAATTCCTGTTTTGTTTCTTTCTTATAAATACAAGTAAATACCACCTAATGTAAAATGTTCCTCATTACAGCATCATCTGTAATGTTGCTAAGTGTCCACCAAGTAGACTTACTGGGTTGAGGTGTATCTATACAATGCAATACATATAAAAAGGACAGCCTTTGTGTATTAATAAACTAAATGTGTCCCAGAAAATAAGAAAGGTGGAAAACATTATGTGTATTATACTAACAATTATATTTTAAAACAGATGAAAATGATAACATTTCTCTAATTATTTTGAAGGAGGAGGGAATGGAAACCAGTTGGAAAGAGGAGGCAGGAAAAATATCTTATTCTAATCTTCATATTATTTATATAGTAGTGGATTTCTGAACCAAGTGAATATCTATTAAGGAATGAAATTATATCATAGTTGCCATATTAGGATCTTAAGCTAAAATGTAAGTTTATGATAGTATTATTTTAAAAAAGAATTACAAAGGGAAATTGATTTTCAAACCAGGAATAAAGGTACAGCATACTCAGGTTCATTTGGTTCTTTGTCCTCATTAAGCCACACATTGGTAACAGTACATGGCAAGCTCCCATCATTTATTTTCTCACGGGACTCTTGGAGAACTTCTGTTTCCAAATCTTCAGATTCTGCAGAGCAAAAACAGAACAGAAAACAGGTCAAAGCAAAGTATGTTAAGAAAAAAAACAACAACTGAGTAAACCTTCTATCAATGATCATTACTCAGTTTTAGACTCATATACTGATTATAATAGAGAAAGCAAACGTTTTACATATTGGCTTTCGTCTTTTTATGTGTTATTATTCTCCAGTCATTTTGAAATGACAGAGTAATCCTTTTACATTTTCACTGTAATAAAAATACTCAAAGGAAATACTGTAAATTATATTTTTTATTATATGACATTTTCTCTTTATTAAAATTTTATTTCTGTTAAGTTGATTTAAAGTATAAAGATGGATTAAGAAATAAAGATATCTGTTGTAACAAATATGGAATAGAATATTACTAACTAGTAAAGGAAAATTTATCTTTAAAATCCATATTTCAGTAACTTAAAAAGAAAAAATTAGAAATATTACTGGACTTTCTCTATGTTACTGATCACATAAATACAGTGTGGTAAATCTATGATCTTAAGTAATTAATAGCTGGAGAATTATGTCTGTTTTTCTGGTAGTGTCTTATATTTTAACTAATTAATGGTAAATACTGATATCTTTCTTCATTTGTTAATGACAATTTGTGTGCGTGTGCGTGCGTGTGTGTGTGTGTGTGTGTGTTTGTACCAGGCTTACATGTAGGGCTCAGCTTTCTTGCCCATGGATAGTGCCCAATCACTGGAGGCATACCTCTAGCCTGACATTTTGCTGGTTAGTTGAAGATCTGCTTTGCCTGGACTGGCTTCCAACCTCACTTCTCCAGGTGTCAGCTTCTGAATAGCTAGGAGTACACTGAACACCTGTGAGTACAGGTGCTCAGCTCTATTTTCTAAGAAACAGTCTACATAATCTTATTTAAGTCAACACTGTCCTTCCTTTTCCTAAGATCCAGACATGCTTCCTCCTATGTCTATAAAGATCCACATTCTCTGATCTGTTCTAAAAGGTATTTGATATTGTAAAGATTCTTACAGTTACTGTCTTTTAGTTATGTTTTTGGTCACTGAGATGAGATAAATGCTTAAGAGTGAAATCCTTTATTTTTAAATGAATATTCTCCAATATGTTAAGCCATGTAAGTATCAACACTTTTACTGCCAGAGGCTAAAATACTTACTAGATGGGTCTTCACAGAAAGTCTGTCAACCCTGCAGGAGGCCACAGAGCCTCCACTCTATGAGTTGTCCCTTTCCTTTCCTTTCCTTCTCTTCTCTCTCCGCCTTTCTCCCTTTTCCTTTTTCTCTTCCTCCTCTTTACTTTCCCTTTTCTTATTTTCTATTCTTTCTTATTTCTCTTTCTCCTTGTTTTCTTTTTGGAAGGTATAATACAGTATTTTAATTCAGGCTGCAGAGTATCATAGACTGAGTAGCTTAAGCAGAAATGTATTTTTCATAGTCCTCATATTAACTCAAGGCAGAGAAAAGCTTGCCTTAAAGGAAACAAAAATGAGTGGCTTTTGTTAAATAAAGTGAATGTCAGTAACATTGATATATGAAATTAACAAAGTTATGTACAATTTCCTCTGGGAAAAGCACCACCAGCTTGGATGGAAAGGGACAGATATGGGGAAGTGGCTCTGTAGCTCAAGTGGTAGAGCGCTCGCCTTGAGCTGAAGAGCTGAGGGACAGCGCCCAGGCCCAGAGACCGACAAAAAAAAAAGAAAAGAAAAGAAAAGAAAGGGACAGATATGGTTCAAAAGAGAAGAGCCCTTGAGGGCATCAATGTTTTGTGCAAAATGAGTGATGCTCCTCCGGCCTTTGCCAGAGCTCCTATGGATCAATGACAGTTATATTCCTGGCATCTTCTGTTTGTGAAAAGTACTCTCCAGGTCTGTTTTGGTGTATATTTTGGTGTGGAAAGCAAGTAACTCATTTTGTTCACTCATAGATTTAGATTAATTTTTTTTGAGGTACTGGGGCTTAACTTTGAGCCTTTTGCTTGCTAGTCAAATTCAAGTAGTCCTAGTCTACCTTTTGAACCATTCATGTCTCTAATTCTTATTGCTTTTATTGTTGATCAGGTCTTCCGCTTTTGGATAGACTGGTCTTGGACTGTGATCTTCTTACCTTTGCCCCCTGAATAGCTGGGGTTACAGGTGTGTTCTATACCACCTGGTTCCTGATGTTCAGATGAAGAATTCTCAAAGAACAAGAAAACTGATTTGGATAAGATCATCTTAAGACTAGTAGCTAATGAGGGAGAAATGTAAATAATGTCTTCTCTGTGGGTAGGCTATGACGGATTAAAGATAGCTGAGAATTATTTAACACTTTTCTCTTTGAGAGGTAGGCCTTGTATAACTTCCTTTGGATCCAGCTGAGTTAACACAATAGAAGTCAGATTACTCTACTAGAAAGAATACTTAGAGTGTCACTGAGACTTTACAAAGAGGAGAGAGGCCCATCTTAACTTAGCTTCCTCGATGAACCTTCTACCTGATCATAGTTAAGCATAGTTAAGTGATGTACTGGGTTTGAACTCAGAGCCTTGTACTTGTTAGGAAGGTTTTTCAACCCAATTGAGCCATGTCCTCAGTGTTTTTTGCTCATTATTTTTCAGATGGGGTCTTACATTATTTTGCCTAGGCTAAGCTGGACTGTGATTTTCATATTTACAAACTTGGCTGATAATAGGTATGAACTACCAACCCAGCTTTTTGTGCTGAGATTGGGGTCTTACCAATCTTTTGCCCAAGCTAGCTGTGATCCTCCTGGTTTCTATCTCCCAATCAAGCGATCTCTGAGATCATGGCACATTAGTTGGGAAAGAAGCATACCAACCCTTGGCTGATAAAAATAATAAAATATAGCCCGGAGGCAAGCAGGAAGATTACATGTTTGGGGCTTGGGAAAGTCAGGAACATCCTATGTGAAAGGACACATGGACACACGGACACACGGACACACACACACACACACACACACACACACACACGAAAATAACAAAAAAGTATTGGATATGTGGCTCAAGTGGAAGAACTCTTGCTTAGAATGCATGAGGCACTTGGTTCAATCCCCAGTACTAGTATTAAAAAAAAAAAGCCAGGTATTAGGTGGGCTTAGTGATGGGGGTCTGTAATACTGTTACTTGGGAAGAGGCAAGAGGATTGCAAATTCCAGGCCTGCATGAGCTACATAATGCGATCCGTCTTAAGACTGCCCTCCCCCAAAGGGGAAGAGGAAAGTTAGTAAAACTATAATAATAATAATAATAGTATAATATTGAACTTAGTTTGAGATGAGTTATTTAAAAATATACACAAATTCTGATAATTTCTTTATAAAGGTATGTTTATAAAAAAGAAACTTAAGTGCTATTAAATCAAATTTAGGTTGTTTTGTTCCATTTAAACATACCTGCCATATTTCCCTCTGGCCTTAATGATGTATGGGGAGATACCTCACCAATATTTGGACTTTCTGTCTCAACAGAACAATCACCAAGAGCTGATGGGGTAATATCTTGTGAAATATAATGTATTTCTTCTTCTTCTCCTCCAGTGATTAAAGGTTCGAGGTTTTCCTCTTCAGGAGAAATCTCTGAAAACACAAAAAATGAAAAATCATGCTAGTTTTCAAAATGACTTTTACAATTGTTATATGTTGTGCGTGTGTGTGTGCACGTGTGTGTACATGAACGTGCACACATACACACACACATGTGCACTGCTTCTGGTACTTGAACTCAGGACCTGTGTGCTATACCTGAACTTTTATGCTCAAGGCTAGTGCTCCTTTTATTGTTTTTGTGATGTCTGATTCTTAATCCTCAATTGGTTATCCACTTACCCTTTGAGATTTATTCACCTGAATTTTCATGGTTTAACCCCTTCTCATCTGTAAAGAAAATTATTATTTCTCCTTCTAACATGTGTTTTGGGTTTAGGGAAAGTCAGGAAACCCTGTGTGAAAGATAAAAAAAGACAAAAAACAAACAAATGCTGTGGCTCAAGTGGGAGAACACTTGCCTAGAACGCATGAGGCACTTGGTTCAATCCCCAGTACTAGGAAAAAGAAAAAAAGGCATGGTGGTAGGTGTCTACAATCGCATCACTTGGGAAGTTAAGACAAGAGGATTGCGAATGCCAGGGCTGTGTGAATTGGGTACTCTGTCTACTGGTTTCAGGGTCTTTGAGACCCTGCCTGGCATTTAAACATCCTATGGGAAGGAGGAGGCTTGTGGTAATCATATGAGCTATGGAACTGGGCTCAGAGCTCAGTTCTAACAGGATGTGGCTACTCACTACTCATTACTGTCCCAGCTTCCTCCCACTTATTTAAACTACTCAGTGGGTCCACATCAGACCTCCCTTTCCATAACCTTTTTGTGGTCACCAACCGCCCACACTGTGACAAGGTGTACCCAGAGTCTCCGAGCCATAATTATTCCCTGTTTTCAGGAAGCCACAATAGTTTAATCTCAAACAATAGGCATCTCTCTCAAGATACAGAACTGTGGACTGGGAAGGTGGGCTCAGTGATAGAGCGCTTGCCTTGAATGCCTGAGGCCCTGAGTTCGATTCCTCAGCACCACATAAGCAAAAAGAAAAAAGCCAGAAGTGGCGCTGTGGCTCAAGTGGTAGAGAGCTAGCCTTGAGCTGGAGAGCTGAGGGACAGGGCCCAGGCCCAGAGTTCAGGCCTCACGACCGGACCCCCTCCCCCCCAAAAAAATACAGAACTGTGAGATGTGGGGTATGAGACACCAAATCCCTGAACCAGGGTTAAGGCTTGGAAAAAATGTGGACGTCCTCTGTGGCTAGGCCTGTCAGTCTTGGGCAGGGGTGGTGGCTTACCTGGTAGTTGGGGCTCTGGCCTCCCTGTCTCTGCAGGGATCCAGGATTGGACTTGCAAACTTTTAACTATCACCTTTCTGTTTCTCCATGCTTTACAGGTGTCCTGTCACCTCTTTCATCATTTCTGATGCTTTTCCTAGCTCTCTCTTCAGAATATAGTGATTCCCAATGTTTTTACACCCTGTCTTCAGAATATAGTCTCTCCTTTTATTAGGCTGACTCTTCATATTCATTGTGTCAAATGGAGGAAATGCTCAGACTATCATTGAAGACTGGATGCAACTTCCTCATCGTTATTTTTTAAAAGTTTGGAGCCTGCAAGCATTTTTGTCCTGAATAAAGCCAGAGGCATTTTAAAAATGAGCTCTGACTAAAGCGTAATATTAGGTTACTAGTATTTTTGCTTTTGGTTAGTGTTTCGCATACAACTTCAAAATTTAGGATATGAGTGTACAAATGATATACATATTTATAGATTGTGCTATTGCCCTTTTTACAAACAAATGAGTGCATTACTTCTTTAGTCAAATTATGTTTCTTTGTTATTAGATAAGCGATTGGTTTGTGGTTAGGAAATTCACTCTTAATGAGGAAACAGAAACCCACTTTTGCTCTTTCATTAGAGAACCTGTCAATACCTTTACCTCCTATGTTATTTTTCTACTAGCTTCAGGAGGTGGAGAGACAGCAGGATCTTGAATTTGAAGCTCTACTCTAAGCTTTAAGAAGAAACACAGAAAAAGAGCAAGGAGAGAGTAAAAAGTTAAATACATATTCTCCATTACTTTCCTAAATGAGAAAACTATGCTCCATGTTTTCCTTCCTTCCTTCCTTCCTTCCTTCCTTCCTTCCTTCCTTCCTTCCTTCTTTCCTTCCTTTTTTTGTCAGTCATGAAACTTGAACTCTGGGACTGGGCACTCTTCTTGAACTTTTTTGCTCAAGACTAGTGCTCTACCACTTTGAACCACAGCTCCAATTCCTGTTCCATGTTTTTAACATGTGCTCAAACTCTTTAGTGTAAAAGGCCTGTCCTACACTTGGCCACTTTTCCTTTTTTTTTGGCTGGTCCTGGGGCTTGAACTCAGGATTTAGAAGCTGTCTCTGAGTTTCATTTTGCTCAAGGCTAGCCCTCTACCACTTGAGCCACAGTTCCACTTCCAGCTTGTTTAGTAGGTTATTGGAAATAAGAGTTTCACAAACGATGACAATAACAACAACAACAACAACAACAAAAAGAGTCTCAGGGACTGTCTAGGCTGGCTTTGAAACACATTCCTCAAATCTCAGTCTCCTGAGTAGCTAGGATTACAGGCATGAGACACGGCATATCGTTTTCCTCTTGCCTTATAACAACTATCTGTCTCCTATTCAAGAATAATGTTTATATTTGCCTACTGGAGATTTCTTTTACTCAATTTAATTCCTGAATTTACTTCAGAAGATACAATACCAGCTAGGTGTAGTGGTATACATCTATAATCCTAGTTATTCAGGAGGTAGAGACAGCAGGATTGTGAATTTAAGGCTGCCCAGAGAAGTTAGTGAGATTCTATCTTAAAACAAAACGTAAACAGGGTTGGACATGGCTTAAAAGGTAAAGTGCATACCTAGTACTTAAGAGTTCTCATGTCAATCCTCAGTATCAGAGAAACAAAACACCCAACACAAAACACACAGGCAGATACAAATATACCTTTAATAAACACTGTTCTAACTTTTCCAAATCCCCAATAGATATCTCCCTTTCTCTTATTTTTAGATTCATCTAGGTCATATCAAGATCAAAATTCAATGCTACCATTTACGTCAACTCCCCAGAAAACAGAAGTATTCTCTATCTTATAAGAAATTATAAAAACAATCAAATAATTCACATTTAAAAATAATATTCTAGTATAAACAATTAGTTTTTGCTTACCAGTTTTAATGGTTGTGTTTTCCAATAGTTCTGTCTGAAGCTGGAGTTCAGCTTCTCCAAGTATCTTTAGAACTGAATCTGCAGGGCTCTTCCCCCAGACTTTTCTTGGCGATCCAATAGGATCTAACTTAATAACCTCTCCCACTGTACGTTCTAAAAGAAAAAAATTACAAAGAAATAATTTTCAATGATAGAACATAATAGTACATTGTTCAGCAAGATTTTTGTCTTTTGTCCAAGTGAATGCTTCATGAGAAAAAATTTATTAAAAAGAAAACAGATTCGAGCTGGGCGCCAGTGGCTCACACTTGTAATCTTAGCTACTCAGGAGGCTGAGATCTGAGGATCATAGTTCAAAGCCAGCCCGGACAGAAAAGTCTGTGAGATTCTGATCTCCAATAAACCACTAGAAAACTGGAAGTGGCACTGTGGCTCAAGAGGTAGAGCACTCGCCTTGAGCTGAAGAGCGCAGGGACAGCACCCAGGCCCAGAGTTCAAGGCCCACGACCAACAGAAAAAAAACAAAACAAAACAAAAAACAGATTCTAAGATAAATATGGGTTTAAAAAGCCAAAAAATACATCTAAGGAAATATGTATTGTTCTAGCTTATACACGTTAAGTACACAAATTTCCTTTGAACAATGATAATCATAATAATAATAATTTTAAGTAAACTATTTTAATAAAACTTAGCAAAGATAAGAATTGCCTATTGAGGTTTTAACTTTCTAGAACATTGGGTAGTAAAACTTGAAGCATATAGGTACCAAGCAGCAATACGTAGGATTTAATAGAGTATTTGAGTAATATAGACTTATCAGTGGTAATCTATACAATTTGATAGTTTTTTCTTTTAACCATCTCAAAGAGGCTTTATTAGGATATAAGTAGCAGTACATGGACTGACTCCAAGTTAATAGTTTCATATATTAGTTCCATGAGAGCCAAGTGCATATACAGATAAGCAGGGGATATTTAGTTTTGTATAACTAATATGATTAAAACCAAATTTAAAAGGGATGGTTAAAAAGAGTAAAAAACCCAGAAATAAACCCAAGAGACAGTCTTTTGATATTAGACAAACATGCCAAAGCAACACAATGGAAAATCTCTTCAACAGACAAAACTGGAATGACTCAATGTCCACAAGAAAAAAATAAATAAAGTTCAATCTCTTCAATGTAGGCAGGAAAAACTTATGTGGTGCTGAAGAGACAGAACTGGGAGTCTGGGAAGCCAACGTGACTGGCATATAAGATAAATTACTGAAGATCAGAAACTCTCTCCCTCTCAAGAAAACTGGTTTTTACAATCTTTTTGCGCCACTTCAGGTCTTATTTGAGCAAAGCATACCATTCTATCTAGTATAAAGCCATAACAAAAACAACAAAACCCTCTGGGATCTGGAGAAAAGATCACCCAGTAATAATAGTTGGAATATTTTGTGTTGGAATATAGTTCTTAGTTCCATCAGAATACAAATACTCAAAATTCACAGGGCACTGGGTGGACTATTCTGAAAGGCTGCTGACTGAGTAAAGAGAAAAGATTAGCTACAGACTAAACACTGCTCTGAATCACTTAACAAAGCTTAAAATTCAACTGAAAAGGGTCAAGATATTCACAAGTGACTAAATTATGTCCTAGAACAAAAGTCTAGTTTATTTATAGGAATATAAAATTCAATAAACTCACAAGGTCACAGTGTTTAGCCCTTAAACAAATACTATCGAAGCAGGCACAGAGAAGCATAAGAATACAGCCTATAATAAATGAAGAAAGTCAACCAATCAAAACTAGCCTCCAAATAGAGAGATGATGAGATTAGTGGACAAAGAGATTTATAATTGTCATTAAAATGCAATTCTGGGCCAGGTGTCAGAGGTTCACACTTGCAATCTTAGCTACTCAGCAGGCCGATATCCAGAGGATCGTGATTTGGAGTCACCCCACATACAAAGTCTGAGGGAGGATGAGGAGGGGAAGAGAGAAAGAGAGCGAGAAAGAGAGACAGACAGACAGACAGAGACAGAGACAGATAGAGACAGAGACACTCCTCCAAAATAACTAGCAAAAACTGGGCTGGAGGTGTGGCTCAAGTTGTAGAGAGTCAGCTGAGCAAGCAAGCCAAGCAAACACAAGGCTGGAGTTCCAAGTTCTTCCTCAGATAAAATCTTAGTTTCTTATGAAGCCTTACAAGTTTGCCACCTATTATCTCTTAAATATGTGTCTTCTCTTTATTACCCTTCTATAAATTGGTTAAGGATTATTATCAACTTTTGACACTATGTAGTTCAATAGCTTTTCATTTTTATTTATTATTTTTTTTTGCCAGTCATGGGGACTGAACTCTGGGCCTGGGCGCTGTCCCTCAGCTCTTCCGCTCAAGGCTAGCACTCTACCACTGGAGCCACAGTGCCACTTCCGGCTTTTTCTGTTTATGTGGTGCTGAGGAATCGAATCCAGGGCCTCATGCTTGCAAGGCATGCACTCTACCGCTGAGCCACCTTCCCAGCCCCTTCAATAGCTTTTTAAAACTAGTCTTCTAACTAAGGTGGCATAAGGTAGTTATAGTTATTCTCTAAGTAATCACAGCAATTAGAAAAATATACAAACCTTCAAGACACTGGATAATAATAATGAACATAGAACCTTCAAGAGGAAAGAAATCAGTATAACTTCCTCATTGACCATGATCAATCATGATTGCCATGATCACCCAGCTTGCTGCCCAGAATATTTCCAGGCCACAGGAGAGGGAAGCTAGGCCCAATTTAACAGGTTTACTTCAGAGGCAGGGCTGGAATTCCTGAAAACCTTGTGTAACTAGTAGAAGAATTTCAGAGATCTGTAGAGAGTAGTAAGCTTTGGTGATCAGTCTAAGAAGGATACTCAAGGTAGAAAAAGCACCACCTAAAACACTACAGGAAACATTAAGACATGAAATAGCCATTGCTATCACCAGTCAACCTGGGAAGCCTTGTAATTCCTAGTATAATATGTACTTACAAGGCTCTTATCTCTGTAGTAGAAGTAATTATCATGAATTAAACATGGTTCCAGTCTCATCTCACAAACATTAGGGGAAAAAAGCCCCAAATAATTATAGAAATACAAAAAAACTAACCCTAAATAAGGTAAAATTCATGATGTATGACAACCAATAAGAAATTTGTCACACATGCAAATAAGCACAAAAATATAACCTTTAATAAGGAACAAAAAATGCAAGGAAAAAAATGGACCCAGACTGAGACAGGTGTTAGAATAGTGTGCAAGGATTTTCCAGTTATGTAACCAAATCAAACTATTAAAGATTATGAAAAACACATTGTCTGAGATAAAAAAATATACTGCATAGAATATACTGCAGGAAACATATAGAAGAAAAAAGGATATAATATAGTGAAGACAGACTAACAGACCATCCAGAATCTTTAAAAAATGAAAGGAGTATCACACAGGTAAGAAATTAAATTGGAATTCCTGTAGGAGGGAAGTAGGTGGAGGCATAAAAAATATTAGATTAAAAAATGTCTAAAGAGCCAGGCGCCGGTGGCTCACACCTGTAATCCTAGCTACTCAGGAGGCTAAGATCTGAGGATCACAGTTCAAAGCCAGCCCAGGCAGGAAAGTCCGTGAAACTCTTATCTCCAATAAACCACCAGAAAACCAGAAGTGGTACTGTAGCTTAAGTGGTAGAGTGCTAGCCTTGAGCTAAAGAGCTGAGGGACAGCGCCCAGGCCCAGAGTTCGAGCCCCACGACCGACAACAACAACAAAAAAGTATAAAGAATTTTTAATTTAGAAAAATAAGTAAGCTCAACAATACAAGGAAAGGGAACAAATACAATCACATCAAGGTTCTTCGTAATTGTATTGTTCAAAACCTGAGAAGATCTTAAAAATAGAGCCAGGTGCTCGTGGTTCACCCTCATAAATTTAGCATCTCAAGAGTCTGGAAGGATGTTGGTTTGAGGCCAGCCCAAGAAGAAAAGCCCACTGGACTCCATGTCTACAGCAGGGGTTAAGTGGTAGAGTGCCAGATGAACAAAAAAAAAGGAAGTGCAACTCTCTGAATCAAACCACAGTACCACCAAAAAAAACACCCCAAGTCTTTCCATTTAAAAAATTATATTAAGTGAAGTAAGCCAGGTCCATAGAAACATAGATCCCATGGTTTCCCTTATTTGCAGTGACTAGTATATGTATGAGTCAAGCAGAAAAGGTCAGATAAGTTGATGTTAGGAAAATGAACCCTAAGATATGTATTCAAATGTTTTTTTCTTTCATGCGATTGTTTCTAACACACTTATAAAATTATTTGTTGCTTTGTATGTCCCTCCCCCATGGTATAACCCCTGTTTTCACTGTATTTGATGTTGGTATAATTTGTGGAGGGGAAGGGAAAAAACAAATCATTTCAATAGGGATACAGGTGGACCCATTACAACAATGAGATGTACAAGTCGTTATGTCAAAAATGAACTTTACAACTTTGGTGGGCGGGGGAGGATGGTGAGGGGGAAGGGAGGATGGGATGGGAAGGGGAGGAGGCTACAATGCTTGATAAGAAATGTACTCATTGGGGGGAGAGGGGGAAGGAGAAGGATTGGGATTGGGGGGGAGGGGGGAGGCTGGGAAGGGATGTGAAGGGTAAACAAAGGAGGAGGCTGCAATGCTTGGTAAGAAATGTATGCATTATCCTGCCCATGTAATTGTAACCCCTCTGTACAGTATGTTCACAAATAAAATTAAATTAAATTTAAAAAAAAGAAATGTACTCATTATCTTTCCCATGTAATTGTAACCCCTCTGTACAGTAGTTTCACAATAATAAAAAAAGAAATATTAAAAAAAAGAAATGTACTCATTATCTTGACCATGTAATTGTAACCCCTCTGTACAGTATTTTCACAATAAAAAAAACACCCCAAAACCCACATTAACAAATAACAACAACAAAAAGATGATAAAAAAGCAGAGAAAAAATTATGTACAGAGGAACAAAGATAAGGACAAGACTTCTTTTCAGAAACAATGCATATGAGAAGACAATGCTAAGCAGATCCAAAGAGCACTGAGAAAGTGAAAAATGAGCTCATTCTACAACCATGAAAGCAGAGGACTTTAAATGGGTTCAATTGCTAGATAAACAAAAACATGAACATCCTCCACATGATTTACACAAGGCTCAAAATCTCATAAGGTAAGATTCAAAATGTTCAGGATGGAATTAATCTTAATTATTATGAAAAAAGACAATAGTCAACACAAATGTAACACAGCTGTTGGAATTATGTAACAAAGATTTAAAAACAGTTATAAAAAATGTCACAGGAAGCAATCATAAGCATTCTTATGAACTCTTAGAAAAGAAACAGAACATATAAAGGACATTATGTTAAATTCAAATTTCAGTGTCTGTTAATAAAATTTTACTGGAAACAAGGCCATTCTCATTGGTATTGATGCTTTGTACAGCTTTGCAACAGAGTTAGGCCTGCAGAACCTAAAATATTTACTATTGGTCATTTAGAGAAAACATTTGCTGATTCCCTTTTTAAAGTCTTCTCTCCACACTTAGAGTAAGTCTACTATTGGTTGGCATAAATGTGCAGGACCCTTTATGATCTGGCTCTGCTCAGTTCTTCCAAGACCTCTTGCTTGCAAGGGCAAATTATTTGTCACAAGTTTTGAACTTTATCCATGTTGAATTATATCTACTTCTCCAAGTTTCCTATGGTCTCTTACCCTTGAGCATGGGAGAGTGGCCATTCTTTTTCTTCTTTCCTTCAGCAAAATTGCATAGTCTAGAAATGACTTCTTTTGCTGCTCAAGACTGGCATGCCTGCCGGGCACCAGTGGTTCACATCTATAAAATGCTAGCTACTCAGGAGGTTGAGATCTAAGGATCATGGTTCAAAGCCAGCCAGGGCAGGAAAGTCCATGAGACTCTTATCTCCAATTAACCACCAGAAAACCAGAACTGGTGCTGTAGATCAAAGTGGTAGAGCACAATAGCTCAGGGACAGTGCTTGGGCCCTGAGTTCAAGGCCCATGCTTGACCAAAAAAAAAAAAAAAGACTTTTATGTCCTCCTAAGCATTCTACTCCTAGGAGTAATCATAGGATACTGGAAGAATGCTTAGGAGGGCATAGCTACCTTTTTGTCAAATAAGTAAATAAAGTAAATGCTATCAAATCTTTGGAATTTTCTTCAATGCAAGAGAGAATTTGACAAAAAAATAGTCCATAAAAATTATTTTACACTGGCTCTTTCAGAATATAAGCTCTAGAAGAGCACATACTTTTCTGTTTTGCTTTTCGTTATATCTCTAGTATCCAGAACAATAAGAAAATAGTGAATACTCAGGAATTCTTTCTGAGCAGATAACACATTAAGTCAGATCTCAGTAACCTTGGGAAATGCTTAAGGGATCTAAGATTTTAATCAAAGTTCACCACTCTGCTTCTCATGAAGAATTAACAGTATAAAGTGCAAAGTAACACAATTTAAAAATGCATTATAGTTCCCTCTCTCATACATTTTTGTGTAAAAAGAAAATCCTTGGTATTCTGAAGACTGAATTGTTTTCTACATTCTACATGATACTAGAAGACAGCATTTCTCTTCTAGAAGGAAAATATATACAAGTTATGCAATTCCTTTAAGTGTTCTTCCTTCAGATTGCCATTTAGTCAGCCTACTAATTTACATGTGTAATAAATCAATATGGGCTATTAACATGCTTATACATACTTTCAGTTGCAGAGAAGGACATATCCAGTGCCACCTCATCCAGGGGAATCACAAGTTCACCTCCTACTTCCCACTTCTTGCGATCAGATGGGACAGATTTTTCTTTTTCATACTGTCTGGCATCCTCATGAACAATTATCTCAGACATATCGGAGTGATTCTCCTTTCCGTTCTCATCTTCTTGAGCTTTGAGATTTTCATTTAGTCTCCGTAGTATTTCACGTTTATTCTGCAATGGTTACAATGTTACATATTATATTGTACTTGCAACTTTCTCACTGAAATTGGAAATAAGAATCTCTTGGACTTTTCTGACTGGGTTGGCTTCAAACTGTGATCTTCAGATCTCAGCCTCCTGAGTAGTGAAGGTTACAGACATGAGCCACCAACCCCTGACTACAATGTTATAATATGCATATGATAAACTAAAATCACTGACAGACTAAAAATTACACTTACTGAAAGAGCACTGTTGGTCTTTTGTATTTCTTCCAAAGGTTCTTGGGTATCAGTTAAACTTCTGTCCTTTAAACACAGATAATTATAAAGAAGTAATGTTATTTTAAAAGTCTACATGGAAACATCAGATAATATTGTTAACTTTGCTTTTTCATGAAATTGCTCCTTATGAACTTTTTCTATTCCTGTAGAATGTAAAGAAAATATCTTTCATTATCAGCAATGATGAACAATTAAATATTATCAACTAGTACACTTAACATATACAAGGGCCAATTCTCAATTATTTGTCATATTTCAACTGAACTATATCCTCTTCTTTTATATTTAATTTTTGGTAACTGTAGAAATAAAGGAAAATTCACATATTTTGTTAGAGCTAAGGAACATTTTGTGAATAAAATAATTCAAGATAGACTAAGCTGTTTGAAATTGTTTCATAAGTATGAATTTATACATATGTAATTTCATAAATGTAAAAAATACAAATTTGATAGTAGGCTTTGAATTCAGGCCTCACCTGTCCTTTTTTGCTTTATTTTTTAGGGAGGTAATCATGCTTTTGGCCTTGGGCTGCTCTTAAAACTTTGATGCTCTCAATTTTGGCTGTCAAAGTCGATAGGATTTTAAGCGTGCATCACCATGCCTGGTATGTATACATATTCTTGTTAAGCTATAGTCTTAAACATAATTGAAAATTGGCCTTCTTTAAAAGTAAAGAGAAAACCAAGTAATAATCGCGAGTCATTTGTGCTATTAATAAGAATTTTAAGTATTTGTAACGAAGAAATTAGTAGTTGTGACAGAAAAGGTTAACTAAAAGCAATTTTCAAAGTTTGAAATAAACAACATTTATCAATATAGTGCAGTAAGTAAAACCATTTAGTTATACAACTTATGTCAAATTATAAAATGATTGAAAAATACAAAAGATCACACAGTTAATTAGTTTTAAAGTTAACACATATATACAAGACAAGGAGCATTTTACCCAGTAAAGTAGTCGGGAATTAGCAGTCACTACAAGCACAGAGATGAACAGCTACTTGAGATGTGACACTGGATATCAGAGAGGAAACCATATACTGGTATCTAAAGTTGAAGTGAACAATGTAGCACATGTAAAGTTGTCATCAGAAAGGGAAAAAGAAAAAACCTACTTCAAGAACAGTGGTTTCTTATATGAAGTTCTGGAGAGTGATCAAGAAGCTTAGATTTTCCTGTTCAGCCCTATTTTCTAGATGAATACAAAAGCTACAAAAAAATTAGTGTAATACTCAAAAGTCCTTGTAGTTAGTTTTACAAAGCTTAATAAATCTCACAAATAAAAGGTACAAACATTGATTACCAGGAAAGGAAAAAATTGAGGTTAATGTATTAAAGAAAAAAACAGAGTATTTTCTTTTTGTTTATTAAAATCTAGTATGACACTCTGTATTATGAGCTCATTTTTCCTCACCATGGAACAGGTTTCACACATCACATAGATACCTTGGTCCATACCGAGTTTAAACTTTATTTTTGTCAGTTGTGGGTTTGAACTCAGGGCCTAGTTGCTGTTCCTGAGCCTTCTAGAAACTTTTTTTTTTTTTGAAGTTTAAACTCTGCCCATATTTCCTTGTTTTACTATCTGGATGGCATATACAGATTCAGAAATAGAAGGTAAAAGAAATAATTGTTGAGTTCAGCATAATTACACAGAATCCTCCACCATCTGCTATGTCATTAAATTTTGAATAAATGCAAACATACCTTGGACTTAATTCCTAGTGTTAGTTGCTTCAAGTACCAAAGAGATATTAGTTTTAAAAACAAAAATATGAACATTTGTTAATCATGAAGGTGGGGGTACAGAAGTATTTGTTGGACTATTTTTAGTAAATTTATTTCTATACAGTTTTGTTCAGTATCCCGTTAAAGTGAAAAAGGAGCCTGGAATGTGTACCACCTTATACCAAAATCAACAGATGCTCAAGTTTTGTTTTTTTACATAAAATAGCACTGTATTTACATACATGCTACCCACAAACTCCATATATATGTGTGTATATATATATATATGTAAAATCATCTCTAGATTAAATATTTGACAGTGAAATGATATGTAAATAGCTATCCTAACATATTGCTTAGGGAATATTATGAGGAAAATGTCTATACATGCTCAGGACAGATGCAATCACCACAGGCCTACCCATATTCTACACATCAGCAATAATATTTTTTTCCCCAAGTGTTTTTGATCTGAGGTTGGTTGACGCAGATGTAGAACCCTCAGAAACAGTGGGCTGAACATATTTATTGACCAAGTAGTCCTAGATACAAAAATCTGTAAGTAGAAAGATTCCAGTATTCAAAGAAAGCCAAAACAATCTTAAGGAGTATATTTTTCTCCAGAAAAATCAAGGGGAATGTTAAGAATTAACGTAATTTGGGATGGGATGGAGTCTCTGGGAGGCGAGTAGACAAATGAAGAAGTGGGGGGCAGAATGCAGTAAAAAATTCAAAGTGTATCCTACAAAATTTAGAAAAATGAGGGAAGAGTGGATTAGGAGGGGTGGGTTAGAATGTTGAAAGGGGTGACACTGATCAAGATGCATTGTCTTCATAAACTGCTTTGTTGAATGGCAACTCCTTTGTACACTTACTTGAAAATAATAATATAAAAATTAAGAATGAATGTATTTCATTAAATTTAATTTCTTTTAAATAATCGTTCAACTTTGAGGAGTTCTGAATTTTAAAAAACTTACAACCTTACCAGCTAGGTGCCAGTGGCTCACACCTATAATCCTAGCTACTCGGGAGGTTGAGATCTGAGGATCACGGTTCAAAGCCAGCCCAGGCAGCAAAGTCTGTGAGACTCTGATCTCCAATAAACCACTAGAAAACCACAAGTGGCACGTAGCTCATGAGGTAGAGTGCTCACCTTGAGCTGAAGAGCACAGGGACAGCACCCAGGCCCAGAGTTCAAGCCCCACAACCAACAAAAAAAAAAAAAAAAGAAACTTACCATACCCACTTCTTTCAAAGCTGACGTCACAGAAACAACTGGTAATATCTGTTGCTTTGATGGAGAGCCACCTGTTTCATGCTGTCACAAAGGTGGAAAAACATTAGAACTCTTTATTCCTTTAGCTACCAACTATAGAGAAACAAGACTTGATCAAATACAATGGGAATTTTATGGCTGCATTAAGACATAAAAAGCTACATACAAACAATTCTCTCATTCTTCAATTATTTACTGAGCAAGACACTGATAGGTGCTGGGAAGAGAATAGCTCAAAACCTATGGCCTGATGTTAAACATATTTATCAACATGCCCTGTAGTCTAAAGAATTGGTTTCCCTGGTGTTACTGTCTCATAAATGAGCCTAAAAAAGTCTTCTGAATGTTTATTTTTATTCAGCTTCATTCTAATCTACTATAACATTTGATATGAAAAATACTTATCAATCTTACATTTCAAAAAAGAAATACTTCTGTGATTTCTGTAAGTTTAGGTAAAATCTACTTATCATCAACCATCCAATTTAAGAGTCCTTATTATAAAAAACATTAACGTAAGTGAGAATGGAAGGGCAGATAGAGAAAATAAGATTTGCTTCATTGAAATGGTCATGATATTCATGCTTGTTCTTATCATGCTCTTGCCATTTAGACTTTAAACAGTATGAAGACTCTGAACTTTAACAAATACCAAGAAATGGTGTTCAAATTGCAGTTCTTGCTGTAATTTGAAAGTATGATGGCAGATGTCTGATTCCCACTTCTAGCTTTCCTCAAATCAATCAACAAAATTTTTTGAAGAGTATACATACCAACACCATATTTATTGCATATCCTCTAAGAATAAAGCAGTAATACTTTGTTCATTGAAAAAATATACTTATGATCAAAATTACAAATAACTTAAAAACACACAAATATGTAATCTCACCTTGAGAGATTGGGTTAGAATATTTTTGAATTCTTATGATTTTATATCACAGATATAGTCAAAGGATTCATAATTCTAAGGAAATAAAAGCAAGCTCCAAAGCAGTTCTGAACAATGGCAGCATTTTTAGAAAATATTAAAAGTCATTTCTAAAATTAAAAGTAATTTTAAGAAACTGGGCAGACACATAATAGAAGCACTAGATAAACTCTTAATAATGTATTATTGTTCAGAACAATAGCATTATTTTTAGAGCCTCAACTGCAGTACATGAATTTTCTTAAAGAAATGATTCCTATTTCAGTATCTGAATATGAAGTCATTCTTAAGAAAAACAAATTCACAATATTGTGATAAAATCAATTTGCCAACAAATTAAGACTTTAAAAAGTACCTATTAATGCCAAACACAATACTAGATAATGAATACCTAAAATGAATTAAGACTCAATGCTTTCTTTTAAAGGGCTATAAAATAAAGAATGAGAAATATATAAATTGGTATGTTACAGAGAAATAAGACTAGAGATATGTGTACATGTGCTAATTGAACTCAGGAAAAATGCAACAAAACAAAAAACCAGAAAGCATGGTGTAAATGTAGGAATGGGGCTAATGAAACCAGCCTTCAAAAGAGTAGCCAGTGTTGTTGGTCGGAATGTAAACTTGTTCAACCACTCTGGAAAGCAGAGTGTTTAACTCAAAAGACTAAACATAGAGTTTCCCTATGACCCAGCAATCCTACTCCTAGGCATTATCCAACTGACCACAAACCAGGCTGCACTAAAGCCACCAGCACAACCATGTTCACTGTAGCATTGTTTACCATAGCTAAGATATGGAATCAACCTACATGCCCCTCAGTGGATGAATGGATTAAGAAAATGGAATTCTAAGCTTCCATCAGAAAGAATGACATTATCCCATTCATAAGGAAATGGAAAGACTTGGAAAGAATTATCTTAAGCAAAGTAAGCCAGACCCAAAGAAACAAAAGTTACACGGTTTCCCTCATTTGCAACATTAGAATGTGCCTATAAATCTACAAATAAACTCAGTGGAACTAAAAGACAAAAAATTGCATTTGGAGCCGGGCGCCAGTGGCTCATGCCTATAATTCTAGTTGCTCAGGAGGCTGAGATCTGAGGATCAGGGTTCAAAACCAGTCCGGGCAGGAAAGTCCGTGAAACTCTTATTTCCAATAAACCACCAGAAAACTGGAAGTGGAGCTGTGGCTCAAGTGGTAGAGTGCTAGCCTTGAGCTGAAGAGCTGAGGGACAGTGCTCAGGCCCAGAGTTCAAGCCCCACGATCAACAAAAAAAAAAAAAATTACATTTGGACATGATAAATTAAAAGATATTCTAAATATTCTAAACAATGAGACCAAAGGAGGTTATTCTGATGACAAGGGCTCAACAACTATGTGCATATGATCATATAAAATGATGCTTATTGAAATGAACTCCAAGAAATGGAAACAAGAGGTTTTTTATTTTACTATTTGTGATGTTTTTTTCTCTCTGTTTTCCTCTTTTGTCACTGTTTTTGATTTGTTCCTCTTTTCTTGTATATAAGTTTATCTGATTTGGGGAGGGGAAGAGGAAGCACAGAAACAGTGGGACAAAGTGTGTACTAATTTAGTAGTGATACTCAGTAGATACTATGCTGAAAATGAATTATACATCTTGTGGGAGAGGGAGGTCAGGAGGGAAAAAACTGGGAGAAAACAAAGGAAGAGGTGATACTGTTCAGAAAGAAATGCACTTAATACCTTACTCATGTAACTGTAACCCTTCTTTATATCACCTTTACAATAAAAATTCTAAAAGAAGAGTAGCCAGTTTTTGAACAATCATTCATTGTTCAAGGAAACCAACACCACATAGCTGAAGTAGAACACATCCTGTACCTAAAAAAACCCAACTCACCCACTAGCCCTGTGAATATCTTTATTATTATTTTTTTTTACCATCTCTAAACCTCATTTTTTTCTAAAAGCGGAAGACTATATTCATTGTCTCCTTGCTGTAAATATTGAACAATTTGTGCAAAGAAATCACTCAGCTGTGGATCTAATAAAAGGTAGCAATTATTATTTACCTAGTTTCTATTAATAAAGCTATTTGGCTTAAACATCAAAAGTATGGTGGGTTTTTCATATCTCTGATGAAATAATTCACAGAAAATAAGTTTTTGATCTTTAGAATGTAGAATAAAACAAAGACCTCTCATATATTTGTGTGATCAGACTTTAAATTTTGGTGTTGAATAAAGGAGGTTTCAGGACTTAGAAGTTGACAAGAGACTGAGATCTGAGGATTGTGGTTTGAACCTAGCCTGGGCAGAAAAGTCCCTGTGAGACTCTTATCTCCAATTAACCACTCAAAAACTGGAATTGGCGCTGTGGCACAAGTGGTAGAACGCAAGCCTTGAACACAAAGAAGCTCAGGGACAGCACCCAGGCTTTGAGTACAAGCCCTACAACTGACCAAAAAAAAAAGAAGTTGACAAGAAACAGAAACCCCCAGAGTCAAATGTTTCATATAAATTCAAAGAAAACTTGTATTTTTAAAAAGATAAAATATTTAATAAAATTGTATGAATAAACAGAGAATAACATGGATTTCACCAACTTCAGTAAACAAAGAATATTACTAATTTCCCTTCATATCCTGTAATATAATTTTCATTCATCCTTTTAAAATCAGTTTAAAAGTTCTTTTTATTTTGTGGCACTTGGTATTGAACCCTGGACCTCACATTTGCCAGATAAGCACTCTGCTACTTGAGTCATTTGAGATGGAGGTCTTACTAATTTTGTCTAAGCTTGCCTTGAATGTGGATTCTCTTTTTTTTTTGGGGGGGGGGTGTCGTGGGGCCTGAGCTCTGGGCCTGGGCGCTGTCCCTCAGTTCTTCAGCTCAAGGCCAAGGCTCTACCACTTGAGGAATGTGGATTCTCTTATCTCTGCTTCTCAAGTTGAAGAGGCATTTCTGAGGATCACAAGTTTAAGGGCAGCTTGGACAACACAGTGAGATCCTGTCACACTCGTACTCACACTCACACACACACATTCACACAGAGTTTAAAAAGCTTGGTAGGTGGTGTATATATGTAAACCTAGCACTTCGGAGGCTAGAAGGTCTTAAGTTCAAAGGTGGCCTGGCTTATATATCAAGTATAATTCTAGCCTCTGCTATATAATGAGACCCTATCTGAAGCTAGTAGGCAGATAACTATAACAGGAACATGAAAAAAGTCACTCATATACTCATTGCTCCAATTAGATATAAACAGACTCTTTCAAAGATTTTTTTCAGGCTAGGGATAGATATATCCCTAGCTCAGTGGTAGACTGGTATTTACTATACATGATGTCTTCAGTTTGATCTGCAGAAATAACTTTCTCTCATATTTATATGCATACATAGTTTATAAATAGTTTAAATAACCCTCTGAAATCATAGAGAGATGGACTCAGAACAACTTTTTAAAATCTAGGCAGTACTTAGTGGATTTTGTTCTCAGTTTAAAAAAAATGGGAAAACTCACATAGAAGGCTCAAAATTCTTTGCCTAGACCTTATATTCTTAAGCTGTAAAGTACATTGAGTAGAGGTATTCCTATATTAATCTTAACCATAAAGGAACCCAACACAAATTACTTATTGCTAAGATTGCTAAAGAGTTAAAGAGAGTGTATGACTAAAGATAATCAAGTTTAGTACAAGTGATTATATGAAGATAGGAAAGGTCATTTAACTTTTTTCCACAATATTCCTTTTTGCATTTATAAAAGCAAATATTTCCTTTTAATCAACAGAAGATATTTTAAGTGAAATATTCATATTGCTAACAATTTATGTTGTATTTCATTAAATCCTATCTTCCTGTCACATATTGATAGTCATTAGTATATAGTTTAGAATCCAAGGTAAGATATCTGACTCAATTTGTAAGACTAATTTATGTGTACTTTATATTAATAATCTTCAGCAGCTTTCTGAAAATGTGTCCATTCTGACATATTTACACTGTTCTCTGTTTCAACTAAACAGAAGAACTTGATCACTGTTGTTATCAATGATAACAAATAGATTAAGTTTTGTAGTCAATAACAAAACTTACTGAAAATTTGAAAGTAGTTCTAGACACTATCAATAACATCATAAGTAAGTTGATCACATGACAAAAGAACACAAAAATTAATTTAAGAAATTAAAATAATGTTTCACATAAGACAAAAACATAAAACTTTAAGGCTGAAAAGACTTACTTTCTAAGTAAAATTGATCAGCTGAGTAAATTCTAAACAGAGTTTTCAAAATTTGATCATGATTTCACATATAAAAATTAGCAACCGAGATAAAATGTTGACTTGAAAGTTTCATATATCAGGTATTATCTTTTAAAATGTTTAAAAGCTCTCTCCCTTACTCATTTTCTCAAAAGATTTCTAAATTTAATATATTTTTGCATTGCTTTCATCTCCATGAAATGTTTTAAATCCTGTTTAAATGGTTTCTAGTTTATGTGTCAATTTTACTATGTGCTGAAAAATTAACCAGCAATGCCACCAAATGATTAAAAAAAAAAACAAAAAAAAAACTTTCACCATTGCATACTGAGATTGAGTCTAGTGCACTTTTCTGTGTGTGCTGCCCTTGAATCAACACCTTCCTCATCTCCGCCTACTATACTTAAGATTAGAGGTTTGAGCCACCATGCCCAGCCCAGTTTATCCACTTTTGAGACACACACAATGTACTATGTCATTTCTATATGTTAATTAAGTAGTAAGGATTGGATATATGTTAGAAAAATATTACAGTATACTGTATATTTTGAATACAAAATCATTTCACATGTTGTTTTCTACAGTTTAAAGATCTATCTAATTTGTAATATTATCAAATTTGTAAATATCTCAAAACCCTCTCTTTGAAGAACCAAACAGGTTGAAAAATCCCAATCTCAAAGCCAAATTCCAAATGCTTCAAATTCAAAAAGTTGTTTTTGTGCTGGTCCTGGCACTTGAACTCAAGGCCTACATGCTGTCCCTGAGCTTTTGTGCTCAAGGCTTGTGCTCTACCACTTAAGTCACATCTCCATTTGCACATTTTGCTGGTTAATTAAAAAGTCTTATGGACTTTCCTGCCTACACTGGCTTCTAACTGCAATTTTCAGGTCGCAGCCTCCTGAGTAGCTAGGATTACAGGTGTGAGCCACAGGTGCTCAGCTATATATTCAAAACTTTTTGAGCACCGAAATGACACTACAAATAGAAAATTCCAAACCTGACCTCACATGATGGGTTGCAGTATAAAACTGCAATTCGGTATATATACAAGTTATATATGGCACATAAATTTTGTGTTCAGACATGGTATCTCATTTCATGTATGCAAACATTCCAAAATACAGAAGAATCTGAAATATTTCAGGACATATGTATTTCATATAAAAAATTCAAATGTATTTTTACTTTGTATGTGAAAAAATTTCCTGAATTACCATTTATAAAAATGTCTTAGAATAAGAACAGTCTAAGCCAGGCATTGGTAGGTCATACCTGTAATCCTAGTGACTCAGGAGGCTGAGATCTGAGGATCACAATTCTAAGCCAGTCCTGGAAGGAAAGTCCATGAGATTCTTATCTCCAATTAACCACTAAAAAAACCCTGGAAGTAGAGCTGTGACTCAAACAGTAGAGCACTAGCCTTGAGCTTTTTGAAAAAGCTCAGGGACAGCACCTAAGCACTGAGTTCAAACCCAGAACCAGAAAAAAAAAAAAGAAGAAAAAGAAAAGGAAAACATTCTAAGTAGACAGAAGTGAGAACTGCATGTACTTTGAAGGAAGACTGATAGACAAAGAGAAATAGAAACAAACTACAGAAGAGGTAGAGGAATTAAAAAGGAACTCATCATATTCAAAACACTATTCCTGACTTAACCAAGATGAAATTTCCTTATTGTATTTTTTCCCTGAATTTTTAAAAAATATATTGCTCTCCATTTATTTACTTATCTTTTGGTGTTAGTCCTAGGGCTTGAACTCTGAGCCTGGGTGCTGTCCCTGAGCTTTTGTGATCAAGGCTAATGTTTCATCACTTGAACCTCAGCTTCACTTCTGGCTTCTTAGTGGTTCGTTGTAGGTAAGAATTTAACGGACTGTCCTACCCTGGCTGGCCTGGAACTACAATCCTCAGATCTGAGCCACCTGTGCAACTAGGACAGGTGTAAGCCATTAGCAATTGGCTGTTCTTTTAAAAACTTCCTTACATGTTCCGCTTACAATATAAGTATATATGCTGGCTGAGAAAGCAACACTATATAATTTGTAATAAAAGACCTTTGATCATACATTATTCTCTACATTTAAATCCCATTCAATACCATAATTTTCATCATTACATGAGTCAGAGTGAAAATTATGTAAAATACAAAGAATAAAAATAATTATCATAGTGATTTTTACCCTTTGTTAGATCAAATATACTTCTGAACAGTATATTTCAAATCAAATATCTTTCAATGAAAGATATGAGAAACTGAACTATATAATTCATGTTATAAAAACTGTTAATTAAAATTTGATATGACACTTATTCCTTACTGGTTAATCTCATATAATGCTGTTTATAATGCATTTTTATCCAAAGGAAAACAAAACATTATTTCCATTATTATCTAATGTCTTAAAATTCTGGTCAATGTGATAAAGAATAAAACTGTAATAGAAGATACATATTACAGATATAAGGAAAAACTGCAAAAGAATAAAGACTTTGACACTGGGCAGAACATCAGTTCTTGTTAAATTAATTTATAAGTTTAAGGCAAAATGAAAGACCTGGTTAAAATTAAAACAAATTCTAAAATCTGAAGTCTATTCAGTTTAGACTGATTAACAGCAGAGGAGAAAGGCCACAGAAAAATATGGCTTGGTGCACATATTTGTATATCCATTTTTCTAGTATGTATAAGAATTTAATACCCCTTAAGTGTAGCATTAACAATGAGTGGCAGAAGGAAGATATAGTTTGCTGCATGATACTGAGACTTTGGCTATTTGGCAATATGTAAATAAAGAATTAAAAAAGAAGTTCTTAAATCAAATCTCAAATAACTTCCTCCATATTATCGTTCAATGAGAATGTGCAAACAAGTACATACGAAAAAGATGAGAAAAAATAGAAAAGAAAAACTATGCTTGGTTGTGTGGTAAGGATGTAGAGTACATGCCTAGCAACAGTGAGGCCATGAGGCCCTGAGTTCAAATTCCTGTACCATCTATCTCTCTATATAAATGCTGATGCCCTTAGTAAGAAATAGAATACCATTAGCAGGATTAAGAATATGAGATGTATCTTACATGCTCTTCCCACATCTTCTTTTCTCTCTCGTATGCTTCCTTTCTCTTACGTTCTAGCTGTTCTTTCAGTACAGCTGCTCGTGCATTTGTTTGGGCCTAAAAATAAAAACAGCCAATAATATCAGTTATCAGAGAGAGGCCATATGGTTTCTTTTCTCTATTAGGTCTCTAAAAGAACTGACTTTTTAGCCAATCAATAAGTATGTATCTGGTCCAAAATAAAGTTGATGACTTTTCTTTGTTGTTGTTGTTTTTTTGCCAGTCCTGGGGCCCTAACTCTGGGCCTGGGCACTGTCCCTCAACTTTTCAGCACTAGGTTAGAGCTCTACCAGTTGAACGACAGCACCACTTCGGCTTTTTCTGCTTATGTGGTGCTGAGGAATTGAACCCAGGGCCTCATGCGTGCAAGGCAAGCACTCTACCACTGAGCCACCTTTCCAGCCCTGTTTTTGTTTTTTGTCTTTTTTTCACCCCTATACTGATGTGTGAATTCAGGGCTTCATGTTTTCTAGGCAAGTGTTTTACCACTTTAACCATATCCCAGCACAGAATAAAAATTAAGCTTGCTCTAAAGCCCTTCTACCTTCAGTCAGGTTTTCCAAATGAAGATAAATGTAGACACATTATACTGGAAAGTAAAATGGCCAGTAACATTCATTTTAAATGTTACTCATTTGTTTTGTAGGATTAAATATATTATGTATTCAGGTCTTGATTTCACCTAATTGTTCTTAATAAGTATGGCATAAAGAGAGAAAACTTTTTCAGGAATCAAAAAGTGAAAGGAAAAAAAATTTAAAGAAGTGAATAGGCCAGGTGCTGGTGGCTCACACCTGTAATCCTAGCTACTCAGAAGGCTGAGATCATGAGGATCATGGTTCCAAGCCAGCCTGGGCAATAAACTCCAATAAACTACTTAGAAAAAAATCAGAAGTGGTGCTGTGGCTCAAGTGGTAGAGCCCTAGCCTCAAGCACAAAGAGGGTCAGGGACAGTGCACAGGCCGTGAATTCAAGCCCCAGGACTGGCCAAAAAAAAAAAAAAAGATCAAGAAGAGAACTATCCAATTACACAAAACTTCAAACACAATTCAGCTTTCAATTTCCTTGAAGAAACTCTAGTACTTTTAGCCCATACCTTAAATGATTCAATCTTTTTGTGTCTCCAGTCAGCCTCATTACTTCCTTCTTGTCCTTTGATACTGTCAGATTCTTTCTATAAAATAAGTACATAAACATACAAATTCGAGGGGGGAAAAAGTGTTACATTTTAAGTGCAGTGTTCTGTAAAAGATAATCTGAATAAACTAGTATCTAAAAACATGAAATAGAATACTGTGTAATACACAGGAGGCTGAGATCTGAAGATCACAGCTCACAGCCAGCCTGGGCATAAGAGTCCACGAGACTCTTATCTCCAGTTAACCACCAGAAAACCAGAAGTGGCACTGTGGCTCAAGTGGTAGAGTGCTCGCCTTGAGTTGAGGAGCTCAGGGACAGCACCCAGGCCCAGAGTTCAAGTGCCACTATCGACAAAAAAAAGAGTATCATTCAATACTATTAGTACCTCCCAAAGCAATAACTAAACTCTCAACAACCATCCACTCTGCTGACAATGGATTGAAACTATACAGTGATATAAAACACAATTTAATCCTTTCATAGCCATTAGTTATATTTTCTTAGTTCCTCTGTAACAATGATCTTATCAAATTTCAATAATGTAAGTTAGATTTATTTTATCTCCTCGTGTAGTTTATTATCTTGACTTTCACTATTTTAGCAGTTTTTACTATTTTGTTATTGGTATAATAGTTTTAATGTTTATTATATCAGTCAATTACTTTGTAAACAATTGCTTTTTAAATAATTTTTAATTGAGATTAAGTGATTATATAACTTTCACAAATTTCACAGTATTGTGGGATAGTGATACTTAAAAGTCACAAACACATTCTAACTTTCACAAGGCAAATTGTCATTATCATGGTCTATAAAGTTTGTGAATTCTATGAGCTTTGACAATACAACTGTTTCTTCCAAATCGGGTGATATGTACATTCTTTTCTTTTGCTTAGTTTAGTAAGATGTTCCCTCTTTCCCTCTTGTTCCCTCCCTCCCATTGCTGCTTTTGAGTTGCTTAGTTCATTTTCATCAATGTCCAGTGCAGCTGATGGGACCCTCTGTTGTATTGTTTTACCCTGTTTCCCTCTGATTCTGTGCCCTCCTCCTAGCTTCCCTCAGATGTGCATACATACATACATACATATATATATTTATATATATATATATATATATAAAAATATATATATGTATGTATGTTTACCAGGACTCAAGAAAAAAGGACCTCTACTTATTTTGTCATATCATTTCTACATCACTCCATGTTCTTGATTTCATATATGAGTCCTGGTAAACAATTGTTTTTCAACCCACCTTTTCTCCACGAAGTTTGGCTTTAATCTGAAGGCGCTCATTGAAATTCTGCAGTCGTATTTGCCTCAGCCTTGCCAGATAAATCTGCAAAGAGGAAAAAAGACCTAACATTCATATAAAAACAAAACAAAAACCCTACAAACAGTTTTACTGCAAAAAAAAAAACTTTTAAGGAAAAGTTAATCTGAATGAGAAATAAAAAAAATTTAAATTGGTTAATGGAAATGGGATATTAGCTTTCAAGTGTTTAAAGCAACTTATTTCTGAAAAGAAAATAATGTTATAATTATAAATTTTTAATTTTATCAAAAGAAAAGAAATTGGAGCTTAGAAGACTTGAGGAACAGTTATGGGGCAAAATTATGACACATGTCAGTCACTATATTTAACAGGTCCCTGTAGACCCACAAAATATTCAAATAATTGTTAAGCATATAAACCATGCAAGAAAAGAAGGCAATAAACTCAAAAATGGCAGCACGGTGGAGGTATGGAACATGCGGGAAGCATACCTCTTCCTCTTTGTTTCTTGGCTTCCCTCCTCTTGAAGAGCTGGGCCTGCCTCCATACATAGCTGCCAGGTTTTGCAGGATTCCCTGTTTATCATTTAATGTACTAAGTTTAAAGAATGACGAAGGCTACCATGTCATCTTCCCCAGGGGTATCCGTGTGCCATTTTATTTCTTTTGGCAAATTCTGATGATTTCTAGTTGATAAACTATGATGATAAACCCCAGAATTTGCTACTTTAGCTGTATGTCTATTTGTGTATGTGGTGCTGGGGAACTGAACCCAGTGTCTCACATAAGCAAGTACTCTATCACTGAGTTACTTCCATAGCTTCTTCCTGTATTAATTTAGCAAATGTATTCAGTGAGAACAGAAGAAGAAATTATTCAGAAAAAGAGAGCAGTTTTGTTTTTACTAGTCATTATGTAAAGAGGATTTAACAACTGCTTTAGAGGTGAAACTACAAGTCAATTCGTTTGTCCCTATAAAAGGGCCAATCCATTTCTATACATGCCTATTTACATAGCACATACACACAAATACCTGAGTTCACTGCTTCTGAATCCAGCAAATCATTTAATTATAAGCTCTAAATCAAGCTATACTCTAAAGAATGTCCTGGTGCAAATGATCATCTAATACAGAAACAAATTCACTTTTGAATGTAATTTATCACTAATACAAATTGCCAAATTAGATATAATAAACTTATATAAAACTATGGCTGTCAAAACTATCTCTTCCTATACAAGCATGTTTCCAGTTCCTCTCAACTTAGAAAAAAATTCTATTTTATTAATATCTCTTACCAGCTTGTTGAAGGTTACATTTTACACTCATCATCACCATTTTCCTGATTGCCATTAATTTTTAACATCTTATGATTTAGTTTCTTTTTTTCTTTTTTCTTTTTTTTTTTTTGGGGGGGGTCTGGTCATGGGGCCTGAACTCTGGACCTGGTCGCTGTCCCTCAGCTCTTCAGCTCAAAGCTAGCGCTCTACCACTTGAGCCACAGTGCCTCTTTCGGCTTTTTTCTTTTTTGCTTATGTGATGCTGAGGAATCGAACCCAGGGCCTCAGGCATGCAAGGCAAGCGCTCTACCACTGAGCCATCTTCTCAGCCCTTATGGTTTAGTTTCTGATTCATTATACTTCTGAAAATTTTCTGAGGTAACCCACAGCCTCAAAAATGATTCAAATGCAGGTCTGTGGGGTCATGGATGAAGTGATAGAGCATTTTGGCAGAAGTGCAAGCCTCTGAGCTCAATTGGAGCCTTTTGTACCTCTTTCCACTTTTACTTTTTGTACCTAACATTAATAAAGAAAAGTAGTTCTGGCTGAATTTGCTCTCTCTCTCTCTCTCTCTCTATGTATACACACACACACACACAGATATGTGTTAATATACTATGTGTAAATCTATATTTACTGTATAAAATCTAAAAAACAAAACTGCAATCATTTATAGTCTTAACATTTGAAAAAGTTAAAACTTAAGCATGTCACTTTCCAAATTTCCTTCTATTTTTATATATGGATACATACATGCTTATTTTTACTGAAAGTGAAAGTTTACAATTATCTTGATTTTTTTCAATTGATATCCTGAGTCTCTTCTCATGTTCATTAATATAGTTTAAGATAGAATAGGAGGAAGTGAGAAGATGTACCTCTTTGATAGAGTACTGCCTAAAATAAACAAGACTCTGAATCTGATTCCCAGCACAGAAGATAAATAAATGATGAATGGATATATGTAGAAGAATGTAAAACTAGAAGTAATACATGTTAGGAAACTCTTGCAAATCCAGCAGTTAAAAAAAAAAAGCCCAAGATATGGTAGAAATTTACAGGGATAAAGCATCAATCAGAGTTATTAGGAGATGGAACTGGTAAGTTGGTAGTCACTTGTAGAAGGTAGGTAAGAGACAGGCAAAGATAACTCCCAACTTGATGACTTAGGTGGCCGATTATGATATGATTAATTCCTGAGCTAGGAATACAATTTAGAAACTGCTTGAGGTAGCTTTGGTGCTTAAAAGTAGAGTTATTATATATATATATATATATATATATATATATATATATATATATATAAGTACAAAGTCTCAGTAAAAAATAAAAGAACTCTAAGGCTGGGGTTTGGGGTTGTAGTTCCTTCTGCCTCAGCCTCTGGAGCAGCTAAGTATGAGGTTGGCTTCACCTCTGCCCCATCATAAAATTGTCTGAGACTTTAAAGATATATATATATATATATATATATATGTAGATATATGTAGATATGTATATATATGTTGTCTGCAGAGTTATAACAACATGGATAGTAGTGAACTAAGTATTGTTATAGACTACTAGTCTTCCTTTCATTGTATGTGAAAAACACAAGAATTGGAGTTATTCTGAAGTTTAAAGCAACTTTTTAGTTTAAAATATTCTGTATTCACAGAAAGGCAAAAAGACATGTACAGGTAGTTTCCATGCACCCTTCACCCAGCCTTTTTCCGTTTTATCATTTTTGTCTAACTATAGTACACTGTCAAAATCTGGAAACGGACATTGGAACACGGAGGTTTCACTAGCTATACATGCACACATTTGTGTGAGTACACTTATCTACCCCATTCAAACATATATCTGATCTCCATCTCCATATTCCATGGACTATATATATGTATACATATACAGCAGAGCCAGCATTCCTGGCTCTCCAGCTCCCACATGGGAACTTTTCAGCTGCTGTGACTTTGGCAGTCAATCTAATAAATTTTCTCTTATATAAATCTGTATTCTATTGGTATTGTTTCTCTGGAGAACTCTAATATACCAGTGTGCATATTCCTGTCCAACATTAAATGATAAATTACTCTCTATAAACTACTTGATTAAGCTTTAAATCTCAAAATGCTTAAAATTTGCCTTGTTAAATTAGTGAATCAGCAAAACAATCTCTGATGCACACATCTAAATATATTGAAAAACGCATAGTCAATTTAAGGAAAGGTTTTATGTATATACCTTTAGTCAACAAGGGAATAAAGAAATTCGATATAGTTTTGCAGAATTAATCTTGGAAAACTCAAAGGCATTGTTGAAATGAAACACAATAGTGAAACAGAATACATCCATTTCTGTAGCATCTGGAGGAGTGTGTGAGCACAGTTCATTTTCAGAGAGACAGAGAAGACTGCAATTACTTGTCAGTCAGGAAAACACATGGGTGCCCTCCATTTTGTACTCAGCATCTAGCCCAAGGCACTGTGTGTGCTGCTGGTGATCAAACCAAAGATTTTATACATGTGAGGAAAACATTCTACCATGAAGTAACATTCCAGCCTGAAACATCAATTTCTGAGAGCAAGATAATAGAGTAAATGGTACAACACCCTTCTTCAAGTCTTAGAATAAAAAGGTTGTTCTTTTTTGTTGTTGTTCAGTACTGGAGATAAAAAAAAAAGTTGCTCTTTTAAATGGATACATATTACCACTCAAAGGCAAGAAAAACTCCTTGTAGTCCTAGAACTAAAAGGAATTCAGGGACAAGGAAAGTGCACAGCATCAGTTTAAAATGTTTAAAACATCACAAGGAAAAGCATGTCAGAGAAATTACCAGCATAAGATATCTGAGTGACAAGAAGCACGTGGTAGAAGCCAAGACCATGAGGTCAAATGCAGACAACAGTGGCTATGGTAAAGGGTTGCTTCCAGAACAGTATCCATCTCCACAAGCCAGGATGAAGCATCAGTTAGCGTGAGATACGTGTTGTGAGAGAGATTAGAGTACTCTAATGCTCTAGATGCTCGGTAAAATGTAGGATAAATTAGTCTTTTGAGCCCAGAAAACCAGCTGTTGAGGTATTCCTACTGATAAAATTTTCTACTCTTATTGAAAACTAGGCAAAAGACAGGTTGCAGTCGAAATACATGTCCATGTTCCCAGGAGGCCAAAGACAATGAACTATAAAACCAACAAACGAAACATGAAGAACATACTATGAAGCCCAAGGAACACCTGCAATCACTGAAAACTGAGGAAACACAGACAATAGTACACCAAGAATGAGACTGTAACTATAATATCAAGGGATCTGAAAACACAGAACCAAGTTTTTTGGTGAAAATAAATTTTGGAATTCACGAATGTAAAATATAACTTCTTGAAACAAAAAGAAATTTTCAGATAGACTGTATAGCTAAGTAAACAAAAGGGGGAAAATCTAATAGTGCTCTTGAATATCAAGCCCCTGAATCCTTTTGAAACAGAGTAAGAGGAAAGAAAAGGGTAAAAGAATACCAGGAAGTGGAAAATGTTTGTTCAGGGCAAATGAATGGAGGTAGGAAGGGTGAGCAATGTACCTTATGTAAAAATTGAACTACACACTTGAGAGTAGGGATGGGCTGACTTATGGAACTGTAACCTCTTTGGACAACAACTTAATAGTAAAAATTTTAAATGCTGATCAAGTTCAACAACAGACCACCACTACAAATTATCATTCAAGTGTGAGGACAAAGTGAAGGTATAGTCTACAAATCTTAGAAAGTGTCTTTTCAAAAGAATTACTAGAACAAATGCAGTCACTATATTCAATGTACATTATGTAAAAATTGAACTACATACCTTGAGGGTAGGGAGAGGAGGGAGAAAATGAAGGAGAATGATGGAAGACATTAGTCATGAAGCACTATACACATAACCTGACTTACACAACTGTAACCTCTTTGTACAACTACATAATAATACAATAAAAAAACAATTACTAGAGGGTATTCTCTGCCATGAAACAAGATTAATAGAGATAGAATAGTAGGATTTATAAGGGACAATGTTGATTAAGAAATGATTAAATCTTGATAGGTCTAATAATTACTTTAACATAGTTAAAATAAAATCTGTGAACAAGAGCCCAGCATGGTGATTAACACCTGTAATCTTAGCATTTAGGATGATGAGGTCAGACAGGATCCTGAGATAAAGGCCAGTCTGAACTACATAGTAAATTCAAGACTAATTTGAGGTACCCATCAAGAATCTGCATAAAAAATTGTGTAGTAAAAATTTTAGATGCTATTACTAGGAAGATATGAAAAAAGAAAAGACAAGAGAGTCTCTTCTGCTATTTAGAAGGACATACAGAAATTCCAGATGTTAGGAAAACAATTGAAGTTTATGTTAAAAATTTAAAGGTCAACCATTAAATATCTATGACATAATTTAAAAAAAAAATCTTATAGCCACGTGCTAGTGGCTCATGCCTGTAATACTAGCTACTCAGGAGGCTGAGGATTGCAGATTGAAGCCAGCCTTGCCAGGAAAGTTCATGAGACTCTTATCTTCAATTAACCACCTGAAAACCAGAAGTAAAGCTATGGCTCAAAGTAGTAGAGTACCAGCCTTGAGCAAAAAAGCTCAGGGACAGTACCCAGGCCCTGTGTTCAAGCCTCATGACCAAGAAAAAAACATCTTATATACTGAACAACTATATTAATAAAGTCACAAAGTTACACCTTGTGAAATTACATATAAATAACTAATAATGTCTAGTAAATATATATTTCCTCTAATTGACAAATATCTGATATAAGCAGGATGTGGTGCTAAGCTGACAAAAATAATCTTCAGTTGTTTTGTGAACAAAAAATCTAAAGACATTTGGGCATTTCTACTAGTAAAAAAAATAGTAAGTTTTAACTATTGAAATTATTACCTAAAAACTTATTTTTTTGATATATGACTTAATTTTGGTAACTGGAATAACTGGAGCACTTAAAATAATTTTTCTGTTAGCATGCTTTTGAGCAAATATAGAATTACCCATTTCTATCCTGGTATTTTCCATTTTTCTTCTTATCTTTGTTCCTTGTAAATATTAGACACCACGGAGGAGAACAATGGAAGGAGTGGCATTGATCAAGATGTATCGTACTCATAAACTCATTTAGTGAGTTGACACTTCGTACAACTACCTAATGATAATCATTTTAAAAAATATTAAAAACCAAAGTTTAGCAGTTTTAGAACTTGTTTTTCTAATTATTAATAAGTGGATTGCCATACCTATTTCACTGTTCAACAACACACTTTCACCTTTGGTGTAAAAGATAAAGAAAACTTAGTAAGATATATCAGAACTATGTATTTTGAAAAGTACTTTTAATTATCTTTATTACACATAAATTGCTAGATTATAATTTTTATATATACTTACATTACTGTAGTCATTTGAATTTTAATATGTTCAAAATATTTTTTTAAAAAACAGTCATACCATATGGCCTTCAGCTCGTGCTTTATTCTGCATAGCTTCTCGTTTTCGCTGTAAGAACTCTTCCACTTGTTTAGCTCTTTCTGCATCACGGTGCCCCCTTTGCCTATTTTGGATAAATCACAAAGTCAGCAACTTTGAGTTTTAAATATTTCCTATGGTTTAAGATCGAAGTTTAAACACATTTTTCCCCATTGCAGAACATGAAGGAAGGCAATATAAAATAAAAGCTTTGGTGTCCATATGTATTGGTATTTATTACCTCAGCCCATTCCTTGCTATTTTAAGAAGTCTATAATATTCCTCCAAATCTTTTTTTTTTGGGGGGGGGTCCGGTTGTGGGGCCTGAACTTTGGGCCTTTGTGCTGTCCCTCAGCTCTTCAGCTCAAGGCTAGCGCTCTACTACTTGAGCCACAGCGCCACTTTCAGCTTTTTTTTTTTCTGCTTATGTGGTGCTGAGGAATGGAACCCAGGGCCTCATGCATGCAAGGCAAGCGCTCTACCACTGAGCCACCTTCCCAGCCCCTTACTCCAAATCTTGACAAGGTTTCTTTTGTATTCATTTGATCTATTCTACCTATAAGGATAAATTATTATTTTAGACTATACTTATAGAAGAATTTTAATAGTTTCTAGGTCTACTTCAGAATTCTATTACATATAATAAGAATTTTCTTTAATCATATTAAAGTCAAATGAAAACATTAGAGAAGCAACTTAAAAAAAAAGAATGACAAGTATACTTAATCATGAGTTTTCAAAACTATAGCTAAAAGCTATATCTGAGATTCTCTAAATATCACAAGTATTAAAAAGTAAAATTGAAAATTGGGAAGGGAGGACATTGTCCAAAAAGAAATTTACTCATTTCCTGACTTATGTAACTTTAACTCCATTGTATATAACCTTTATAATAACAATATACAAAAGTAAAATTGATTTAATCTTCTTTAACTTTTCTGTGTCTGATGATTTTTTTTTGAAGTACTGGAGTATGCACTTGGAGCATCATACTTGTTAGGGAGGTGCTCTATAACTAAGCCACACCTCCAACACTCTCTGACAATTATGAAAGAACATAAACATACTGAGTTTAAACTATAAATAAGTAGTATCAATGACAATATTTACTGATCGTCTACAATATGTTGTGTCAGTTACCACAGTTACCATGCTCTACATATGAAAGATCAAAATAAGCCCAGCAACAGTAATTAAAGAATTCCTAGTACAACATCAACTGTGGCTAATTTTGGAAGTGTGGAAAGATAAGCAAGTTACTGGCTGTGCTTTATATAAACTAGGATCACAGCTAAGTTATTTTCTAAAAAATACCCCACATAATGCTGCTTTTATCTAAGTAATAATATTTTTACGCTTTTAGCAACAGCTACTAACACATAAAAGTATTTTAAATATGAAGCTGAGCTGCAGAAACTTAAAACCTACCAGATCATATACCTATTGTCTAGGATTCATTTACTATGTGATATTTAAGAGATTCTTGTGAATCTGAATCATAGGAATGTTCTTTTTCTTTTTTCTTTTTGTCCAAGCCCAGGTCTCAAACTTGGTATCTGACACTTTCATTTGTTGGCTGGCACTCTACTACTTGGGCCATACCTCCAATCCCAATACAGGAATTTTCTATAATTAGATAATAATTATTACTATAACTCTCAAATAAATCTGGTTAATCTCAATTCAGTTCCATATCATGTTTCTAAAATTCACAAATGCACATTTTCAAAGTCTTTTAGCTTTAGGTTGATTGATAATAATGAGAAATTTATTCACGCCCTATGAAATGCTCTAGATTCGTATTATGTACTGTACAACTCTTGAGGTTAATAAGCCATACCTGGTCTGAATGCAACATATCTCTGGTTATAGCCAGGTAAGGCTGTATCCTGTTCTTCTACAGCCCAATTTACTGTATATAAACCTGGGCCTGAAGCAAGCAGATAAACTACCAAGTGTCAATTGAAACTGTTTTGAGTACTGATTATGTTTTTATGGTGGTCCTATTGGTATTATGTACCAAGTAGATAAAACAGCTAGGTATTCTATATATACTGAGTTCCTTCTTTAACAATTATATAAGTAAAATATGTTAATTTCCCATCTGAAGCCATTGTCTGAGTACAGCATTTATCAGCCTGAATCACAACCTGGCATGTGCTAATAAAGCAACTGTACAAAATTATTTTACTAAGAATCTGGTCATATGTATAATGGCACTGATTTCCAGATTTCCAGAACATTTATATAGAATAATGCTACCTGCTTCATGTATTTGAATGATTTACAAATGTTGTGTAATTAAATGATCATTTTATAAACTAGTTTAAGTAAGTAGGTTTCCATTACTGGTTACTTTCAAACACAACCTAAAATGTGTGATGATACTTTTAACTCTTATTTTTTTCTTCTCATTTATTGTCAATTATTTGCCCCATTATACTAGTCTATGAACATATAAAGATGAATAAAACTAAGTTCTACAAAGGAAGTTTGTTTCAACATCTGAAAAATCAAGTTTAACTGATTCTGTGATACTAAACTATAAACTTTCCACTTTACTGTTTACTTCTTATACACTAAAACTTCATAGCTCATTGCTTTTGCATTATAATTCACATTTCTTTTTACTTTTATTTTGTACAATGTCACCACTTTTCTTGCTTATAGGTCATTATTCTCATCTTTTGAAGTAGTAAGACTATTAGTTGTACATACAAAGTACATATTTAAGCTAGTCTCATGAAATGAAAAGGAAATAGTTTATTTCTTACTAGTTATTCTATTCAATACTATTAAGAATTCATATGCAATTTGAATTTTCTAAAAATTAGAGGATGTCATTTCAATTCCCAAGCTATTTAACTACTACAACACTTAACTATTATTACCATTCAATATCATCAAAATATTCCTTTGGATTACCAAGAACAACAATATAAGCATTATATAAAACACACATGTAATAAGACAGTAATTTGGATAGTAAAATAGAAAGACATTAAAATGCATTAAAGGTATTATATGACAGGAAAAGGTTATCAAACAATGATACCAACAGAACTACAGTGTTCTTCTGAAGCATGAAGAAGTGGCAAGAATAGGGTGGGAAATCATACCTTAAATTCATGGTTCAAAGTTTTTTTTCCAAATTTTTTATTTTGATTAAGTGGTTATATAATTTCCCAAATTTCACAGTATTGTGGGATAGTGACACTTAGTTAAAGTCACAAACACCCTCTATCTTTCCTGGAGCAGATTGTCTATCATGGTCTATAACATTTATGAGTTCTATGAGCTTTGCAATACAGTTATTTCTTCCACATTGGGTGATGTGTACATTTCTTTTGTTTTGCATAGCATCAGCTGTTCCCTCTTTCCCACTTGTTCCCTCCCTCCCATCGCTGCCATTGAGTTGCTTAGTTCATTTTGGCCAATGTCCAGTGCAGTTGATGGGTTCCGCTGGTGTATGTTTTTCCCTGATTCCCTCTAGTTCTGTGTCATCCTCCTGGTTTCCCTCTGGTGTGCACATATATACCATACATGTGATCAGCAGCATGGGGTTATTTAGTAGTGATTTGACCAGATGAGTGGAAATCCTTTGTTTCTTAACTCCTGTTAATTTTCTCATATCACCTAACTTTTTGGATTTAACATCCACTTATCAGGGAGACCATGTGCCGTTTGTCTCTTTGCACTTAGCTTATCTCACTCAACATGATTTCTTCTAGCTCCTCCATTTCCCTGCAAATGCCATTATTTTGTTGTTTCTAATGGCTGCATAATATTCCATTTACACTGTGATTCTTAAGAAGGCTGAGAATTGGGTGGTTGAAAAGCAAAAGTAAATGTCTGAAAGTGTCAGCTGACCTAAGCTAACAGGTATAAGAGGTAACAGGAGAGACTAAAGCCAGAAATAAGGAAAAAAATGTATCTCAGAAATGTAAAAGGAAAAAAATTATCTACTGATATGCCAGAGGCAGAGTGATTGGCAAATTGTTTTACTATTTATGAAATTAAACAAGGTTATGCAATGGACAGGGCTATGGTAATGGAATATTACATTAAAAATCTGATATATTGTGCTGAGGTATGGCCCAATGGTGGAGCACTGACCTACTATGCACAGGGCCCTGGGTTCTGTACTCAGGCACACATACACATATTTCTATTTAATAATGGACACCATACCCAAGTCTCAATGAAATCTGTTTATTGGAAACAAAATTTCATGCTAACCAAAATATTGGCATTTCCTAGAGTATGTAAGGTTTACTTAAATTATTTCAGACTGGGCAGGGAGGGAAAGGAGGAGTAACAGGTATAAAGTGATGATGAATGGTTCAAATTTTTAACTGATAGGGAATAGCTGAAAATTTTGAAGAATGATTATTAACAGAATATTTTAGGAAATATAAAACATCATAAAAATAGACATTAGTCTGAGTAACAAAGAATATTTGAGAAATAAAAACGAATCAGTATGGTTTATGGTATAAGAATTGGGTGACAGGATGAAAAGGGATAATAGGAAAATAATTACAGAGTTTGTTCCTTAAGATGCTTCTTCCGTTTAAGGGACATAATATCTATCTGATGAAATGGGCAGTTGGCTTTATCCAAGTTAAATAAACAATACAGAAAGGAAGACTTGGAAAAGTAAGAGTATTATAAAACTTAAATAATTTAACTCAACTCATTATTTAGTAGGTTTACATGGCTTTAAGGTCTCATGTTAAGAAGGTAGTAGAGAAGACGAAATTAAGACATAGCAAAGTTATGTTAGCCAGAGTTACTGGTAAGAAAGGAAATGGAAATAATAAATAATACCTGAAACAAACAGAGATGATCCAAAAGATAAGGAAGGATGTTTGAAATTTGTTTCAGTTGGCTGAAATTTGAGTTCAGGAAAAACAGGTAGAGAAGAGGACAATTAAAACAAAGATGCTATTTGCTATCATATACATTTGTCAACACTAATAGAACATCTCCTCTTGTCAAGAGGGACCCTAAAGTAAACTGTGGGGTTTAGGTGTTAACAGGTCAATGCAAGTTTAAGAATTGTAACAAATGATATAACTGTAGTGAGGATGTTGATAGGAGAGTTGCCAATGTGTAGAGATGAGATATAAGGAAACGATTTTCCACCTAATTTTGCTTCAAATTTAAACTTGTTCTAAAATAAATTCATCAATTGAAAGTGTACATAACTAGAAAGATCAATACAAGATGACAACATGGATGAGGTACTGGATTTAATCCCTAATACCACAAAGCTGCAGGCTCACAAGAGACGTACATCTGCTTCACCATTCACCAAAAATATGCATGTATGTGAGCCCGCAGCTTTCCTTTCTCAAAAACAGGAATAATCTATAATTAGCTTCATATTTCAGGCTTCTGTATATAATTTATGATGTATTTATTCATAAGGTACTCATAACATTTTTATATACTTACCTCAATTATTAATTATACTGAGGTATACTGATTTTTTTTAAACATACTCAAGAACTCAAGTACATTTTAGTCATCTTTTATAATGGGGAAAGAAATCATAAAGAACTTTCTAACACTCTGAAATAGCAACTAAAGAAAGATAACAACTAAATTTCATAAAACATTATCTGCTTTTTCATGATTCATCAGAATATATTACAGAAGAAATGAGAAGAAAACATGCATACTTAAGAAAAAAGCTATGCAAATCACGGCTATTGTCAATTATCATTATTAAATTAATTCAATGGAAAAATAAATGAAAAGAATCACAAAGAGGGATAGAGATGAATGTGAATATGAGAGAGACTAAGATAACAAAGAGAAAGTGAGCTTCTAAGAGATGAAGAGAGACAAAAAATATTCCTTAGAGTTTTGTGAAAAGTTGGATTTCATTTAAATTTATGTTCTGATTTATTTAAAACAAGTGGATGAAATTCTTACCACCATATGTTAGCTGAAAGTTACCATAGGTTCCTTCATATAGAATATACAGTCTAAATATATAAATAAGCATAAAATGCTAGACTGAACTGAAGATCTGCACATTTGTCATGACGTAACCAAAGGCCAAGTTTGCACCTAAGAAAATTACTGCATCTATAAAGCAAACATTTTCTATGTAAACAATGGAGAAAACAGCCACAGGTGTAAGCACTAAGCTATATGTGACAAAAGACACAACTACACACAAGGATGAATTCATGGATTGTCACAGTCCAACCTGTTTGTACTGGCTTGTTTAGACACGGCCTTCAATCTTTTCAAAGTTTTTCTAATATCATCAGCATCAGGGAAATGGTGATGACCTGCAGCCCCATTAGGAAATCCTGGACGAACCCCAGGTGGAATTACTCTGTAGATAAATATGTACAGTGACTTTCATTACTTTCTCTGAAGCAAAACATAATCAACTTCTGCAGAACACAGTCATACCTTTCTGGAAGTTCTTGACCACGCATTTCTCCTTTCCATTTTGCTTCATTATCTCCTGCTCTTTGTTGTTGCATTTGATCAAAAATGGCATGGTAATGTTCATATTGTCCTCGAGAAGAACAAGCTGATGGAGTTACAGCTGCTCCACTGACAAAAAAGGGAGCCTAGAGATTAAAGCATTTGTTTTCCTTTATTAACAATAAAAATTCGTATCCTTACTACTAACAATAAAGCATAATTTAACGTGACAAATACAAAACATTAAAATGTCACTACATTCATGTAAATATGTAAAGTCTGTTCTTAATAAATTTTGAAGCAAGATTATAATATACATTTTGTAAAATTCTGTCCTAAGAAGCTTGAATATGTATGATTTAGAAGTAAAGCAGAGCCTGCTTACATAAAATTTATATTTAACAAAGACATTTTCACATAGCTCTAAAATATTCTCAATCTGTTCACAAAGTAGGTATGAAGGTCAAACATTACTGAAATATACTTCATGTATAGATAAAAGAGATCAAGCATCATATCTGTCCTCAAGTTTTAAATAAGTAGGGAAAGAAAACATAAAAATCAAAAAGCATTTCAATGCTGTAGTCCAATGAGTTATAGGAACTATACCAAGATAGTATGGACTAAGCATAGTCACAACATTGGGGGAAAAAGGTTAGTATTATGTAGAAGTAGAAATAACAGAGAACACAGCAGAAAAACTGCTAAATGGATTTGTAGGTTCTCCAAGAGAATGATAAAGGTAAAAACATACAAACTCAATCACAGAAAAGAGATATGTTAGAAAAAAAGAGTTTAAAAAGTAAATAAAAATATTCATCTATAAAAGTTATGATGAAAGAATTTCACTGAGTAAAAGACATCAACAATCTCAGGTGCATAAGTCAACAGCCCTGAAAAAAAAAATACGATTAAAGTTGAGTGGTAAGCCTGTATAAAAATCTTATTCGAATCAAAGAAAAGAAACTTCAGTGTAATACAACAAAAGAAGATTTGTTGTAACATCTTGGCATAGTAAGTTGGAAATCACTGAGTGAGAAAGCATCTTTTTAAAACATCAGTTCAACATCAATATAATTAGGGTATTTAAATAACAAAAAATTTCTAGAGAAAGACAAGATAAATAAGCGGGAAACTCTGCCAAGTAGGTCTTCCAACACATCTTCAAAATGTACATTTTTATGTCAAGAATCAGAAGCAGAACTACATTAAAAAGTAGTCATAGCTCCTATGAAGCCATCCACCCTAAGGTCAGCCTACTGGTACCGAGGCTTGAACTCAAGGTCGCCCACTCACTATTAGATTTTTGCTCAAGGCTGGAACTCTACCACTTCAGCAACACCTTTACTTCTATTGTTCTAAAGTTTTAATTAGGTAAAGTAGATAAAAATCTAGGCAATAACTGTACTCAAGAATTACCCTTATATACATTAAGGGCTGAATCTACCTTTTCTATAACTTCAGAGAAATGGACTCATACTCGTGTATAAACAAACTATTCATTTTTATTGATAAATAATTATTACAATATATCTTCAAACAATATACTTCCCATATATAATAACAGGTAGATGATCAAAACTACATTTGTGAAACCTAATTTTTCCAAAAGTTCATTCATAAGAGACATTTTCAAAAGACAAGCCAAAATATCTTAAAATTTTCAAACACTAAACAATGCAATCAGATATTTATATTGTAAAAAAAAACCCTGCCTTTTCAGAAATTTATTAATTCTGGTATGTTTCCTTTAATGTTCAATTTTCGTTTTGCCTTTATTTTTGGTGTTTCCTCAATTTGATTCACCTTATATTGAGCTTCTTCATTTATACAAAAAAAGGCATAAATCTGAACAGCCTAACAAGATAAACATTTCAAACTGAGGAATAGGTACAGAATACTCATTAAAAGTATTATGGATGCATTTAAAGTAAATTAAAATCTATTAAGCACACAGTATATTAAACAATTGTGCAAGTTAAAAAACAAGATTTATAAAACTGGACTTTTAGGATTAAGTATCATTTTAGATACAATAGGAAAAACTACTTTATTTCATTGAAGATATATGGAAGGGAGAAAGGAAAAAAAAACCCACAAAACCGTAATGGACTGGCACCAAATGCTGGACTCTGTTTTTCATTTTTCTTTCAGGTAAGATATAAGATAAACTTATTTTAGGATAAATCAAATTCTGTCTGAAAAAAAATGACTATTTGAAACTGGGTGCTAGTGGCTCACACCTGTATCCTAGCTTCTAGAGGTTGAGATCTAAGAGTTGCAGTTTAAAGCCAGCCCAGGAAGGCAAGTCTGTGATACTCTTATCTCCAATTAACTACCTGAAAACCAGTAGCAGAGTTGTGGCTCAAAATGGCAGAGTACTAGCCTTGAGCTAGTTGGTGCCCAAGCCCTGAGTTCAAGCCCCACGACTGATAAAAAAATATGATATATGATATGAAATAATACATCTCAAGAGACTGAAAAAATTAATTCAAGACAGATTATATATGACTATCTAAAGCAAATAAAGCATCTATTATTCAAATCACAACTTTGAGTAATAGAAACAAGAATAGTTAATTCAACTAGATAAGTTATGTGCAGTATTCTAAAAGACCCAAATTAATATGCACAGATCAGGTGAATTTACAGTTTAAGGACATGTTGATTTATAATAGTAATTAAAATAACACACAGGAATAACAGTGTATTTCTACTGCTGTGTAACAAATTATCACCACATAAATAGCTTAAAACAGTACCCACTTATCATCAACCAGTTTCCCTGACTCAGGAAGGCCTCTAGGTGCATTCAGCTGGGTCTCTGGATCAGGATCTCAGGAGGCAGAAATCAAAACTGTCAGTCAGAACTACAATTCTCATTTCAGGTTCAGTATCTCTTGCAAGCTCCCTGGTTCTTGGTAAAATTTCTTTGCAGTTGTATGCTGCAATCATTTTCTTCATCTAGTTATTGTTGTTGTTCTTTTTGGATGTCAAAGGCATGGATTTATTTGTAAGCACTGAGAGGCTAGTTAGCTGTTAAAACAGCTAGAGTGAGACAAACTTGGGAATTTAATCATAAAACAAATGACTTAAACTGTTCCTTCCTCATCAGGTCAACATTCTGGGAGGGGCTCTAGCCTTGGGCCATCAGGCTGTAGGGTCCTTGTGTTCATGCTACATCCCCTGGAGAGAATGGGCAAAAGTGAGCCACAGTGTTGCAGCCCTGTGTATTGGAGGTGGGATGGGAATAGCAATGTTTACAGAGGATGAACTGCTTAACAGTAGTCACAATTGTACTTAAACCTCGATTTTTTTCAAACTAAATTGTAATATGTAAAATCTAGGGACCAACGTGAGGAAGGAAACCAATCTACTACTTCATGAGAAGTAATTTAAATATTTAAGGTGTAAGATATTGCATCTAACATGGTCATAAATAAAGGGCAGTAAGATCAGTCATCAAGAGCTCTGGAGTGAAGCTGGCCTCCATGTTTTTCATCTTTGTCCTCAGGGTGTAATTTTATTAGATCATCAGTTGAAGATGGTAATTGCAGCTTCAGTGGCAAATTTCAAGCCCTTCACCTTAACAATGGTGGGTTCTAAAACCCCTGCTTGTTTGTAGTCTCAGGAGTTTGCCCTGGGTTCTGGGTTAACTTGAGCCTCATTATGAAATGCTCTTAACTTTGCAACCAGTCTTGAGCAATGGTAACTGCCAAAGTATTAGGAATCACAAGGAGAGATCTTGCAAATTCAGCTATGGCAAGTTGTTCCTGAGACCCCCATGCTGGCTGCATAGCTTTCAAGGTAAATGGAAAGGACTGCTTCTATTGTCCCATCACCTGCCACTGACGGACTCTAAACCCCCTTTCACATCATCATGTGAAAGAGCATCATGTAGGCAGCACTCCATCTCATCACACATGAAATCATTTGCCCCATGCAAGATAACTGATGCAGGTGTACGAGCCTTAGTACTTTCCATTAAGATCAGTTCATCATCACAAATTCTTTCTTGTACCACCTCTTCTGTACATTGTACCACCACAATGTCCCAATGTTGTGGCTTCCAAAGTTTTTTCACCTTCCAAATTGGCCAGGGTTGACAGAATACTTGCACCAGAAGCCTTAGCAATGTGTTTAAGGTCTCTCTTTAAAACTCTCCAAACTGCCGTAGCACCAGCTTCCACAAAATACTTCAGACACATGTCATCAATCCCACCGGTGGTGAGAACAACATGAGTACCAGCCACCAGGATCTTCTCAATTCTCTCCTCAGTGACATCGGAATTCTCTCCTTGATGATATCTGATTCTTTCTAATTTGGTCCAATTTCTCAGGGTCTATAACAACCAATTGTACTCTTGGGCATACCCTGGGATCCCACCACACAGCTGAGTCCATAGCTGCTGACCAGCATGCTTTCTGTTTGACTTCTCCCATAACTTTCAGAATATTAACAGAAATGACTGGATAGTGTGGCTGGCCTCTGGAGTCTGTGTACTTAAAGCAAGTACAGCATCTGTTACCATGGTGGAGAAGAAATTACCATCCATTCCAGTAATTTTGGAGGACATGTTTGTCTTAGCAGCATTCATCAGGCAATCTCTTCCAAGTTCATTTGTGTTAATAATTAGATTTTCACTGATGTATCACATGGCTCCCTTGCAGGCCAGCCAGCAGTCACTAATAACTGACATGGGATGAGTTTTCTGTTTGGCTAGTTCATCTGCATTTTTCAGAAGCTCTGCTGCAATAATAACCACAGAAGTAGGCCCATCCCCAACTTCTATGTCTAGCAGATCAGCCAGCTCACAGAGAACGTCAACTGAAATAACTTCAGCACCATCTTTAGCAATGGTTACATCTCCAATATCATCCACCAACATTTTGTCCAAGCCAACCGGACCAAGGGAACTTTTTATAATAGTGGCAATAGAAGGTGCAGTCATAACATTCTGGGAGCAGACTGCCTCCCCGGGGCTGTGGTCTCTGAACACGGGTAAGGGCCCCTCTATCTTCACAGCAGGCCACGCTTCTGACTTCAATGGGTTATCTCGGTTCGTAGCATGCTAGGCAGCATGCAAAGGCCCAAGTGGCACCGCCAGTCATTTTCTTCTTAGTTATTGGTCAATGACCATCAATGACATTACCATCACCCTGAGGTCTCCTACACTTTTCTTGCCACAGCACTATTTGCTGCCTTCCAGTCAAGCAGAAGTATCTGCTAAGAGGAAGTCTTACATGTTAATGTAATCATGGGAGTGCACAAGGAAAGGATGCTTGCATTTGCCTATAACATAATCTAATCAAGGAGTTACTACATCCCCTATCTTTACTAGTTCTCCTTACACTCAAGGGGAGAGAATGGAATGTGTGTTCATCAGGGATGGTAAACCAGAAGACACCTGGAACATGGTCTATCACAGACAGACATAAATATGGGATGACGTGAGAGCAAAGGAGTGCAAGGCTCAGAGCAAAGAAATACAGGAAATTACCATCTGAGCTCTTGATACCCCAAACTATTCTCTGGGGTAAAAGTCCCTCAAAGACAAACACATTAATGAAGATTAAAGTTTGAAGAAGTTAATTAACTTGCCTAAGGTTATAGTCTGGATCTACCTGAAAGGAATGTAGGTAAATGGCTAGCCTTTAGAAATCTCGGTAGGAGTACGGAGATCGGAGTGAGAGTGAGGAAGAAAGGAGGGGTGCTTAGAAGTAAACACAAGTGGAAAGATGGAGGGGCAATGTTCAGAAAGGATGAGAAGGTGTGTAGTAGGGAATGTATGGGGATCAATCTGGAGAAACTGACAGGAATCAGAATAACAAGAGTCCTGTGAGAACTTAATTGTTTTTTGTGTTTTTTTTTTGTGCCAGACTGGGGCTTGAACTCAGGGTCAGGGTATAGTCCCTGAGCTTTTGTGCTCAAGGCTAGTGCTTTACCACTTGAGCCACAGCTATACTTCTAGCTTTTTTTGTGGTTAACTTGCAATAGAAGTCTCATGGACTTTCCTGCCTGGGCTGGCTTTGAACCACAATCCTCAGATGTCAGCCTCCAGAGAAGCTAGGATTACAAGTTTGAGCCACTGTGCCCAGCCAAGAACTTAATTTTTAAGGCTACATGAAAAGTTATATTGGAGATTCTCTGAAAGGGCAACTGGTCCCATAGTCTTCACATGAATGCTTTTAAAGCAATTTTAACAGTTCACACTAGTATTAATATGTTGCATATCAAATACATGCAGGAAAACTAAGAAATCATAATAAATGCTGAAGAATTCTAGATAAAAATCAACTGCACACAAACACACACACACACAAAGAAGCAAGTATTATATATTTTAAAGAGCAAGATGAAACTGGAGAGAAAAAATAACATCACTGTATTGGTTATCAAATGCCTACCTTCACTTCACCACCTCCACCAGCACTTAACACATTTCTCCATCCTTGTTCCCTGGCCCTATTTATTCTCTCCAACTTTTGAGAAAACAAACAAACAAAACACCATTTCAACTACGTAATATAAAATACATTAAATACACTTAGTAATACAATGGAAATCAGTGCACTTTACTTTTCAAACAAACATGTCTATGGGGAGAGGGAGGAAAGCGGCATGGAAAAATGGATTGATGTCTTACCCTTTCTTTTTCGTGCCTTTTCATTTGTTCAGCCTTCACAAAACTAATCTGCAATCATTTTAAAGACATATTTCTTAGAATTCAAAATGGTTATAATCTGTAGCTTGGTAAAGGAAGAAAAAGAAGAGTAAAAAGCTACCTGATCCTTTTGTTTCTTTTCCCTGTCAATGAATTCCAACCTTCTTTTGCTTGTTGGTTCCTTAAACAAAAAAGAACATTTTTATCAATAACTATCTCTGCTTTTTGTATTTTTATCAGGAAAGTAAGTATACCAGTGGCAGAAGTATGCACAGGGAGGTTAAAAAAATTAAAAAAGAAGTTATATGTATTTGTTTCAAAGAAATAAGGAGGAAAGGTTTGGAGGCTTCATATTATAAAGTTTCATTTTTTAAAAATTAGTTTTGTAAAGCTTTAAAATAAGCAGGTAGGTATCTTTGTACCTCAAACGCTTTCCTCCTTTCTTCTCTAGGGTTCATTCTCTTCACTGGAATTTGATGGGCCTAAACAAAAAGTAAAACTAGGAATTAGAGACAGCCTTTAAAGTGATTATTTGAAAATTCCAAATTTATGGAAATTTAAAATAAGAAAGAAGGCATGCAAATATTGCAATAACTCTTTCAAGAAATATTAGCTTTAAAAATAAAGATATTGTAGGTATTGATATGTCACCTGCGAACAAAGAGAAACAAAATTGTGGAAAAGGGCTTCCGTGGTCATCAACTAAATGGGTCTGTTCTCAGAAATGGATGTCAATAGTAAGTTTTCTAGAATTATCACACATTTCTGAAGCCCAATAATGAATACAATTTTTTAAAAAACTTGTACAATATATGCTCATTTACATAAACCTCATACAAGAATAAAAATTTATAGCCCATTTTACTCCCTACTTTAGAGATAATAAGTGTTGATATCCAGACATTTTAATGCACTTAAATACATATAAAATAGTAGCTTTTTACATAATGCACATTTTTACATAAATGTAATAAGAACTTGTTATTAGATGGAAAACAAACTGGCCTGCATTATGGTAAACAAATTAACAATGGCAATATTCTACATGAGTTCTATAATTAATTTAGTCATTCTTCTTGGAGTAAGACATGGGGTTGGTTTTGAATGTTTCCTGTATATTCATCCTCTTGTCATAAGCAAATCTTTCAGGAGGGCAATTTTTTAAAAAATTAGTGGAATTATAAAGTAAAAAACTAAATTGATTGTTGAAAAAATTGTCCAAGAGGCTGCACCAATCTACATTTCCACCAAAGCACTCATTCCCATATTCTTGCATAGTATCAAATATTATCATCCTATCTTGATTCTTATCTGCTCCTTGAAAAGGCTAGTAATATTTTCCAGTTTGGTAGATAAGTACATTTCTTCTTCTTTTTTGGGGGGGGGGTCCAGTCGTGGGGACTGAACTCTGGGCCTGGGCACTGTCCCTCAGCTCTTCAGCTCAAGGCTAGCGCTCTACCACTTGAGCCACAGAGCCACTTCCGGCTTTTTTCTTTTTGCTTATGTGGTGCTGAGGAGTCTCATGCATGCATGCAAGGCAAGCACTCTACCACTGAGCCACCTTCCCAGCCCCAACATTTCTTCTTTTATAGGCTAAATATATGCATTCACATATCCTTAAGACTTATAAAGACTTCCTGCTCTTTACTCACTAAAATGATTCTGCCACCACTAGTGGACAGCAAGCTTCAGTTTTAAGGTGTTAGAGCTCTGGGGTCACCATTGTTGAGGTATTAGAAATAACACTTGCAGGTAATGTTCCTCATAGAATTAAACACAGTCAATGATTCCAGGTGTGTTTTTTATACACTGGGTGTAAAACACTGGATAAAGGGGCTTCAATGTAGCTCAATGGGATATAGTGTTAGCATAGCATGCTTGAGGCCCTGGGTTCCATTCTCATATTTTTTTAACTAGTGGGAAATATTATCCAGAAACTTTCAAAGTTTCTGGATAATAAAAGTTGGGGGGCTGGGAAGGTGGTTCAGTGGTAGAGCACTTGCCTTGCATGCATGAGGCCCTGGGTTCGATTCCTCAGCACCACATAAGCAGAAAAAAAAAGCCGGAAGTGGCTGCTGTGGCTCAAGTGGTAGAGCGCTAGCCTTGAGCTGAAGAGCTGAGGGACAGTGCCCAGGCCCAGAGTTCAGGCCCCACGACCGGACCCCAAACAATATTATTTGGCAAGAAAATTAGTTCTGAGATTAGTACAACACAGATCAGTGTGAAAATACTGTGCTAAGTAAACAAAAAAATCACATATTGTCTTTCATTAATGTAAGGTATCAAGAATAAGCAAATCTGTATAGCAACAGAAAATAATTAGTAATTTGTTAAGGCCAAGAAGATAGAGGAGAATGGGAGTGACTGCCAGTAGGAAAAAAAAAAATTCTTTTTCCTTTCTCGCTGACCATACTGGGTTTGAACCAGGCCTTGAATTTGTTAGGCTGGCATGCATAACTTCAGCCACGCCTCCAGTTTCTTTCAGCTTTAGCTATTCTTAAATAACTAAAATAGCATAGGCCTGAAGCTGGACTATGGATCAGACTGTAATACTTCTATCTATGGTTTTCTACATATCTGGGACAATAGGCTTGTGCTACCATGTCCACATTTAGAACTAATTTCTTTTTGGGATGATGAGTATGTGGAGACAGTTACCACAGTACTGGATCTATATTATGAACCATTAATTGCAATTGTTAATGTATGAGTTGTAAAGTATGTAGATTATTTCTGAATAAGTCTGTTTTTAGGAAATGCATAGCCCCAAGAGTTGATGAATAATCATCTCTGGATCACAGACCCCTACATTATACATTCTAACAAGCGCCATTGCTTAACTATTATGTAACCAATCTAGCATCTGTCTCAAGAGTTGTCTGGGCTGGGAAGGTAGTTCAATGAGCGGCAGAGCGCTTGCCTAGCATGCATAAACCCCTGAGTTCGATTCCTCAGTACCACATACACAGAAAAAGCCAGAAGTGGCGCTGTGGCTCAAGTGGAAGAGTGCTAGCCTTGAGTAAAAGAAGCTCAGGGATAGTGCCTAGGCCCTGAGTTCAAGGACTGGCAAAAAAGAAAAAAAAAAGATTTGTGCCCCACAATACCAAATAATTAAAAAAGTATTATCACTGTAGGGCATGATGGCACACCTGCAGCCCAAGTTTTCCAAGGGCTAAAGCAGGATTTTGAGTTCAAGGTCACTCTTGGCTACATATAGAATCATTGTCTCAAAACAAAAAATTAGGGCTGGGAAGGTGGCTCAGTGGTAGAGCGCTTGCCTTGCATGCATGAGACCCTGGGTTCAATTCCTCAGCATCACATAAGCAGAAAAAAAATTATTAATTTGAATAATACAAAAACCTGATAGTAAATGACTAGCTTTTAGATTACATGACAGCATCAAGTGTAGGACAACAGAAGACCAAGACAACTACATACTTGGGATAAATTACATGGAGGCAAAGATTATACTCATCTTTTGGTCTTCTCTATTGCCTTACATATATGATATTCAAATATTTCTGAAATAAAAATCTAAGTCATTCTTCTGATAGCACATAATATTTTTAGAACATTATTTCTATACTAAAGAAAACATGCTGCTGAGTGCCAGCTACTCAAGAAGCTGAGATGTAAGGATTATGGTTTGAAGCCAAGTCTGGGTAGAAAAGTCCGTGAGATTCTTATCGCCAATTAACCACCAAAAAAGCTGGAAGTGGAGTTGTGGATCAAGTGGTAGAGCATAAAACTGAGGGACAGTGCCCAAGCTGAGTTCAAGCCCCAGGACAGGCCAAAACCAACAAACAAAAACAAAAAACAAAACAAGACAAACACTACAAAAATACCCCTAAATATTAAAAATGTGTTCATGGAGTGCCCTCTAGTGGCTCAATAATTATTCCTCTATTTCAACAACACTTTATATGAAATAGAGCAAAGTCTTATCACAAGCAAATATTTTTGATACGTTGAATAGTAACTTAATACATGTTAGCTTAAATTTACACACAAATAAAATATAATAAACTGTTGCCATTACTGGTTATCATTTTTCCTATACATTTCTCATTTTCAAGCTTGGAATTTTTAAGTTTTAACAAATCACTGTGAATTTAAACATAAAAGATGCTTTATACTTGCCATGATTTTTGTTGTTTTGGGTTTTTTTTAATGTTTTTTATTGTGAAAATAAAAAAAACCGCACAGAGGGGTTACAATTACATAAGCAAGGTAATGAGTACATTTCTTATCAAGCATTGTTGCCTCCTCCTTTGTTTTTCCTCTATACCATCCCTGTTCTCCCATCTCCATGACTACACTCCCACCCAAAGTTGTAAAGTTCCTTTTTCAACATAGCATTTTGAATATTTCATTATTGCAATGGGTCCACCGGTATCCCTATTTAAACAATTTGTTTTTTCCCTTACCCTCCCTAAATTATAACAACATCAAATACAGTGAAAACAGAGGTTATACCATGGGGGAGGGACATACAAAGCAACAAAACAATCACCTTATAAATATAGCAAGAAAGAAGAAAACACTTGTGTCCTTATCTTGGGGTTCATTTCGCCTAACATCATCTTATCTAACCACTTCTGTTGTCTCAGACACATACTAGTTATTGCAAATAAGGGAAACCATGGGACCTATGTTTCTTTGGGCCTGGCTTACTTCACTTAACATAATTTTTTCCAAGTCTTTCCATTTCTTTTAAAAAAAATTTTTTATTGTGAAAATACTGTACAGAGGGGTTACAATTACATGGACAAGATAATGAGTACATTTCTTATCAAGAATTGTAGCCTCCTCCTTTGTTTCCCCTTCCCATCCCATCCTCTTTCAACCCCCCCCAACTCTTCCCTCCCCCCAAGTTGTAAAGTTCGTTTTGACATAACGACTTGTACATATCATTGTTGCAATGGGTCCACCTGTATCCCTATTTAAATGATTTGTTTTTTCCCTTCCCCTCCACAAATTATAATAACATCAAATACAGTGAAAGCAGGGGTTATACTGTGGGGAAGGGACATACAAAGCAACAAAGAAATAATCTTATAAATGTGTTATAAACAATGGCATGAAAGAAAAAACATCGAATACATATCTTAGGGTTCATTTCCCTAATATCAACTTATCTGCAAGTCTTTCCATTTCCTAACAAATGGGGCATGTCATTCTTTCTGATGGAGGCATAGAATTCCACTGTGTATATATACCACATTTTCTTGATCTATTCATCTACTGAGGGGCATCTGGGTTGGTTCCATATCTTAGCTATGCAATAAACATAGTTGTGCTGGTAGCTTTAGTGTGGTCTTGTTTGTGATCATTTGGGTAAATGCCCAAAAGTTGGATTGCTGGGTCATAGGGGAGCTCTATGTGGAGTCTTTTGAGGAACCTCCATACTACTTTCCAAAGTGGTTGAACAAGTTTACACTACCACCAACAATGAAGTAAGGTTCCCTTCTGTCCACATCCCCTTCAGCATCTGTTGTTATTAGAGTTCTTGATTATAGCCATTCTAACTGGAGAGAGAAGGTATCTCAATAATGAGAGCGCTGAGTTTAAACCCTTGTACTGCCAAAACTAACCAATAAACATCACAAGACACTGGCCTGATGGTTCTCCCTTAGCTTGTATCTGGCATTTTACCCAAGTTAGTACAATTAAAATATAAAAGATACTGTTGCTTTGATGACTGGAATTCCTTTTCTCAATCATTTTACTCATTTGTTAAAAATGAGACTTATTAGCATTTTCTTTGTGCAAAGATGTGTAATACATGGTTCCTCACTTCAGAGAAATGGCATTCTAATAAAATAACACTAGGAGTTCTGATAAGGAACAAATTACTTTGATGAAGAAGTTTGCCATCTTAATGCCAGACCCTGAGAGTAGGAGGATAATTAGGAAATAAGGTCTATGTGGAAAAAAAAAAGTATTTGAGGTGTTCCTACCTGTCCTCAGTCACTGGGACCTCATAGTATATCTATACTATGCCACTATGTGCAGTGTGGCAAGGCCCAACATGGTATTTGTTAGTCAAGGAGAAATGTGTGAACACTCACTACACATAGCTTGCTCCCCACCCCATCTCCCACCCCCATCACTTCTTTTTCAAGCCTTTATCCCCATGGTTGGACTCTAAGATTGAAGGTATAAGTGTCCTTCATTCTATCTACCAAGAGTTTACACACAGACACAGGAGAGTAGCATTGTGACTCTACAGAGAAATTTCAAAGAAAAGAACATTCAAAAGGAGAAAAGGGTACATATGAACAAAACTCAGGAAGCTGAGATCTGAGGATCATAGTTCAAAGCCAGACTGGGCAGAAAAGTCCTCATGAGACTCTTATCTCCAATTAACCAATCAAAAACTGAAAGTGGCAATGTGATTCGAAGTAGTAGAGTGCTAGCCTAGAGTGAAAGATCTCAGGGACAGAGCCTAGGCCTTAAGTTCAAGCCCCATAACTGACTAGAACCAAGAACGAACACATCCAAAAAGAGAAGTGAGTATTAGAAAGAGTCAGTAATTGGTGATTTAGCAGAGTCCCAATCTAGGTCGAGATGTTAAGTCTGGAGTTCAAATACGGAGTCTAACCTGAAGACAGGTTTGGAAGTCAATGTCTAGATGTTTACTTTGAGGAAGTGTAGGTGAGAAAATGTTCAAGGACTGTGTCCTAAACTTCAGCATTTAGAAGTCTGGAAAATGAGGTGGATCTTGTAAAGGAAACAGAAGCAGTCAATGAGACAAGAGGAAGATCTGAAAGAGTACTTTGGCTTTAAGAAAATGTTTAATGGAGGAGGTAACCAAGGGAGTCAAAGCTTCCTTAAGTAAGCAGGAAAGGAAACAGTACATAAATGATAGAGATGACTTTAGGTGGGAACTGAAGGTCATCCCAAGTAAGAGTAAGCAAAGTGAAATATTTGCAAACAGGATGGTAGACGTGATAGTGGGAAAAGTTTCTTCCAGATTCTATTTTCTTACTGAGGTAGGAAGCAAGCAGTAGTCCTGTGAAGAAGAAAATTAATCATCTAGAAAGTGGGAGAGCAAATGGGCTAAAGACCTACCACAGGGCAGCCATTGTTGGATATAAATCTAGTGCTATTACCGGCAGAATAGTGGGAGAGAGGAATAAGGGAAATTATGAGTGAATAGAGAATTTGAGCCAGATAAGGAACATAATAACAAGGAGAGAGATACTGAAAAACTAGTAGGAGTCAAGCATCCAAATGTGACAAAGAAGTTTTTGACAGACTCCTAGAGGAATAAGCAAGAAACAGGAAGCAGTGTCAGAGAATGAGATGCTTATGAATGAAACTTCAGAAACGTTGCTATTACCGATAATGGCAAACTTAATAGCACAATTATAGATGAAATTTTAAGGTCAGGTGGGAATCAAGATAATTGAAAAAGAATGAACAAGAAAATAAAGGGCATAGGAAGTTTTATCTTTCTGGATATTTAAATCACCTAGAATTTTAACAATGGGAAGAATGTTAGTGAGTCAAATGTTTAATTTTTTTTACATGAGTATCTATAGAAAACCCTGATACAAAATGATAGCAGGTTATACAATATGGTAGCAAGAACATCAAAGCAGGAAGTGGGGGTGGGCTTGGGTTAGAGCAAGGAGAGTCTGGCATTAAGATGGCAAACATCTCCTTTATCTTACCTCTAGACCCAAAGGTACTGAGGGATTAAAGAGAAAACAGCTACCACGGGAGGGAGTTACAGAATGTGAGTTCAGGAAGAAGCCAAGTTGTAGACTAAAGCAGGTGAAGATCATCTTTATCTAGTAATTATATAAGGGGTTTTTGCCAATAATATATCATGAGTCAATGTGGCCCAAGAGGCTAAGCTACTGTTCAGGGAGGAGAGGAATATTAGGGTATGGTCAGTCTTTCTTACAGGATTTTAGTAACTAAGTAACAAGGGAAAACCTGGAGTCCTGGGTTTCTTGCGGCGACCAAAAAGAGAAAAAGGATGCAATACCACTGGTCCATGTAGGCTAAGTAAAATGTAATACCAATAAACAATGATAAATAGAAGATAAAGCTGGTTCCAGTTACATTTTCCTGCCTATGCTACTAGAGCTGACTTGGTAAGTTTTCCTTTTTGCTTTTGTTTTTTTTGTTTGTGTGGTACTGAGGTTTGAAGTCAGGGACTTGCACTTGGTGGGTAGTTATGCCCGGTAGGCACTCTACAACTTGAGCCATGTTCCCAGCGCTGAGCACTTCTTTGCTGCAGATGATGGACCGACACTGCAGAGGACAGAGCTGCTCCTGATTAGCGCTTCCTGTCTCTGTTGCTGCAGTGAGTGGGATGGCCACAGGGCGGCACTGCAGGAGGCAGCTTGCAGGAGAGTTCTCACAGTACTCTCCAGCTTTCCCCGGAGCTTCAGCAGCACCCCAGGGGCGCTACCCACATGGTTCTGCTGGTGCCCAGGCTGCCATCCCTGCCTGCTTTCCAAGATGCTCAGCAACACCAAGTAAGTTCTACCTGCATCCCAGGCAGTTCACTGTGGAAAAACTTTGTTGTTCTCTAGCTACTTTGATCTCTAGGCACTAATATGAACAGCTTTTCTCTGTATCTGCCATTTGTATTCTCTTTTACTATTTAACGGCTAATTCCATAAATAGTCTCTCATACACACACACACACACACACACACACACACACTTTTTTTTTGGTCATGGGGCTTGAACTCTGGGCCTGGGCGCTGTCCCTCAGCTCTTCAGCTCAAGGCTAGCCCTCTACCACTTGAGCCACAGCGCCACTTCTGGTTTTCTGAGTGATTTATTGGAGATAAGAATCTCACGGACTTTCTTGCCCAGGCTGGCTTTGAACCATGATCTTCAGATGTCAGCCTCCTGGGTAGCTAGGATTAAAGGCGTAAGCCACTGGCACTGGGCAAATAGTCATAATTTACATTAAATTTTCCCCATTCAAATTTTGTGTAGTTTGTCTCTGACTCCATGCTAACTTATATAACATATCTGAAGACTGATTCACAGTAATCATTTAAAATTATTTTATACTATTTTTTTTGTTTTTGCTGGTCCTGGGGCTTGAACTCTAGGCCTGGGCACTGTCCCTGAGCCTCTTTGTGCTCAAGGCTAGTGCTCTACCATTTGAGCCACAGTGCCACTTCATTTTTTTCTGAGTAGTTTATTGGAGATAAGAGTCTCATGGAGTTTTCTGCCTGGGCTGGCTTTGAACCCTGATCCTCAGACCTCAGCTTCCTGAGTAACTAAGATTACAGGTATGAGCCACTGGCACCCAACTTATTTTATGATAAATTTTTAGCCAAACTAACTGATCATCCCGACTGTGAAGTTTATCTTAATAGCAGTATATATGTATACATATTATGTGTATATTATATATAAAATATGTGTGTGATATGGTGTGTGTGTACCTAAGTATCTAAGGTGCATACCTGTACACCTGTAGGCCAGAATGAAACTGGTCCTATATACTGAAGCATGCAAATACTGACACAGAGCAAATGTCAAATTCCCAGCAACTAACACTGTGTGTTCTTAAGACACTTAAATGCTACAGGCTTCTTTTTGTTGTTGTTGTTGGCTGCAGATCTTGAACTCAGGGCTTGGGAGTTGTCCCTGAGCTTTTCTGCTCAAGGCTAGTTAGTGCTCTACCACTTTTGAGCCACAGCTCCACTTCTGGTTTTCTGGTAGTTAAATGGAGATAAAAGTCTCATGGACTTTCCTGCCAGGACTGTCTTAGAACCACGATCCTCAGATCTCAGCCTCCTGGGTACCTAAGATTACATGTGTGAGCTACCAGAACCTGGCTTCAGGCCTCATTTTTTCACATGAAACATGATGGGCTTATATGATCTTTCCTTTCAGCGCTATGATTTTATTTATTTGTCATTTCCCAAATACAAAAATTTCTCAGGATTTTACCAAGTGTATCTCAGGTATTCTTTAAGCACATGATCAAGTACGTCTACTTAGGACATTACTTTTTTGTTGTACCAATCATTTATGTAATATGTTTACTTAAATGCTTCCATATGATTATGTAAGACTGTACCACTTCAAAAACTAGAGAACAGTACATGACTGAAGTAGAGCAATATTCTTTAGTAACAACTTTAAAAATCTTATACAAAGATAATTCAACTGAACAATAAAATGAGGTTGAATTGAATTTGATACAACTTACAGTTTGCAACAACATCATACCTGTTTATGTTTTTGGAGTGGTTTTTTTTCAGGTAATTTTTTCTCTCCATATTTCTTATATGTTAAAGGTACTCCATATTTAGCAGCAGGCTTTGTGATTTTCTGTGCTGGCACAACAGAAACCAAGCTTTGTCCTGAAGCTGGTCTCTTAGCTACATAAAAAGACAAAAACAAATTTTTCTAAGAGTTTCTTTTATTAAATTTTTTATTTGAAAACTAAAAACATTCTCATAACGACTGATAGGATATAAAACTTTCATCAAGTATCTTATCCATTCCTTAACATTTCTCACTAACTCAAATATGTTACGCTAAAGTTATCTCATCCTTTAAAGATATTGATGTTTTTCATATAAAAATCATGTGCAGCTGGAGCCAGCCTCATGCCTGCTAAGGACCCCGTTCAAAGCCTGCGCATGCAGAAAAACCTGTTATACTCTTATCTCCACCCAATTAACCAGCAAAGAGCCAAAAGTGGAGTTAGCAAAGGTCTGGATCAAATGTTTGAACACCACCATTAAGAGAAAAAGCTAAATGAGTACGTGAGGTCCCAAATCTAAGCTTTAGAACTGGTACATACACAAAATTATATATGTGTTTGTGTGTGTGTGTGTGTGTGTGTGTGTGTGTATGTGTATCCCATCCTTAATAATATATTTGACCTCATAATTTACTTGAAACATTTTTAGAATATAAATTGTTTCTAAACACAAAAAATACTACATAATGATTTACATATAACTGGACATTTTACAACATTCTCTGGCAATGTTCAAAATACCAGATAAGAAGACTGAGGGTGTGGTCCAAGTAGTAGAGCTCCTGACTAGCTACTGAAAAACCTGAGTGCCAACTCTAGCACCTTAGGAAAAAAAATGAATCAACTCAGTATTTAATAATGATATAGAATTTCACTTAAGACAGACAAGAAACAGAAATTTCATTAGTAATTTATCAAAATCCAGTATATATTATCATAAAACAACTTTAAAAGGAGACTCCCTCTAGGTTATATTTAGCCTACAATCATCTGTCTTTCACTCCATCCTTCCATCCATGTTTCCAGTACAGTTAGGTGTGAGTATTGTCAACAGATGAAATGCCTCCTGTTTACATTTCATTTACCTGGTGCAGGCTGTGCTCCACATTTTGAAAATGTTTTTAGACAAAATTCTTCTGCGATGAGCTTAGGTTGAGAGAAAAAAGTTAGAAAAAAACATTAAATTTCCTGAATAAAAAACATCCTATTCACTAGTCACTATATATTTTACCTTTTCTGTCACAATTATGCTGCAAGATATACTGTATAAATTAAAATCAAGTACTCCATTCAGCAAGTCTGTCTCATACTAACTTCCTCGCAATCTTACCAATTTATTCCTTCCCCATCAGATTTTCTTCTGTAATTAAACTAATGTATAATCTCATTTTCTATGTGCACCAAACCCCTCAACCCCTCATTTACTTCAAAACTTCATTATCTGAATCATGTTAGCATTTCCTACAAGGTTACTCATAAACATGTTATTAGATATATATTTTTGGTGGTCCTAGGGTTTGAATGCAGGACCTCACATTAGCTAGACAGGTGTACCACCATTGAGTCATGCCTCCAGTTGGATATTCTTACATAATTAAAGATTTTTGTTGTTGGTGGTGGTGGTCGTGGGGCCTGAACTCTGGGCTTAGGTGCTGTCCCTAAGCTCTTCAGCTCAAGGCTAGTGCTCTACCACCTAGCCATAGCACCACTTCTGGCTTTTACTGCTTATGTGGGGCTGAGGAATCGAACCCAGGGCTTCATGCGTGCCAGGCAAGCACTCTATCAACTGAGCCATCTTCCCAGCCCCAATTCAAGACTTTTTAACAGTGTTTCAAATACCCCTTTGTTTATTCCTCAGTGTCTATAGATTCTGAGAAACAAAAATAAGTTGCATATAATTTTTTCTTCTTACTCCATCTTTTCAGTGTCAAACTATGATACCAACGGAGTTAAGTCAACTTAACCTTTACTGAGTTGGAAAGGAAAAAGCAAAAGGATTTTCCCATTTTCAATAGAACTGAGGGCCAGTACAGAGCATATTCCTGTAAGCTATTCCGATAGCTCAGCAGCTCAAACTGCTCCATGGGCAAAAAGCCACCACTTGAAATACCTCTTTCCCACGAAGAATCTACTACAACACTAATCTCAAACCAACAGTATCAGTATCAGCTAGCCTTAATAAAGATGCAAATTGTCAGGCTGGCCCTAGTAAAGTCCTCTAGGAGACTATGCTGTGTGCTACATTTTGAGAACCACTACACACAGTATAAATATAGGTGCAAGTCTTCTCAAAGGTAATCCAGAGCAGGGATGTGAATGTGTTTTCTCTCCTGAGCACACCTACTCCCACTCCCCAACCCCACTTATTTTTTAGAAATAGTGATCGTCAGAATTATCTCCAAACTGAATCATTTCTTTCAAAACAAAAGTCATCCTTTTGTTATGTGGACTGAGAGATGGGTAGGTACTTACAACCCCAAAGTTACATGAATTTCTAGGCTGGTCTATCCAAAATAAGAGCCACTGTCCATATAAAACTATATGCATTAAGATTTATGATAAAAGCCAGGCATGGTAGTGCATGCTTATAATCCAAGGTACCTGCCCTTGGGGAAAAGCCTGAGACTGTATCTGAAAAATAAAGCTAAAAAGAGTTGGGTCATGTAGCTTAAGTGACAAAGCACTTGTCTAGAACTTGAGGCACTGAGTTCAAACCCATATCTTAAAATTAGAAGTTTAAAATAACTAAAATTAAATGTCAGTTGCTCATCACATCTCAAGTGTTCAGCCACTGTGGCTAGAGGACACAGTGCTATACAGTACAGACACAAGCCACTGTCATCATCACAAAATATTCTGATAGACAACATCAATACTTCTAAGGAATCAGAGCTCAGCCTTGATTTGTCAACCTACACCCAAGAAGTTGCCAGACAGGATCGAGAACTAGACTTGAAAGCATTTTCCTAATGGTGCTGAGAAAATTTAGGTATTAAAAATAAAAATTATTCTGTAATTCCAGTCTTCAGGAAGCTAAGGCAGCAGGATCATGAATTTGAGGCTTGATGCTGGCTCTAAATAAATACATTTTTGCATATTTTAGGCTTTAGTGTTTTCCCTCTCATTGCTAGCTGTCTGAATTCCAGTGCTTTTGCCTTAAGACTGTGTATCCTAGCTGCTTGCACAAGGGGTGGGAGGTAGAACTTCAGCAAAGTTAAATGAAGTTATTGTTTGCATCATAGTAGTTGCCAAAGAAACTGCCCTTGCAAACATTATTTTTAACAAAGAAGTCTTATAAGACACCACATTTCAGAAATTGTTGCTACATTCTATACAAGTAACCTTTAACCTCTGAATTTTAATACGCTTTCTTATTACTAACACAGTCTTTTGGTATTAAGTTAAATCTAACTCTATGGTTGCTAAGAAGTATTTGTTCACAGAAATGTTCTATTAAACCAGAAGGATATATAAGTAATACAGTTATGACTTTAACTATATTATGTTATTTGTAGGAAAGTTCAATGGCAATTATTTAAGTTAATAAAGGGTACATTAAAAATGAGAAGTAAAACAACTCCAATTTCAGGTGGTCAAATATTTGTAAATAATTGATGTCAGTTGATTTGGCGTAGATTTATAAACCTTGCCCAATTAAATTTTAACTCAACTCATTTTAGGTATGGTGGTCCATGCCTATAATTCTAGCTACAGAGATATGGATATTGGGAAGACTGAGAAATCCAAACTCCATCTCAACCAATGAGCTGGGTGTGTGGCAGCTTAAGTTTGTCATCCATACTATGTAGAAAGTATAAAAAGGAGGATTCCAGTCCAGACAAGTCTCAGTAAAAACAACAAACAAATAAACAAGACTCAATCTGAAAAATAACTTAAGCAGAAAGGGTTAGAGGTATGGCTCACAATCATGGTAAATGTGCCTGTCAATCATGAAGCCCTATATTTAAACCCTACATTTAAACAATAGTATACTTCCACACACAAAATTAAATCAAACCAACATATCTGTTATACACCTGTATTTGAGGAAAAAGTAGGAGATAATTGCACATATACTACACATATACTTATACATATAAATATTATATTTATATAAGTATTTATAAGTATATGTGTGCATATATTACATGCATATTATGTACGTATACATTACTATATGTGTATTATCATATAGACATGTGTATATATACATGTGTATATGTATGTATATATACATATATAGCATACACATATATGTAAATACAAATAATCACAAGTTTCTGAACATATTCTGTAAATATAATCATTAAAATTATGTTGATATTTGTAGCATAAACTATGCTGAATATTGAATATTTCAAATGTCAAGGTTTTTTTGAGTTACTAAGGCTTGAACTTCATAGGCAAGCACTCTATCACTTAAGCCACACCCAATGCTTTTTGCTTCCATTATTGTTGAATACAGTGCTGCATTTTCTGACTGGGCTAGTCTGGACTGTGATCTTCCTTTTTGCTTTTCTAGGCAGTGGAAGGACAAGCATGAATCATTATACTAAGTTTTCTTACTAAGATGGGGTCTTAAAAACATTTTGCCCAGCCAGGCCTTGAACCGATCTTCCAATCACAGCTTTCTGAATAGGTAGGATTACAGAGGTGAGCCCCTCCACCTGACTACTTGAACATTTTCATGCTTGACATTAAGCACTTTACATGCGTTATTACTTTCAAAAAATTCTCATAATCACCTCACATTCATGCTCCTACTTCCCACAAGTGAGGACAGTGGTGACCACACGGGCTGGAAAGTGAGTCTAATCTCCAGAATTCACATATGCTTGCCACAAAATTGGAATACATGTCTTAAGTACTAATTTAATTTTAAAGATAAAATTTACAAAACATACCTGAGGTGAGAGAAATCTTTCAATACGTTTGGCTATAAAACCTTTCTCCAATATGGAGTTGACTGATGGTCTATCCTTAGGATTTCTCTTAAATAACTGAGAAAGCAAATTGCGGAGATCATAGGAATAATGTGAAGACACTGGTGGAAAAGATCCAGATATTATCTTCAGGACGAGGTTCTTCATATTGCCAGCTTCAAACTAAAAGCCAGAAAACAAATCAATACATAGGAAGTACATAAAGCCTGAAAGTGGGGATATTAGCAATGACAAATAGTTCTTTTCCTATTAATATAGAATAGAAATACAACCCTCTTCCAAATTATGAACATATGCTCTCTAAAGCAAACTTTCCTTAGTTATCTATAAATGTACTTCAGAGAGGATATCACTCCTCAAAAATAACCATTATAACACACATGACTCATTTTTACATATTCAACATGTCAAGAGATGATACAGGTATTAAATATAGTAAGTATTTCATAAACCATGATAATAATTGAGTGTTCATGAAGTTTTACCTTACAGGTAGCAAAACCAGGGCCAAAGAACCACAGAAGGGATTAAAAAACAGAAGACCTGCACTTAGGACATGACTTCCTTTAAATCTGTTATAATGATTAGAATAAGAAATTATAGAACTACAGCATTTGGAAAAATATATTAAATAAATATACTACAATTTTTTTCCTGCTAGACAATGTTTCTTATTATTAATTAATCTATTTATTTATTTATTATTGCTAGTACTGGGGTTTGAACTCAGGGGCTTGTCCTCCTGACTAAAGGTCGGCACTCTACTACTTAAGTAGAGTTAGTGTTTTAAAACTTTTTAAATATTTGCTGGTTAATTGGAGATAATAGTCTGCCTGGATTGTCTTCAAAGCCAAATCCTCAGATTTCAGCCTGAGTAGCTAGGATTACAAGCATGAGCCATCAGTACCAGGATCACTGTTATTATTTTTTGTGTGTAATGCTGTTTACAGCTATAGAATAAACAATGTTGCAAATATTCCCAAAGGGAATATAAGCTATATTAATAGCTCTATATGTTTAATAATACTAATATATGTTTTAGGATTAAATACAATATAACTACTCCTATAAAAAGAATGTAGAGGTGAGATAATTTAAAGATGGTTTTATGCTAACGTTAACAGTTGGGTTTTTTTATCTGTGTGTGTGTGTGTGTGTGTTTTGTACCTATACTAGGGATAAAATTCAGGACCTGAGTGCTGTCCCTCATCTTTATTTTCACATGAAACTGGCACTCAATCAATTGAGCTTCAGCTCCACTTCTGGCTTTTTCGTGGTTACTTAGAAATAAGAATCATATAGACTTTCCTGTCTGGATATCTTCCAACCATGATCCTCAGATCTCAGCCTCCTATTAGCTAGGATTATAGGCCTGAGCCACCAGTATATGGCTAACATGAATATATTCTTAATATAAACATCAAATAAACAAAATGAGCTATCAATTAGACATCAACGATTATACCACCTATTATAAAAGTTCACCTAGAACATTTAAAAATATCATTCAGCTTATAAAAATTTAAATAAATTTATTCTTATAAAAATATCTGTGCTCCTAAAAAGGAATCTTAGTCATGAAAAGAAGAAAAGATATTTTTCTCTAATTCCTTTATCTTTCAACTGACAAGCACTTCATGGACAAAGGTGAGGAACTATTTAGTTTTATGAGGTGCTCAGTTTCATTACTTAGTAAATTCCAAGGCCAGGCATCTCACCTGTAATCCCAGCACTTAGAAGACTAAGGAAGGAAGATGGTGATTTTTAAGGCCAGCCTGGGCTACATACAAACAAAACAAAAAAAAAAAAGAAAGAAAGAAAAAAGAGTAACTGATTCCAAAATATAGAGGCTATATCGGCAGACATGATCAGTATAAGATTTACCTAAATAAACAGTGGTTTAACCCCAAAATTACTGTCACAGAAAATGGACAAATTTCTTTAAATACAAATATATCTATCTGATAACCACAATTCTGTATCGCTTCAGCAACTTGTTTTTCTTAAGAAAAATAAAATTTAAGACAATACCAAAGTGTATGTAGCCATTAAAAAGAAATTCAAAGAAAGGTACACTCCAAATATTATCAAGCAATAAACAAGCTATAAAACTACATAGACAGTATAATCAAACTAATGGGAAGAAATAATCCAGAATTCATTTTATAAATTAATCTATAACAAAACTTAGAGGAAAATAACAAATACTATAGGTTGTTACTGCTGGTTGGAAGAACTGTTCATTATATTTAGTTACTTATTTATAAATGTATGTATTTTCTGAAATTGTGTGTAATGAAAATATTTTGTCAGTCAGTGGAAAAAAAATTTAAGAAGAGACTTTAAAATGAAAAGTAATTAAGACTACTCAGGACAAAAATTCTCCTTTGTTATGTTTCATGCTATTTAAAAAAGTCTCAAAAATAAAACAATAAAAAAAGAGTTAAAATTATAGTCTAAGAAGCACTTAAATTGATAAAATTCATTTGAGGGCTGGGAAGGTGGCTCAGTGGTAGAGTGCTTGCCTTGCATGCATGGGGCCCTGGGTTCGATTCCTCAGTACCACATACACAGAAAAAGCTGGAAGTGGTGCTGTGGCTCTAGTGGTAGAGTGCTAGCCTTGAGCAAAAGACGTTCAGGGACAGATCCCAGGCCCTGAGTTCAAGCCCCAGGACTGGCAAAAAAAAAATCATTTGAGCATATTGAACAAACTTCCATAAATAATTTTCAATTCCAAATTTAAAAAAAAATGTAAGGTTTATTTTTTGTTATTTTTGAGACAGTCTCACTATGAAGCCCAGGCTGGCTTTGAACTCAAGATCTGCTATCTCACACTCCTAAGTGCTGGGTTTAAAGGCATGTATCACCGTGATCAGCTTAACTTGGGTATTTTGAGATAACCTGCTAAAAGAAAATTCAAAGATGGATTTACATTAAGAGGAAAGCAACAACAGATGCTGGTAGCTCACACCTATAATCCTAGGTATTCAGGAGGCTGAGACCTGAGTTCGAAGCTAGCCCAGTCAGGAAAATCCATGAGACTCCTCTCCAATTCCCCACCAAAAAGCGAGAAGTGGAGCTGTGGCTCAAGTGGTAGGGACACTAGCCTTGAGCAAAAAAGCTAAGGAATATCAGCAGGCCCTGAGTTCAAGCCCTTCAACTGACACCAAGGAAAAGAGCAAGTTTGTGTTTCTATCAATAGAAATACTTTAATAAAGTATGAACTATAACATCAAATATGTAACATGCAAACATGCTAGGAGTAAATCAATTTGGATATACATTTCAGAAAGTAAATTTAAAGTAATTTAAAAACTAAGAGAAAAATTTCTAGTCCAAAAGAATCATCTGAAAGATGATGTAATTAAAATATATTCCAGAAACTTTTACTTACTGCATGTTTAAGTGTACACATCTCATAAAGGACACACCCCAGAGCCCAAATGTCACTAAAGAAGACAAAAATGAGAGTTTTATTTTCACCATCAGAATATACTTTAAATATTTTCATTTAAAGGAAACATAAGTGGCACAGAAATGCATTGGAAAAATATGTGGTCTGTAAAGCATTTTCTTTAACAATCACTAAATGACAACAATAGCTGCTCAAAATTAGAAAATAAGTTGCCTAAGCAGTTAGTTTAAAATTTCATTTAACAAATTTAATATCTGAATATAAGTGGTAAAGGAAATTCATATCTATTCCATTTATTTGGTTTTGTTTGGCAAAATTCAACTTGCTTTATTCAACAATTTGCAAAAAATTCTGGCATTTTAAAATATATACAAGGAAAATATGGTCTCACATTACTATGAAAAATACAAATTTACAAAAGAAAGAACTATATCAGCAGCAACTAACAAAGGTACTTTGTTGAAATTTTTTCATCTGAAGGAGGAAGACAACATAAAGGGTCACTGGAATTCAATGGCAGGCTTTCGCATTCTTCTGTTTTACAGCATCTTAGTTGTAGTGGAGCTCAGTGTTAAAATATATGTTTGGAAAGCACTTCACAGTGTCTGGTATACAGTATGTGTTCAATAAATACTAGCTGCAATTCAGTAGGAAGTGACCAGTTCAAAGGGAAAGACAAAAGAAAGTACTCTGCTTCCAATTACAATGGAATTGTAAATAATGGAATTCTTCCTATATCTTCTTCAGTAAGATACCAAAAAAATAATCTTTATGAACACGTACATTGCTGATTTTATAATAGTATTCTCAAAGTTAAACATAATGGAACAGTTCAATGAAATATATCATATAATGAATGTCTTTTTAAGTACCTTTTATTGTTATAAGGCTTGTTTTCACAGATTTCAGGTGACAAGTAGTATGGGGTTCCTATACAAGTTCGAGCCAGCTCTACAGTACTAAAACAACAACAAATTATTAACAAACTTCATATAAGAAAATAAGCAATAAATTATCACAAACATGATGAATTGAAATTTCAGTGAAGAAATTATATCAAAATAAACTTCAAGATAAGTATGTTACCTATTAAGAACTCTAGCAATTCCAAAATCTCCAAGTTGTATCGTACCATCTTTGGTTAGAAATATGTTCTGCAAAAGATAGGAAAAAAATCCCACAAATATTGCTACAGTCTTACCTGTATGAGCCAACAATATATTTATTCAAAGTCTAGTTAAAAAACATTGAGATTACAAGTACAAGAAAATAAATGTAGTTTCCTATCTCATACCACATGCAGAAATAAACTCAAAATGGATTCTAAACCTAAATGTAAAACCTAAAACCATAGAACTCTCAGAATAAAATCTAGGAGGAAATTTTCACACCCTTGATAGAAACAATGGTTTCTTAGACATGATACCAAAAGCTCAAATGAACAAAATAAACAAAAAATTAAACTGAACTTCATCCAAATAAAAAATGTGTATCACCTTTGATGCACCATCAAGAAAACAAATAGGGCCGGGCACTGGTAGCTCACACCTCTAATCCTAGCTACTCAGGAAGCTGAGATCTGAGGACCATGGTTCAAAGCCAACACAGGCAAGAAAGTCCGTGAGACTCTTATATTCAATTAACCATCAGAAAATTGGAAGTGGTGCTGTGGCTCAAGTAGTAGAATTCTTGCCTTGAGCTGAAGAGGTCAGGGACAGTGCTCAGGCCCAGGGTTCAAGCCCAGGATACTCAAAAACAAAAAACAAAAAAAAAATAGGTTATCTACACAATACTGTGTATTGCGGCATAGCATGTATCTGAAATGACACATATCTAGAAAAGGAACTCTTACAATTCAACAACAGAAAGTTTAAATTAGGAGAAAGGCATCTACTATGTTAGTTCCATTTAAATAAAATGTCTAGAAGTGGATTAGTGGCTATCACAGTCTTGGTGGAAGAGGAATCAATAAATATATGTAGTTTCTCTCTGAAGTGCCTAAAGTGTTCTGGAATTAAGACACTACACAATGGGATTTGCTCCATCAGAAGGAGGGAGTTAGGGGGGGACTATAAAAAGTAAGAAGCCGTTTTCAACATAATGTCTTGTATATCTCATTGTTACAATGGATCAACCTGTATCCTTGTTCCAGCATTTTATTTCCCTTCCCCTCTCCAAATTAGAAAAATGTATATACAAGATGCAGAGCACCAGAACCAAATACAGTGACAACAGGGGTTATACCATGGGAGAGAGGGAGGAGTTGGGAAGATAGGAAGGAATAGTAGGGGAAAAACAAAGGTGGGGATAACAATGCTCATTAGGAAATGTACTCATTTCCTTACTCATATAACTGTAACATCTCTATACAGTAACTTTACAATAAAAAATATTAAAAAAAAAAAAGAGTAAGGGAGCTGGGGAGGTGGCTCAGTGGGTAGAGCGCTTGCCTTGCATGCATGAGGCCCTGGGTTCGATTCCCCAGCACCACATAAGCAAAAAGAAAAAAGCCAGAAGTGGCGCTGTGGCTCAAGTGGTAGATCGCTAGCCTTGAGCTAAAAGAGCTGAGGGACAGCGCCCAGGCCCAGAGTTCAGGCCCCCCGAATGGACCCCCGCCAAAAAAAAAAAAGAGTAAGAAGCTGGGCACTGGTGGCTCACGCCTGTAATCCTAGTTACTAAGGAGGCTGAGAGGATCACGGTTCAAAGCCAGCTGGGGCAGAGAAATCTGTGAGACTCTTATATCCAATTAACCACCAGAAAACTGGAAGTGGCACTGTGGCTTAAAGTGGTAGAGTACTAGCCTTGAGCAAAAGAGCTCAAGGACAGCATCCAGGTTCAAGTCCCATGACCAAAAGAAAACAACAACAACAAAAACCAAAAAACAAAACAAAACTAAGCAGAGATCTAACACACAGTGCATAAAGAAGATTCTAAGATCTGGGTCAAGGGGGACCAAGGAAAGAAAAGATAGACAATTCCTCATACACTGCTTTCGGCCCAAAAGCTGTGGCTCCAGACAACATGGCTCCATGTCTTTATCCACTGACAAGTTATTAGTGACAGAAAGAACAAACCTGTGATTTTATATCTCGATGAAGAATTTTCCTATCATGTACATGTTTCAGGGCCAAACATATCTGAACAAACCAGTCCAAAATCTAGGGAGAAAATCAAATAAAAAAATTTCAGAAACGCTCTGAAATATTGCTTAAGTCAAAAAGTATGAAAAGAAACTTGAAGAGGCAATTTATACCTTGTAATATTTGATAGTGTATAACTTGTTCATTTTTAAATTCGGCTTTTTTTCAGTAAAAATAAAAATCACATGAGTAGAAATTTGGAAAGCAGGCCTGACCTATGCTTCCCTGTGTTCACTACAAATAAACACCTTCTCAGGAACTGGCCACTTGGAAGTAACCTTAAATTCTACCTCATGCCTAACACCAAAATAATTCCAAGTAGAGGGCATTTAAACTAGTTTAAAATATATATACATTTTAAAATTCATATAAACTGAAAGCATCAATTTTGGCTTCAAATTTATTCTACAAACATAATACCAGAAATATTAAGGTGGGTATACAAGGATGTTTGCTGTAGCACAATTGGTCAGATCAGAAACAATAAACAACACAAATATCCATTAGGAGGATTGATTCAATATGAGAGTATATACAGGCAGCCAACAAAAAGAATCACTTCTATGTGTATTTGTGCATATTAGTTGAACAAAAACGTTGCAGAATACTATAGTATATACTCCTGTTTTTTTAAATATATGCTTATCCCATACAGCTGCATTCTGTATATGTGTATGTGTGTCTATGTGCACATGCATGTAGGAAGGAAAAAAGGAATAGGTAGGGAAACAACCAGTACACAAGGTTTATCTCAAGAAAGTGGATTTGCACTTCCTGAACAGAGTCCCAGGGTCACAACAAGTTGGAGAGAGACTCGACAAATGGGACTACCTTAAAATAAAAAGCTTCTGCACAGCTAAATCTATTGCAACTAAGCTAGAAAGACAACCAACTAATTGGGAAAAAATATTTACCAGCAATATATCAGACAAGGGGTTAACATCCTGTATATACAGGGAACTCAAGAAACTAATCCCTCCCAAACCTAACAAACCAATTACTAAATGGGCAAGGGAACTAAAGAGGGACTTCTCAAATGAAGAAATAAAAATGGCAAAGAAACACATGAGGAAATGTTCATCATCCCTGGTGGTGAAGGAAATGCAAATAAAGACAACCCTGAGATACCACCTTACCCCAGTCAGAATGTCCCACATCCACAAATCAGCCAACGACAAATGCTGGAGGGGATGTGGAGAAAGAGGAACCCTATTACACTGCTGGTGGGAATGTACACTTATACAACCACTTTGGAAAGCAGTCTGGAGGGTCCTTAGAAAGCTAAAGATTGACCTCCCTTACGACCCAGTCATACCACTTCTAGGCATCTACCCTGAACAACAGAAACCAATATACAAGGACACGTGCACCTCCATGTTTATTGCAGCACTGTTCACAATAGCTAGGATATGGAAACAACCCAGATGCCCCACCACAGATGAATGGATCCAAAAATTGTGGTATCTATACACAATGGAATATTATGCAGCCATTAGAAATGACAAAATAATGGCATTTGCAGGGAAATGGATGGAGCTAGAAGGAATCATGTTGAGCGAGGTAAGCCAAGAGCGAAGAGACAAACGGTACATGGTCTCCCTGATAAGTGGATGATAAAACCGAAATGTTAGGTGATACGACAAAACCAACAGGACTTAAGAAACAAAGAACTCCTGCTCATCTGGTTGAACCACTACTAAATATCCCCATGCTGCTGATCACATGTATGGTGTATAACATGTGATCACTGTTATATATTACAGACTGTGATAGACAATTTGCTCCAGGAAAGTTAGAATGAACTTGTGACTTAGAAATTATGTAATCACTTAATCACAATCAAGAAAAAAAAGAACTTCGGGGAAGGGAGGGAGGGAGGGGATGGTAGGGGGAAAACAATGGAGGGGCTAACAATGTTCAAGAGGAAGTGTATTCATTACCTCACTCATGTAACTGTAACCCTCTGTATAGTATCTTTACAATAAAAAATTAAAAAAAAAAAAGAAAGTGGATTTGCAAAAGGTGGAATAAAAAGTAATAAGCTTGAGTCAAGCGGAAAAGGTCAGATAATGTGATGTCAGGAAAATGAACCGTTAGATGTGTATTTTAATGTTTTTTTCTTTCATGCATGTGTTTCTAACGCATTTATAAGATTATCTCTTTGTTGCTTTGTATGTCCCTCCCCCACAGTATAACCCCTGCTTTCACTATATTTGATGTCAGTATAACTTGTGGAGGAGATGGGGAAAAACCAGTTGTTTAAGGATACAGGTGGACCTGTTGCAACAATGAGAAGTACAAGTTGTCATGTCCAAAACGAGCTTTACAACGTCGGTGCGGGATGGGGGGGGGGGAGGCTGGGAAGGGATGTGAAGGGTAAACCAAAGGAGGAGGCTGCAATGCTTGGTAAGAAATGTACGCATTATCCTGCCCATGTAATTGTAACTCCTCTGTACAGTATGTTCACAAATAAAATTTAAAAAAAAAAGTAATAAGCTATCCCTGTTTTCCTTCTGTTCGCTATATTTGTGTGTGTGTATGTGTGTGTGTATACACATGTTCATGCTGGGGCTAAATTTAATAAAGTTGCTATTCAAAAGCTGCTAACCTCCAGAGCTGGAGTTACTTGGCAAGACTACGTTTGGGGAACATAAGTCTGGAAGCACTGATACCATACAGATTAACTATCTGTAATTTCTATACAGAGCTATATGTATGTATAAAATATACACATAGAATATAACACTTAATTACACAGGTAGCAATATATTATTACAGACCGGAAATGCGCTAAAGAAGCTGACCAAAGGTTGCAGTGAATTAGAAAGTGACCAATATATTGAATATGATACCAGATCGCTCTAGTATTTACAATTAAGATTTGTAGCCAGATAACATACATAATCAGACTTTTTAATTACTTCTTGATAATGTAGTAAAAATTAAGCTCCTACATGCTAACTTACCTGATCTTCTTGGAAAAATAAGCCCTTCTGAGCATTTATTCGTTTGAACAGGTCTCCTCCTTCACAGTAATCCATTACTATGTAAAGAGAGCCATTTTCTACAAAATATAAACACTATATTATATTTCTTTTAAAGCTTTATCAAGTGTACAGTTAATTAAAGGTACTTAAAGCTACACTAAAAAGCAGCAGCTAGACAAATAAAAGCAGAAGTATACTCAAAGAATTGGAGCACAAAATCAAAGTATACTGTACAATGACCTAGGTTACAAGCAACTCCACCTCAACCAATTAAAGAAAAAGCTAAGCATGATGGCCTGTACCTGTCATCCCAGCTACTCAGGAAATATAAATAAGAGAACGTTATCAAATTCATTTTATTTAGTCAGTATTACCCTCATTCCCAAACTAGAGAATTACAAACCAATCTGTTTAATGAACATAGATGCATAATTTCTCAATTAAGTATTTTCAAACAATTCAACAAAACATTAAAGTCAAAGTTCAAGAATGAAACATGCAAGGATGGTTCAGTTTATTAAAGGATGAACTATGTACAATGGTTTCACCTATTAAATGTAAAACAGCACAGAAATAAATAATATCAGGGACAAAATTCATACAATCATCTCGATTAAAGCAGAAAAAGTCTTTGGCAAAATTCAACATCCTTTATGATAAATGTTCTAAAGAAAAAGGCCAATATGGAGGTGTTACTCAGCTAATCACAGGAGGACAACCAATCACTCCAGTGCGGAAGTAGATGTCCAAAGTCTCTGGAGTGGTACAAGGATGCCCCAGAATCTGGATTCTGGACATAATGTACATCATTTAGGTGTGGTTGGTTAGCTGACTACTTGGTGAACAGATTTACTTTATTTTGGAGCAGCATTCCTCCCATCATTGTGTTTCTGAATCTTATGAGTTTAACAGCCAAAGTGTGTACCTTTGTGTTCCTCCCCTAAGAGTACCCTCCTTTGGTTTTACTGTGTGTGAATACCTAGAGTCCTGTATACTTTATCAGGTATTTTAGATCTACCTTCTGGATATGTCTCTCTGAGCATGGCTTAACTCACTTAACATGATTTGTTCTAGGTCTATCCTTTTCCCTGAAAATGATGTAATAGTCTAATGACTGTGTAAAATTCCATTGTGTGTAGGACTCATTTATTTTATTGAGCATCTGGGCTATTTCCATAACTTTGCTATTGGGAACAGTCACTCTGCCCACTCTTATTCAATAGTACAGGAATCGCTAACCAGAGCAAAAAGGCAAGAGAAAGAAATTTATAAAAATTCAAAGGAAAGTATCCAAATAAAAGGAAGACATCAAATTATATAATTCTATGATATGATTCTATACTTTAAAGACCCTAAAGTTTGCACCAAAACTCTACTAGAAATAAACACTTGGCAATGTAGTAGCATATAAGATCAATATACAAAAATCAGTAGCTTTTCTATGCAATAAACAAGCTGAGTGAAAAATCAAAGCAAGTCAGGAAAACAATTCCATCACAACAAAATAAAACAAAAAATCTAGGTATAAGCTTAACCAAGGTGGTGAAAGACCTTTACAATGAAAATTATGTAAGCTTAAAGAAGACACCAGAAGACGGAAAGATCTCTCAAGTTCATGGATTGGCAAAAACAATACATAAAAATGGCCATACTGCTGAAAGCAATCTATGGATTCAATGCAATGTGCATCAAAACCCCCATATCAGTTTTCACAGAAAAAAAAATTCAAGTTCAATTTGCATGATAATACCTGCAGTGCTTTACTATTCCTAAACCAGCTCTTAACTACAGTTCTCTTTGCATTTTAATGAACAGCATTAATGACTGACAGGTTAAGTGGGTTTGTTTTTATCAGCAACAAAGGGTGGCAAGGATATAGAGGAGAAAGAAACCCTCATAAACTGTTAGTAGAATGTAACTAGTAAAACCACTAAAGATAGCAGTATGGAGGTTCAGCAATAATCTAAAAATGCATTCACAAAGTAATTCTTTTTTTTTTTTGGGTCCGGTCATGGGGCCTGAACTCTGGGCCTGGGCGCTGTCCCTCAGCTCTTCAGCTCAAGGCTAGCGTTCTACCACTTGAGCCACAGCACCACTTCCAGTTTTTTTTTTCTTTTTTCTTATGTGGTGCTGAGGAATCGAACCCAGGGCCTCAGGCATGCAAGGCAAGCGCTCTACCACTGAGCCACCTTCCCAGCCCCACAAAGTAATTCTTTACAAAGAAAATATCCCCAAATTACAAGTGGCTTAGGGCTTATCTTGAACTTGCTTGAGAATGTTAATCTGACCTTCAAATGATTCTCTGTACTGGACAATATTTGGGTGCTTCATGTTTGCCAACACTGCAACTTCCCTCCTTGATTCTTCCCTTTCTTTACTTGACATCTTGAATGGGAGGAAAAAAAGGATACAATGAATTTAACTGACAGAAAGTCCTAAGTCTATCATTAATAAAGTGATTAAATATGGTAGTTATATAGTTCAAATGACAAAAACTAGGAAGAAATTAAAAGTGATGACGCTATAAGCAAAAATATATCTAATCTACATTCAAGAATAGTAGGTAGATCTTTCTAACTACAAAAAACATATATATCAGAAAAGCTCTGAAAGAATACACACAGTGCATTACTATACATTGCTATAGTTTTTAGGGCTCTACCAAAGAGCTCTAATTGTGTATGAAACATTGTGTAATGAAACTATAAAGATACTTACTTTTGAGATGTTAATTTCCTTGATAACATACTGTCTGCCATCCTCTGAAGATTTAACAAGAACTGCTTTACCAAATGAACCTTCTCCAATCTTTTGTAGTCTCACATATTTCTCCATGTTTCTTTTTTTAAGGCATTTTTATACCTATGCTAGATATTAAAAAGTTAATCAAGATAAGTCTCATAGCAATCAGGAAGTTTGATACAAATTCTAATTAAAAGGCACTGGGTTGTTTCATACCTATAATTCTACTAGGATACTACTAACTACTCAAGAGACTGAGATCTAAGAATTGTCATTCAAAGTCAGCCTGGAAAGCTAAATCTAACAGACTCATATCTCAATTACCCAGCAAAAAGCTGAAAGTGAAGGTGTAGCTCATGTAGTAGTGTTTGCCTTGAGTGGAAAAAAAAACAAAAACAAAAAACAAGAGTGCAAGGTCCTGAATTCAAGCCCCTGTACCAGCACTAAAAAGGATTTTAACATCTTTACTTAGAAGTTTAAACTATTTCATTCTACTCATGAAACATATTTATAGAGAAACCCAAACCAGTGACATTTCCATTCTATAAGAATGTTTTGGGAAAGAAACAGAAAGATACAATGCCTATGTGCATCTGATTTTACAAAATAATATTTTTCAACATGAACTCCAGGAAATGAAAACAAGAGGTTTTTTTCTTTTTTGTTGCTTTTCTTTCCTTTTTGTTCTGTTTGTTTATATGTCTTTGGTAGTGTAAGGGAAGACAGAGAAATGGAGGAACAAAAGGTGAACACAGGGAGCAATAGTACTCACTGCACACTATGTTGAAAATGAACTACACGACTTATGGGTGGGTATGGGAGGGGTGTCATTATCCAAAAAGAAATGTACTCATATATAAGACAAAGGGTATGGGGCATAACCAAAGGGGAAAAAAGAAAGAACTGCAAACAGTAAAAAAGTCATTTCCATTTCTTGGAGTTTGTTTTGATAAGCATCATTTTATGTGGTCATATGCACATAGCTATTGAGCTATTGTGATTCTCTGCTAAGAATATCCTAGACATATTTTGTTATTACAAATGAGAGAAACCATGCAGCCTATGTTTCTTATGCTTGCTTCACTTAGTTTTTTCCAAGTCTTTCCATTTCCTTACAAATGGGGCAATGTCATTCTTTTTGATGGAAGAACAGAATTCCATTATATGTGTGTGTGTGTGTGTGTGTGTGTGTGTGTGTGTGTGTGTGTTTGTGTGTGTATCACATTTTCTTGATCCATTCACCTACTGAGTGGTATCTGGGCTGGTTCCATATCTTAGCTATGCAATGAACATGGTTGTGCTGTTAGCTTAAGTGTTGTCTTGTTTGTGGTCATTTGGGTAAATGCCTAGGAGTGGGATATCTGGGTTACAGGGGAGCTCTAGGCTTTTTCATATCTGTACCCTTTATCTTGTTTGTATAAGTTTGTACATAAGTTTATCTGATTTGCAGAAGGAAAGGGGAATCACAGAAACATAGGGAAAAAGGGTAAACCAATGTTACATGATATACATTAGACGCTATGTTGGAAATAAACAATTTGGGGGAGAGAAGCTGGGACGGGGGATGGGGGGACAGGAGGAGAATATGAGGGAGGGCATAACACTGCTCAAAAAGAACTGTACTCATTACCTTACTTATGTAACTGTAACCCCTCTGTACATCACCTTTACAATTTAAAAAAAAAAAGAAAATTAGCAGTGACTTTATAAGCATGTTTCATTGCAGAACTAGGAAAAAATACCAAAAAAACTTTAGCTTCCAAAAAAAAAAAAAAGTACTCTTGCTGGGTGTCAGTGGCTCATACCTGTAATCTTAGCTACCCAGGAAGCTCAGATCTGAGGACTGTGGCTTGAAGCCAGTTCAGGCAGTAAAGTCTATGAGACTATTATCTCCAATTGACCACCAGAAAACTAGAAGTGGTGCTGTGGCTCCAAGTGGTAGAGCGCCAGCCTTGAGTGAAAAAGCTGAAGGACAGCACCCAGGCCCCAAATTCAAGCACCAAAACAAAAACAACAACAACAAAAAAACAAGGAATGTACACTTTACCTGAGTTATGTAACCATAACCCCTCTGTAGATTACCTTTATTATAACAATAAAATTTTTAAAGAATGTTTTAGAACACCAAATATTTTTTTTACATTTTTTATATATCTACTTTATTGATTTGTGGTTTTTTTTATACATTTTAATTTTAATTTTATTTTATTT